ATCGAATATATTATTAAAAATAAAATTCCCATATATTAATAATAAAAAATATTAATTTTAAATAATAAAAACAATATACAATTAAAATTTAATTAAAGATAAATTTATATTTTTAAACACATTTATTTTAAAATTAAATAAATATATTTTATTTATTAAATTTCAATTTATAATAATATTTTAATTATATCATTAAATTAAAATAAAAAAAAATACCAAAAAATATTTTATTTCTAAAATCAATTTTAATTTCTTAATAATAATTATTTTCCTAAAAATAAACATTATCTAAAATAATTATTATTTAGAAAAAATATTAATAAATACAATTTATTATAAAATAAATAAATAATAAAGATTCCTGTATTTTTTTATAAATATTGTACAATTTTTATTTTTCGCATTATTTCCGCAACCTTTCAATTTCCGGAAATAATTAATAAATTAATTTTATTTCCGTGGAATTTCCACTCCGTGAAAATAGATTCCTCACCAAGATTTAGATTAAAATCGTCTTCCGCGGCCTTCCGCGATCGGATGATCAGGGTATATTTCGGCCAGCGCTTCCGCACCTTTGGATCGATTACCATTTATTTTTCAAAAACTATTTAATATTCACATTTTATATTCGATTTATAACATAACATATATATATATATCCGCAATTTATGGTTATTTTGATTAATGCCTTTATTTATTTTTTTGTCACTTATTTGGATTTTGCCTTCAAAGAATTTTGCATCGATTTTGCATAATCCGAGGTTCCCTCGTTTCCTGGAAACACCAAATCAGTGTGGAGGACATGAATCATTTACATTTACATATACAATATTGATATGTATTTATGATGGTATGCCCAAAATGGAATTGTGCTCGATAGATGACGTTCCAGATATAGGCAAGTTATAGATAGTTCTCGCATATCCATGCCTTGCTATGGTATCTAAGCAAATAGACATCCAAAGCCTTCTTTTTTTTGATATGGAAAAACATATAAAGCCTGACAAATGCCAGGACTTGAACAGAGTATACCAGACTCAAAACCTGCGTTGCCTTCTCTCAGTTGCAGCCAATTTAGATCAATTTAGTCTCACTGCTACGCATGAGTCTCAGACCGTGCCAACAAATGCACGTTGCCTTCTTGGTCTTTGACATCAGACAATCTCATCATTTATCTTGAGCATGATACGTCAATCTTTATAGTAGTTAACAGCGTCTGGCCCTGAATCCGCGCCAAGCTTCGGCTATATTGACCATATGAGGAAATAAGACGATCTTGACCTCAATGAACAAGCAATTGAGCAGGAAAAACCGCTCAAGTAGCAGTCCACAAGAGCATTGACGTGACATGATGTGACATGCATGGGCCCCTCCACCTCTGTGCCACCGGGCAAACAAGTGTGGCTTTAAAGGCAGGGCGTTCACTGGTGGCTTCCCACCAGCGCTGCAAGCGCTGGAAGTCGGCATCCTTTGGCATCTCAAGACCTGCGCTTCACAGCACCAGTCTGGTTGAAGGAGCTGACTTGGAATTCTTCCTAAGCCTAGGCATATCATATAGTTTCACTATATATGCATATATATATAGTATCTACATAAAATTTACATGTATATATATATATACATATATATATATCATTATATATCTATATTATCTACATAACATATTATATACACGTATATTAATTATGTGCATGTATTTGCCACAATATATCCGGAATGTCTCCATATTTCTGTCGGGAAACTAGCAATAGGCAGACTGGAACATCTGGCATTCAGCTAGATCAATTGTACAGCAACGCACAGCAGGGGTGACCTCGGTAGTGACCTCCGACCCAAAGAAATCGCTGCCAGAAGGGGAATAATGCGATGTCCACCATGGAGATCTCCTTTCCCAAGAAGTAGGGACCATCCTGCCGGATTGCTGACTGGAACTCAAAACATGTCGAAACTGTCGAAACTTGAGATGGAGCAACTTGAAATAACTTACATTCCTGGCTCCTTGGATCATTTTCACGCTACATGGACCCAACTCTTGACTTGCCGTCGCTGCTCGAAGAGTGCCGAGAGAGACTATGCGAATCATAGAAATGCGACGTCTGTTCCTATCTGACCTATCTTCATAGCCATTTTCCCAGCCGCAGCAAATACATGAATGGAACTCTTGGCAACACGGACCCCACCTTACTCATTGCCTTCGCAAAGGTTCGACACTCCTGCAGGGAAGATTGGCAAACCGCAAAGCTTAGCTGATAAACAGTGCCTCCACGAGAAACTTGGACAATGGACTTAAGACCTTCCGAATCCAAACAGGCCATTCACATTCTCCGCAACAGCATTAGTTGAAAATTCGGCATTTGCACAACAGATTTAGTCCTGGAAGAATGTCTCCTTTGCCTTTGCTTGGGCTGCAGGATCTTGATCCATGAGAAGCACATAGAAATTCCTTGGAGGAGCAAAGAAACAAACTCGGAACCTCTCTGTTGCTTGAGGGATTGTTCCAGCCACAATGCTCATGGAAAACGTACCGTGCAGACCAGCTAAGAGCTCTCCCTACCCGAAGAACAATGAACCACTTGGTGATTGTACGTAACCTTCATGTATCGTTCATATGGGAAGGAGATGAAAAATAGACGCATAGAATACAGTAGAAGCATGTAGAAGCTAGAGGGTTCGCAGTTCGAGTGTTCTTGTCTGATACCATCTGTGCAACCTATTGCTTGCCAAATGGGTCGTATCCGTAGTTACCTCCCAATGGTGCATTGCATTGGAGAGATCAGCTTTGGTGACTTAAGTAGCGAAGGATCATCTTCGCGATTCTTTGTGGCAATATTTCTTGAAGATGACCCTAGGGGTGAGAAGAACGTCAATGCCAACCTCTCACGGCATCGTCTGTTTGCGACTCACTTCTTGTCTGATGAATGAGCCTGGAGAAAACAACAACGGTCGGACGGCCTGTTCACGCGCGGCCGACTTGGTTTGTCATCTTTGCTGAGTCAGAAGTTTGGCTAGTTGAACAAGAAGTCAGCTAACATCCCCCCACCCCAGCGTGGCGTAGCATCAACAACGTGAGCAAGTTACATGGAACGTTAACATCCCCCCCACCCCAGCGTGGCGTAGCATCAACAACGTGAGCAAGTTACATGGAACGTTAGCATCCCCCCCACCCCAGCGTGGCGTAGCATCAACAACGTGAGCAAGTTACATGGAACGCTAACATCCCCGCCCCACCCCAGGGTGGCGTAGCATCAACAACGTGAGCAAGTTACATGGAACGTTAACATCCCGCCCCCACCCCAGCGTGGCGTAGCATCAACAACGTGAGCAAGTTACATGGAACGCTAACATCCCCCCCCACCCCAGCGTGGCGTAGCATCAACAACGTGAGCAAGTACATGGAACGTTAACATCCCTCCCACCCCAGCGTGGCGTAGCATCAACAACGTGAGCAAGTTACATGGAACGCTAACATCCCCCCCATGCCAGCGTGGCGTAGCATCAACAACGTGAGCAAGTTACATGGAACGTTAACATCCCCCCCACCCCAGCGTGGCGTAGCATCAACAACGTGAGCAAGTTACATGGAACGTTAACATCCCCCCCCACCCAGCGTGGCGTAGCATCAACAACGTGAGCAAGTTACATGGAACGCTAACATCCCCCTCCACCCCAGCGTGGCGTAGCATCAACAACGTGAGCAAGTTACATGGAACGTTAACATCCCCCCCACCCCAGCGTGGCGTCGCATCAACAACGTGAGCAAGTTACATGGAACGTTAACATCCCCCCTCACCCCAGCGTGGCGTAGCATCAACAACGTGAGCAAGTTACATGGAACGCTAACATCCCCGCTCCACCCCAGCGTGGCGTAGCATCAACAACGTGAGCAAGTTACATGGAACGTTAACATCCCCCCCACCCCAGCGTGGCGTAGCATCAACAACGTGAGCAAGTTCTATGGAACGTTAACATCCCCCCCACCCCAGCGTGGCGTAGCATCAACAACGTGAGCAAGTTATATGGAACGTTAACATCCCCCACACCCCGACGTGGCGTCTAGCCATCCACCACGTGCGTCAAGTTCATGACCGTAGCATACCCCCCCAGCCCCAGCGTGTTGTTTGGGTCGTAGAATCAAACAGTGAGCACGTTACAGGAACGCTAATCCCCGCTCCACCCCCGCTTGGCGTAGCATCAACAAAGTGAGCAAGTTACAGGGAACGTTAACTCCCCCCACCATCCTGGCGTAGCCTCAACCACGTGAGCAACGGTAAATGCGAACGTAGAATCCAACCCAAACCCGAGCGTTGGTGTAATCAACACGTGAAGCAAGTTACATGGAACGCTAAATCCTCGCTCCCCCCCCGGTGGGCGTCGCATCCACAACAACGTGAGCAAGAGGTAATAGGAAACGTTAACACCCCCCCCACCCCAGCGTGGCGTAGCATCAACAACGTGAGCAAGTTACATGGAACGTGAACATCCCCCCCCTGTACCATAAGTTACATCAGTTGTTCCTGCCCCCCCCTCTCCCCCCCCCGGGCAGCATTGTACAGAAGCAGAAAACACTGTAAAAAACAGTACAAAATGCACATTCAGCAGTGTGTGTGCGCGTGAACACCCCGTCGGAGGGAACAACAAACATTGTGAGCTTGATGACTGTTCATCTGTGTTCGATCTCTTGTTCATCTGTGCAGTGTCTTTCGAATCTCGAAAGATCTCGAAATAGTAGGTCCGGCCAAGAGTCTTTTGCATTTTCTCTGTCACAAAGTCAGACCAAATCCGTACGTGCGCACGCTTCACTGGGTCATTGCGAGGCAAGAAATATGGAGGATGATCGAAGCGTTCGTCAATGTACCTGCCAAGGGTGGCTGCAATCTCTCCAATGTACAGAATCAATGTGTCAACAGAGGCTCTCAGTCATATCCAGGCATTTGCAGTCTAGCTTCGAACCAGCATCTTTGCAATCAATTCACATGTAAGAACTGGGAACCACCACATACCCAACATGCTTGCACCTTATGGTGAAACCAAAGGAACTGAGACCAGCTATCCGAGTAAATCCAACCACTTTGAAGCAGCTCCCATTTGTGAGGAATGGCACCCATTAGAGAACCAACACTTAGTAAATCAAGCCAGGTTGGATTGGAAAAATCTGGTCCTCAATTCCAAAAGCTGTAAATACAGCAAGGATGTACCGCAGAGATTTGGTTCAGCTTGCGTCTATCCACCAGCTTTACTGATCCATTGCTTGCTGCCATTTGACTGCCCGATGTCAGCGCAAAGTGGTGTGAGCCAGTTTGATGCAGGTCAGAAGCGCATTTAGAGCGGCTTGCAACGGTTGCTTGATTTCAACATCGAATCTTTCTCATTGACTTCAACCCAAAAGGAGACCTCTGAGACTCAAACATGTGATCTTGGGAGCCCCCGGGGACTCGCACGACTATGATCAGGTGGGGCACTGGACCACATGTAGAGATTCCCAGACTTTGTCGCCATTCGAATCTGCCACTGATGGGACCAAGCCACGAGGTGAGCTTGCAATGAAGTCTGGGTACAAGGCCTCGGGAATGCACGCATCATATGAACTCTCCTTTCCTGATACATAACATGCAGTAAACATCAGTAAACTGTATCAAACTGTTCAAGCAATGTAAGAGAGGGTGTGGTCTCAATGCATTTGTGGACCTCCTTCACTATCTTCACTCACCGAGTATATCAAGTTCAGCAGTTTCTTCAAGGTCGATTCCCGAAAAAGAACGGATCACCTTTTCGGGCCAAATCCAGAGCATACGGCCATGTTCCAGGCCTTCTTGACCTCCAAGGGCAGCTGCTTCTTGGTATAGCCACCTGGAAAAGTTCTGCAGTTGGATGATTTGGAATGATTTCGATGAGTCTTCCTAATCTTCCTATGGCAGTATGATGCAGTATGTCATCCTTGCTGAAGCTGTTTTGCATGACTGTCGCAATCTGTCGCATGGAATTCAACCACTCGCAGCTTTTACCGCTCCCAGAGACAGCCTTCACACTGTATCATGGCGTTCCAAGGCTGCTATGGTGACGCCCTGTTGCAGAGCTTTCAGAAGCAGTGTATTGTCTTTACACTCACAGCCTGTGTTCACACAGCACTTCGGCCGGAACAGGCAGGAAGTTCCCAATCAGCTGAGATCAAACACGTTCTGTGGCCAGTGGCCATTCTATTGATGGCCAACCAAAAGGGCCGACAACGCTGATACTTCAGTCGGTGTCCTTCAGTCACCTATGCAACCGAAAGGGTCAATCTGAACAAAAGTCGGTGTATCACTATCATTGGTGAACCATGATCACGTTCAATGCCTGGCCGTTCTGGATAGTGGGATGATAGTGGCTCTGGTTGTTTAAATTAGAAGAAACTGTACGTACCTGACGTAGTACCCATCGTACCCCGTGTGTATTTTGTTCTGAGTCTTTTGGAGGCAACTTCCATTCCACTGGAGAAATGCGTGGAGTTTGGAGCTACATTCGCTCTCTCCGTGGTGCAAACATGAACTTCAACTATTGAAAGCCCCTTCTAGGCTTCCCATCAATAGTCAATAGTCCTCACACCTGTACATACATGTACATATATGTTATATATATATATTATATATATATAATTACATATACATAGAATTATATGGATTCATATGATGTACTTTCACCTCAAAGCGCATGAGTTTCACAGAGTCTTCGATCTCTTGCCACCTTGTTTGCAGGCAGCTGGTGACTTGGAGCTTCAACGAAAACGAGCATCGAAATCACCGCGGATCTGATGCTCGATGCTGCCTCGCATTCCAGGTTGCCACTCGTGTGTACCCTGACCCTGAATAGAAAGAAATATAAACATACAAAGAGTATCAAAGAGCTAATTCACTGTAACATACTGTAACATACTGGAACATACTGTAAGCCAATTTTCAGTACTTTGCCCTTTTTCATGACTTCGAGGGTCGGTTTAGGGTGACCCATCCGCAGCTGGGGACCCATTGGAGGTGAGCTGCAGTGGAAGGCCAGCTCGATGATGGTGCCCTTGCCACCACATGAAGAGGGCCAAGCAATTACACCTTGGGCGGCGCTGAAGGGTTTAGGATGTTGGCATTCTCAACATCTATACACCTATACACGTGTACAGTACATCTATACATCTGTACATCTGTACATCTATCTACCTATCTACCTACCTACCTATCTATCTATCAATCTATCTATATAATCTAATCTAATCTATTAATATCTATTCTAATCCAATCTAATCTATCTATATCTTTCTTTGTTTCTTTCTTTCTATCGGTACTACGAGGACTGAGCAAATTTCTTCAAATTCCGATGCCTCGTGGCTCCTCCAACTAGCAAAATGAGAGCGGGGCTTCAAAAAAAACCCAGCGCAGGAATCGAGAGCAAAGGCTAAGGGTTGCGCTTGCGTGGTCGATGCTCCCCTTCTCCTTGAGAAAGCCAACCAATATCGCAGGGATTTGCCAAAAACATCAACAACATTAAACAATTACCCAAGACTTTTAACATCCACATCTCCGGTAGCATGGCTGAGACATGGCATCCCTGTATCTGTCCCCCAAATGTCTGGTGACCTGAAATCAAAGAACCATTTATGGACAAGAGGGATCAAGTGCCTTTTGGAAAGGATCATTCTCCTGTAAACATTCTAGCACTGCCAGCCCTAGCGTCCATTGCGAGGCTGAAGACGTCTGGAAAGCCTTCTGCGTAAGAGGCGGTGCCATGACAGGGAAGGCCCCCATGGATCCAAGCCGACTTTGTCTTTCCATTGCAAAGCATCTTTTCCTCGTCACTGCTGGCATGAGGGTACTTGCTCAGAAATGATTTCTTGTGTCGTTTCCACGGTTTCACAAAGTGCTCACCCTCTGTCTTGGGCATCCTCAAGATGAGTATGCTTGTTGACTTTCTATTGGAACAGTGCCGGTCTATTGGATAATGTTGCCTATTCGCGCACGAATGCCAATAATTCATCAGGCGAGACTCCAGCTTGCTCTTCAAGTCTGCACCGTACTTGCCCTGGTAATGTGCGAAGTGGATGTGGAACCTAGCAAACCAGGGCAGGAAACACAACAAATATCAACAAACACTGGCTGGTCATTGGGGTTGGGTTTGATCTTTCTTTGCCAGGGCTTGGCTCTCTGGGATTGGCCAGGGAGAAAGACATGTTTGGAGTTGTGTCGCACAACATGCGAAAGTCCAGTGAATTTCACAAACATCGACAAGAAAACGAGCATCCGAAAGTTCACGTCACAATTTGGTAGCCATCTCCCAAATCACGAGCAAGCAGCTGCTCCACAGTCCGATGGTGCATAGGATTGACGATCAAAGCGCAATCTGGACCACCACAGCGAGCTCTAGCAGCCCGCATTCCTCAGGGAGAAAGTGATCAAGTGAGGCAGTGACTGGTTTTTAGCATCTGTCAAATATGATGACACACGATTTCACACTTATTCTGCAAATAGTATGAAACGGCCATTTCACTTTGATGTTCTCCCCCGTTCTTCAAACTCAAATCATGACGTTTTGAAAACATGACGTCCTGCATTGTAGTAACCGATGTTGTCTTCATTTATGTCCTGCCGCTGAGGGATGGCGGGCGCGCTGACAACGTGGATCTCGGAATAAGTTTGATAATCAATATCCAGGTGAATCCAACTAGGCATTTTTGCTAACTGATGGCAAAATGTGTTTACCTTCTTTTAATTCTTTTTAGCTCTTCTTACTCTGGTGATAATGGCTCTTTCGGACTCCTCAGCTAGAGTGGCATTTCACTAGTTCACTATTTTTTCGCAAAGAAAGAGATACATAGATTGAATATGACCATCATCTTGATATCTATCTCTATCTCTATATATATATATATTATATATACATGTAAATCAATAAATCAAGTAGTATGTGTTTTGAATATATCTTAGAGTATACATCCCGTTTCATTCGGACATCGGATCTCCATCTCCGCGCACCTCCAGGCCCTTGCCGGATCCCCAGAGTTTGTCGCCGCCGGGCCACCAGCCACGACCGCGTGTCTTCTTTTTCAGCTCCGGCGGAGGCAGGTCGGAAGGGTCAAGAGGGTCGGACAGGTCGTCGTCCGTGTCGTTAAAGCTATGGTTGCGCTTGCCTGAGATACGACGGGATTCATGTGGGATGTGGGATTCTGATGGCTTACATGATGGGTTACATGATGGGATTTATGTCTATAAACGAATCAGTATGATTTCATTATTATAGAATGTATATGAATATATGACATTGATAAAAACGTAAAACACCACACCACACATATCCAGACATAGCTAAGCACCATGGCAGCAACTTCTTTGGGGACCTCAAGTCATGTCTCAATCCACAAAGGGCTGTTTTGGTCGTTCTGACACGCCTGGTTTAGCCAACCTCAAATGGAACAAATCTAAAGCCATGGCTATAAACCAGCTGCATCCAATATCAATATCCACCACTTGGATATCAATATCCATCATGATTAATTTTAAATCTAGAGATTTTACCCCATTTTACCATAGTCCGTGCTTCCCACATCTTCCTAGTGACTCAATTGCAAGGCATTCAACGCACAGCTGGATGTCCCGTCTTGACAGTCATCGGAGGCTTCCAAGGCCACACTTACCTCTGCAGTCGGCAAAAATGTGGATGGCAATGAAACCCAAGTCCAACTCGTTCACCATTTTAACACCCAAATTATCGGGTTTTTCATGGTTTTTCCTTACAAGGGGTTTCCCTCTGCCCAATGTACCAGTATCATCCAGTATCGATATTATGGACATGAGACACCTCAACCCATGTATCCGGGACTCCGCCTTACCTTGCGTACAGGATGATTTAAGTATGTCACGCCACAAAACTTGTGTCGCACATCCACCCACCTACACAACCGAGTGATGCTTCACGTGCAAAACGATAGATCAAACAGCTATCCATAGCTATCCACCATTATCGACTGCTGATCAACGGGATGAGAAACGATGGTAATGTGATGATCAATCACTACCCTCTGGTAATTTAACACAGCTATTGAAAATGACCATAGAAATAGTGGATTTTCCCATTAAAAATGGTGATTTTATGTGATTTTCCATAGCTATGTTAAATTACCAGAGGGTAAACATCCCATCATCCCATCCCATCATTCCACTGACCTCATCAGCTGCCGCTGCTGCAACGATCACGAGAAGCCGCCACATGGCGCGACAAGGTCCGGGCAGCTGGAAGCCCAAGCGCTGCCGGAAGAACAACTGATGCTCTCATGCGGTCTTGGTGGAAAAGGTAAGCAGAGACTCTGAGTGAACCATTCTAGGAATTCCTTGAGTGGTCTTATGCCATCCTTTTTAATATCTTTAATATGAAATTAGAATTAAGAATATCAAATAATGGTATGTATGTATTTGAAATATTTGCCTGTATTCGTTTTCTTCAATGGTGTTCTGAATCAAGTCTTTAAGCGGTCCCAACATCACCAACTGCCTGGCAATCGCTCATCCACTTCGTAAGGATTGATCTCCACGTAGGAATAGTCCAAATCCTTTTCCTCAGAGATGCTGTGTTCCATTAGTGTCCAAAAATTGATAGAAGTTTTATGCATTTTACCAGCGGTCGTCGGGCTTCTTTCTGATTGACTGGCACCAATCCGCATGACAGCTTCACATATCACATGTCATCACATACATACATATATATATATACATACACATCTGAAGTCGCATTCTGCGCATATCTTGAGCACTCCAGTGCCAGCTACTTGCCAAATGCCCAAGTCTCTTCAACAGCGATCCAAGCCCTTTGTGCGAAGGGGCAAAACCAGGATGTGTAGAGTTTCAACTTTGAATCCTTCAGGGAAAGCTGGTGAGGTTGGTCTCGTTGGTCCACAGGCTAAAAAGGCTTGGAGTTGTAAGGGACAACAACTTATATATGTGTAGAAAATGTCCTTTTTTATGTCCTGTAGACTATAGGCGATCAATGGTGATCAAGCAGAACACCATGAAGAAAAAAATGCCCCAAGCTTCCCCACGGCTACTCCACGGTACACAGTCACATTGGTTCTTTAAAATCCAAATATTTCAAATGATAGATTCCTCCAAGTCTTTTCCTTTTTCATCTCCTTGGCAGCTGCGATGCGTTTTGCAATGGTCTTCTCCTTATCTCAGGTGATCTCAGGTGTTTCAGTGCGGCAGCAGGCTGCCTCCGGCCTCCTAGTGCCCCATCAGTCGAGAATCTCCATCTGTTTCCACCCAACTGGGATTCCAAAGCTCATCCCGGCTGTTTTGCGCGGCCTGAAGTCGGACCCACAGCACTTGCTGGATCTAGGGATCTAGACAGGTCTGGCATCAAGTCTAAGACTATTGAAGAGCACAAGGTGAAGCATTGGCCATAACCTGAAGATTCCTGAAGTCCTTTCCATGATTTGTTGCATAGCACACCAATTTGAAACAATGCCAAACCCAAGGATGGCATCTTGTTGGATTCCGTGGTGATCACTCCTATCTTGGAAAGCGAAATGAATCTGAGCGAACTCAACCACAGAATCTTTGTCAGAATCTTTGTCTACTGCGTGAGATACTGTTGCAACCGAACTTCTCAGAGTGCTTTCAAAGAAAGGCCTCGCAAAATCCTTGAAGCATTCATAAAACAGAGTCTAAATATGTCTAAATACTGACCACCAGCTCTCACATGCCTTTTTCGCGCCTTCAGTTCCCAAAAATCCTGGTCGCGCCGTTAAACGACATTCCAAGAAATGGCCAACGATGAGCAGTTTTACGTGTTCAGCATTGTTCAACATTGTTCAACATTGTCCTGGCAACTTCAGTGCAGCAGCGCCACCGCAACCAAGAGCCAGTGGCGCGAGCAATTGCTTGGAATAAACCTCTGGCAGCGCCAAATCGCTGTAGCTTCGCACAAAGCGAACTTTGATGACAAGAGAGACAAAAAATCAAAGGGAATTCATGAAACACTTTTTTCCACATATAATACATACAATACAATATATATATATATATATATGTATATAATATCTCTCATTTCATCTCTATATCATTCTATATCTTTATACTATCAAGATACCTTCTGCATCCTTCTGCCACCCAGGACATTGGTGCTCTCCACCATACACCAGATCGACGTGCCTTGAAGTAAGAGCGGATCTGCTTCATATGGCTACAGATGAATTGGAATTTGCAACTCTTACAGCTCTTTGTCTGGGCAAAACATGGATGCAAAATGGTGCCTCCGAGTGTACCGACTGCACAGTAAGCTATGATAGTGCAGCTAGTCTTAAGAGCTTTTAAGCAACAAATGAAGATCCGTCATCAAATGTGCACATCTATATACACATTCATCTGTGCTACAGTCATGTATGTCCAAGCCTGTGAAAATCACATATTTGGCACATAGTCCAGTCCCATTACGATATGCTGGCAGAACCGTTCATTTGCCACCGGAAATGATCTGCTTAAGCTTGAACAAGGACTGGCAGTAGCATATCAGGAGCAATGAATATCAAAGCCACATGCGTCATCTTGTGAAAGTTCCAACGCCTGGAGGAACACATTCACATAATTTCACCTGTATGAATATATATATATACAATATGCAGATTATATGCATGTGTAAACATAATAGATATACAACTATACATTGTCAATTGTTATATTATAACATGTATAATTATATAATTAAGTAATTAAATATAAATACACAACTATATATATATAGATATATTAATATTAGCAAAGAAATCCACGGAAAGCTTCAATGAGATCTGCGTCGCTCCGGAGAAGTTTCGCCGGAAAAACCAAACATGGCAGGTACTTTTCTCTTCCACGTGCGCCAAAGTGCGGGGTGAAGTTAACGGGGACGAAGTCGGCAATGTTCAAGCGTTTCGATCTTTCAGCGATTTCTATGGATTTCCACTGGATTTGGATTGAAATGTAGATGTCTACAATATCTATAAACATGTATACAATATGTATACATATATATATGTTGATGTGACCACGCCAGGGACATTTATGCCCGAGATCAAAAAGGTGCGCATAGGGATGCGCAACTGCTGCTCCGAGGTTTGCTACCAACATTGGTAGCGGAGCAGGTAACACACCTGACTCCTGCTGGCTAGGTAGCCAGTGTCCGCAGGCTAGGAAGCTTGCGTGATTGTGACCACGCCATGGCTGAGCTGGGAAGTTCTACAAAGTATTTCTCTGGCGACAACTGTGACTACCGTGAGTATCGCAGGTGGAAGCAATGGGCGCAGAACCGCATGCTCACAAGCTTCCGAAGGAAGCCAGAGGGTCTTTTGTGTGGACTCTGTTACAAGGAAAGGCGTTGGAGGTGGTTGAGCACTTGACGCCTGAGCAGTATCAGATCGATGGTGGTGAAAAGGTGCTGTTCAACCTTTTGGACAAGCGCTGGCCAGAGATAGACAAACCCGCTGAGCTTGGGGAGAACATCAACAAGGTGTTCACCATCCGAGCAAATGAGGGTGAGACGCTCAGAGAATGGTGCGCCCGGGCCTCCGAGTGCTTTGACAGTTGCAATAGAAAATCTGGGGTGCAGTTTCCAGAAGAAGCAAAAGGATGGATTCTTCTGAACTGTGGCGGCCTTACGGCCGAACAACGGGCCGTAGTGCTGGCGAGAGCCCAAGGGAGCTTGAAGCTCGAGGACATCTCCCAGTCGATGCGGTCATGTTTTCCAGACTATGTGGTGCCCAAACGAAGGGTCGCAGCTGTCAACATCGTCGAGGAGGACATCAATGAGGTGCATCCTGCAAACCCAGGGGATCCGATCCCTGGGGGCTTCGATGATGTAGAAGTTTTTCTTTCTGAGTATGGTTTGAATCCCGGCGAAGATGAAGATCCAAATGAAGTGGCCTTTGATGAGGGTGAAGTAGCCGAAGTTCTTGCTTCGACCTGGAAAGAGAAACGACAGGAGCTGAACAAACTCCAAAAAGGTCGAAAGTTTGAGCAAGCCTCGGATGTCCGTCGGTCATTCAGGGTACAAGTTGAAGAACTCAAAAGACGGACAAGATGCAGAAAGTGCGGAAAGATAGGTCATTGGCAGAAAGAATGTCGTTCCCAGGGAACGGCTGCAGCGTCGTCGTCTTCGGCAACGGGATCTCATGCTGGATCCCAACGAACTGGTGCAGGGGTAGTGGAAAATGTGGAGCACTTCATTTGTGTAGCCAGCCCTGTGTCGTCTAGCCCGGATGTAATGATTGCCCAACTGCTGGAAAAGCGTCAGCAGGTGAAGGCTGATCACACTGAGGTCTGCCTGGTGTCAAGCCCTGGTTTTGCAGTGCTGGACAGTGGGTGTGGGAAGACCATTATCGGGTCTGAGACGTTGGCTGGATTCAAAAAGATTCTCTCTGCAAAGGGAATTGTGGTGCCTCCGGAGTTTTCTGAATCAAATACCTTCAAGTATGGGAATGGTGAGACTGAAGTTTCCAATCGCATGGTCAAACTGCCCATCTGTTTAGCTGGCCGACGTGGCTCCATTCATGCTGCAGTGGTGAAAGGACAGGCCCCTCTGTTGATGTCGAGAGTCGCCTTGAAATCACTGGAAGCTGAGATGAATTTTGGAAAAGATCAATTGATTGTTTTCACTGACCGTGTATCGGTTCCTCTGACGGTGAACAGTGCCGGACAGTATACAGTGAACGTCTCCAACTTTGCCAAGATTTCAGAGCCAGCCGTGAATGAAGATGATGACGAGAGTGACCTGCCGATGCTGACTGAGCCCAGTCCTGCCGAGACCACTCCATGTGACTCGATTTCCATCAGTAAGCCAAAAGGGGGTAAACGTAAGGATTATTGGGAAGTTAGACCTGTTGATAGGGTAGTGATTAGACATCATCTCCGTCCCCGTCGGTCTAAATTTAGTCCAAGCCTTACACAGTGCCCAGTTCCCACAGAACAGCTTACTGCCAATAGGGTCACTCAGATCCTAGACGTATCAGGTGAGGTTCAACAGTTTTGTGACCAGTGGACAGACAGCAGTCATGCACATGAAGTCATGCTCACTCAACCATGGATAGGTTCAACCGTGTTTCAACTCCATGAAGATGTTGTTTTACCACCGGGTCTCGCGCACGCCAATGAGGCCCTGCTGAGCCAATGGACCAATAAGCAACATCGCCACCTGATGTCGCAACTGTGCACTGAGGTACTGGCAGTTGATTCCCCTGGCAAGAATGGTTATGATGTGGTTGAAGTGTTTTCTCCCCCTAGATTTGCACTAGAAGGGGCCAAGAGAGGGTTGAAATGTCTTTCGGCAGACCTTTGCACCCAGTGGGATTTCCGCCGTGCCAGTGACCGAAAACGCATGCATGAAATTGTTCAACAAGGGGTTGGCCTGCTAGTGCTCTGCCCACCTTGCACTTGGGCGGGAGGCTGGTTTCACTTAAATAAACACTATATGGACCCCAAAGAAATCAGTGAAAAGGAGGTGCTGACCAAGTTGTTTGTTCAGTTTTGTTGTTCACTGATTGAAGAGCAATTGAAACGGGGTGGCCGAGTCATGTTTGAGCATCCAAAGGGTTCAATGGTTTGGGATTTCCCATGCATGCAAGCCCTCATGAAGAAGTTATGGACGCTTGACCTTCACATGTGTTGCTATGGAATGCAAGTGCCGCAGGGTAATCTCATTCGCAAGTCAACCCGCCTGTTGGTGTCACACCAAAATATGCTCACTCTCAGCCGGAAGTGCCCTGGTGATGCCAATCCGAAGCATCGTCAGCATCAGGTGGTTGCTGGTAGCCATCCAAAAGTTGGATCGATCAGTAGGTTTGCTGGCCAATATCCACAGGCCTTTGTTAAAGCTGTGTCGAACACTGAGCCAAAGTTTCGTACGACACCAGTGTTGACGGTGCACCATGAGATGTCTGCAGAATGTCTGGCTGCCTCTCGAGTCCAGGATCTTGATGTGGAAAATGAACAACAGCTGAAAGCTAGTTTGAGGAAGTTGCATGCCAACTTAGGTCACCCTAGCAATAATCATTTGGTTAGGATCCTGAAGCATGGAGGTGCCAGTGACACTGCAATCAAAGCTGCTCGCGAGTTTTCCTGCGACTTGTGCCGTGCCAATACCAAGCCGAAGATTTCCTTGCCAGCTCAGGTGCATCGAGTGTCAGACTTCAACGCTCTGGTAGGTTTGGACATCAAGTATCTCCCAGGATGGAAGGTAAATCAACGTGTCCCAGCTTTGAACATAGTGGATTATGCCAGTAGTTTCCAGTTGATGATTCCTTTGCCTGCTCAAGAAACCTCTGATTTGATTCGACAGGTGTTCCAAGAACGATGGACCAGTTGGGCTGGAGTTCCTAGAGAAGTCATTGTTGACCCTGCCCGTACGAATGTCGGTGACGCTTTAACTGTGCCACTTGAGCTTGCTGGAACGGCGATCCGTATTACTGCGGCAGACGCCCATTGGCAACTTGGAAAAACAGAAGTGCATGGTGGCTGGTTTAGCAGGGTTCTAGAAAAGGTTCTGTTGGACGTGTCGCCCAAAGATCACTCAGAATGGATGGAATGTGTTCACGCAGCCCACTGCAAGAATCAACTCATTCAGGTTTATGGCATGTCACCGTCTCAATTTGTCTTTGGTCAAAATCCTAGGGTTCCTGAGAACTTACTTGATGAGCCAGTCGAAGTGGTGCCTGCCACAGCCTCTCTGTACAGTGCGCGAATTGCACGTCAAGTCGCAATCCGTCAATCTGCACGGAAGTCGCTGATTGAACTCCAGGACAATCGGGCCTTGAGACTTGCATTAGCCGCCCGGCCACGAACCATCACCACGTATCAGCCTGGTACGTATGTTGCCTACTGGAGAAGCCAAAAGTGGAACAAAGGTGTCTTAGAGAATAAAGGGCGTTGGCATGGGCCAGCCGTTGTTCTTGGTGCAGTGGGTCGAAACGTGGTGATCGTTCACAAACGTCAAATCTTGAGATGTGCCCCAGAGCAAGTGAGGCCATCCACACCGGATGAGATGCAGCTGGTTGACACTCCACAAATGGAACTGTTGGGGATTAAACACCTAATAGAGCGGGGGATGTTAGATAGTAGACAATACATAGATCTTGTCCCTGAAGAATATCCATCCGCCAGTGGTGATGCACCAGAACCGCTGCCTCCTGCGGAGAACTCTCAAGCGGCCAGGGAACTGCAAGATTCTCAGAATCAACCGGCACCCGAGGGTATTTTCAGTGATGTAGAGTCTCCTCCAAGTGCACCTGTGAGAGACACCGAGATGCCTGAAGCCCCTGCTGACGAAAACGTCAGGGTAGTTCCGCCGACGGGACCTGAATCGGAAGTTCATGCTGCTCCAGGCGATGGCACAAACACATATGGACCCTTGCGTAGGAAGGTACTAGGTAAGTCAGGTCCTCAAGCCTTATACCGTCCTGCCAAATTGAAAGAGGATGATTTTGCTGAAATCATGCGTGAAATTGTGCCCGACTTGATTGAGCAGACTTTGGCATCAGAGTCGTCCCAGTCAGCACAGTTGTCAGAGACTGAGAGGAGTTCCAGTGTTAAGCGCGCCTTATCGCCTTCGGAAGTGTCTCCACCAGTGAACCCTAAGAGTCAACGATTAGATGAACCAGATCATGCACTGTGTGTTCAGCAGCAATCCAATGAAGGAGTCACGTTCGCATGCGATGAGGTCGAAGTTTTGTCTGTGGCTGTGACGTCACAACATGCCGATCTGCCGTCCGATCGTTTGGAAGATCATGAAAAGGCAGAGCTCCGTGACCTTGTAGATGCCGGAGCCGCTCATGAGCAATTGGTAGCAAGTTACTTTCAGAAGAAAGCCTCCAAAGAAGTTAAGGGTACGGGTAATGAGGTAGAGTTGCAGCGTAAGATAGATGAAGCCAAATTACTCGAATGGAATACCATCCTTAGCAAGAATGCAGCCAGGTTGGTCCTAGGTCCTGAAGCCCTTGATGTTCGCTCCAAACTTGCTCACCGTATCATGGGTAGCCGATATGTCATCACCGTGAAACAAGAAGACGATGCACCGGCTCGAATCAAGGCACGTTGGTGCTTGCAGGGACATTTGGATCCTGATTTACATGCCAAGGCTCAACATGGTGATCTCCAGAGTCCTACCATTTCACAAATTGGTCGAAACTTGTTATTCCAGTTGATAGCCTCCCACAAATGGTCGTTGAAACTTGGTGACATTCGTGGTGCTTTCTTATCTGCAGGTCAGTTGCCTAAACAATATCGGCCACTGTATGCCTCTTTGCCGGCTGGGGGAATTCCGGGCGTTCCAGATGACGCCCTGATCGAAATAACTGGACATGTTTATGGACTCAATGATTCGCCATCAGCTTGGTATCGTAAGTTGGATAGTGAACTTCATGCTGCCGGTTTCGAACGTTCCAAGATTGATAGCTGCATCTATTACATGCGTGAAGATGGTAAGCTGTCAGGTGTCTATGGAATACATGTTGATGACTGTGCAACAGGGGGTTCTGGAAAGAAATATGAAGATGCTTTGAACTACCTCAAACAAAAATTTGAGTTCAGAAAGTGGCGTAACCATGATGGAGATTTCTGTGGAGCACGGTATGTTCAGGACCCTGTTTCTAAAGTCATTTCCATGTCACAGCAAGCTTTCGCTCAGAAACTGAGACCATTGCACTTTTCAAGAGAACGCATGTCCAAGAGAGATGAACCGTTGAATCCAAAAGAAGTTGCGTGTTTACGTGCGATCAATGGAAGCTTGAACTGGCTGTGCACTCAGTCACGCCCAGACTTATCTGCTCAAGTGTCCTTCTCACAACAATCTTTTCCTGAACCGAAGGTTCAAGATGCTTTGAATGTGAACAATGCAGTTCGTCGCGCCAAGCAGCATTCCGATCAGAACATTGTGTTTTCAGTGATTCCTCCTGAAGAACTTTGTGTGATGATGCATTCAGATGCGGCGTTCGGAAATGCCCGTGCTGGAGCGACGCAAGCTGGATATGTGGTGAGCCTGACCAGTAAGGCCATCAATGTTGGAAAAGAATGTGCGTGGACACCGGTCTTCTGGCGTAGTTTTAAGCTGCCAAGAGTAGTGAGTTCAACCTTGAGTGCCGAGGCTCAAAGCATGTCGGTAGCTTCAAGCATGTGCGAGTGGACCATGCTGTTGTTGAGTGAAGCACTCGATGGTTTTCGTTGTCCCCATTCCTTTTGGCATAGCACTGGTAGAGAAGCCGTCCTGGTAACAGATTGTAAGTCTCTTTATGATCACTTGCAGTCCCCTTCAACTCCTGCCTTGGATGACAGAAGAACTTCAATTGACATCATAATCATTAAGGATAGTATCCGTAGGTTAGGTGCCCAACTGAGATGGATTCCTACCAATCGTATGCTAGCTGATGCCATGACAAAGGAAAGTCCCGAAGCGTTTGACCTGCTCCGGGCATGCATCCGAGTCATGCGATACCAGATCAGCCCCGAAGAAAGTGTCCTGAAATGGCGAGCAAAAGAGAGAGAGCGTCGGAAGCAGTTTGCAACCAGAGCTGTGTGCTCAGCCACCTCCCATGTCGATCGGCCTCGCAGTAGTCATGGGGACTGAAGCAGAGTCATAGGTATCAACATGAAGTATAGTGTTTATGCATGTCGCAAATGTAACCTTGGTGATAGGTCCTGTTTAGCATTCCTTGCAGATACTCAGCCTTTTTCCTACCGAGTATCAAGGGTGGCACTATCTTGTATCGTTGCTGTGTTCCTTCTTTTCGATGGCTGAAGCACCGTTGTCTCCAGCCCAGTCTGATGCTTGGGATGTGGTGAAAGATGATTGGTCTTCCTTGGATCAATCTCAAGCTGTCATGCTGGTGACGAAGGCTCGTCGCCTTGGTCTCATGGATCAAGTGATGCTGGCGGTTTGTGAAGAAGAGCGCTTGTGTGCCCAGCTGCAGCACACGCCTGGGTCTATGAATGATTCGTCAAAGCGCCTTCGTGAAGCCACAGTGATTACCAACCTAGCCAGTGATGGTCGTGCTGGATATGGATCTCTCACGTATGCTCCTCCTCCGTGCAGCTCCTACAATGTGCCTCCTCCTTTGCCGAAGTTGTCTGGATCTGAGGGTGCGAACCTTGCCAGTGATATCGCGCTCCCTGAAGGAGTCACTAGTATGGCAGATTGGGCATGCACAGTGGTATCCTTTGGAAAGTACAAAGGCAAGAAGAGCTATGTTGAGATCCTCACTGATGAATCCGAAGATATGGTCGGCTACAAGAAGTACCTCTATGACCATTTCTCCCATGGTTCTCCGCAGTTGCGGGATCTCACAGCCTATTTGAAGGCATGTGGCTATGGGGTGAAGAAGATTCAACAGCCGGTGATTCCCGGCACCACCATCATCCGTGAGTTCAAGCGCTGATTTGGAGAGAAGGGAAGCCAACCATCAAAAGAATTTTTGAAACGAAGATAGAAGGAATGTTGATGTGACCACGCCAGGGACATTTATGCCCGAGATCAAAAGGTGCGCATAGGGATGCGCAACTGCTGCTCCGAGGTTTGCTACCAACATATATATATATTATATTATAGAGATATGATCATATTCTGTGTATAATATATATATATATACAAATATTAAGACATACACATTATACACGAATACATATTGCATCCTTGTAGGTCTCACCTTGGAAAGGAGCTCCTCCTTCGAGGTGCTAACTTCGCCGCAAAACCCTGTTGAGGTGCTCTAACTGAAACTGAAATCACCGGCAACTTCGCCGGCATTTGGCAAGTTCTTCCTACTGGTCCTACTTAAATTGGTCAGGGAGAAACAGCTCTGTTTCAGATTCTGAAAAAACAGGGGACCAGTTTGAGTAAATATAAGCACTGAAGAGTGAATACCATATTCTTCAATATTCTTCATACATAAACACCAAGAGAAATACCAACATAATCACAATATGCATGTCATGAATTACCATCTGGTTATTTAACATAGCCATGGAAAATCCCTTATAAATGGAAGTTTCAATGGGAAAATCATCTATAAATGGACCATTTTCCATGGCTGTTAAATAGCCAGAGCATAATACTAACTGAACATCCTTTTTACATTTTGTACATCCCTTTGACGAACGTGTGGACAAACAAGACCGTCCGGTGACACGTTCCTCCCTGAGTCGATCACTGGCGACCAGCTCTGAGACACGTCGCCTGACGTCGTTCTCAGTCCCTCCAATAGCGCCAGGTGGTCACCTGACATGGCCATGGCCAAAAATGGATGAAATATGGATGGGATACCCTTAAATGGATGGCTGACTGACATGTGTGTTGCTTTGTTGTTGTTGTTGTTGCTTTATTGTTTTTTTTGTTGTTGTTGTTGTTACATTTACGAGTACATACGTAACTGTATCAGTGTGTTGTTACAAGTTACATATGTCGCGTGTCAGGGTCTGTTTTCGCATCCAAAATGGCGATCATTTGAGAAATATGGGGAAAATCTGGGGAAATGGCGATCAATATCATGATGACGATGGCATTTTGACGTGTATACATGTGTATACCATTTTTTCCGACAACCTATGCTGAGATTCTCTCTTTGACTTCCAATTTCTTGTCTTCTGTCATTCTTATGAACAATGACATGCTGATGACTATCACATCATCTGGGCATATTTGGGAATATCTTGCTATAATATCTATAATATGCTATAACATTAACTACCAACATGTGCCAACTCTGATTTCAAGCCAATTCTGACTGGACGATCTGCATCATCTATCTTCAAGCTCAAACCTGGTTTCCATATTTTTTTTGAGTAGTAAATCCTCAACAATTTCATTTTTTCGCGGCCATGAAATTGATGCTTTCCCCATGTTTCCCCTGCCTCTGCGCCCTTGCCCCGTCCACCAGGCTCGTCCATGAGCGCCACTCCACGTGAATGTAAGAGCTGGCAGAAACAGCTCGGAGATGGTCCCGAAAAGTCCCGAAATTGGATCATCAACTTTGTCATCACCTAATATCAACATATATCAACTATCCCGGAGAAAGGTGTGGTGAGTTTTGGACATTTTTGGACTGTGTATTTCATCAATTCATCAAAATCGCAATCCTGGGGAGCCATGTTAACGGCAATAAAAAACAGTACGAATTTATTGAGACTTGCTGTCCGTCTTGAAGATTTGGATCTACTATGATCTACTGTAGGATGCACAGCACAATTACTACAATTGAAGTTGAGTCGATTGGCATTTCAGGCTACCAATTGGCTGCAAAAGGAACAGAAAGCGCGTTGTAGATTCTGGGACTTCTCGATCTAGTGCAGAACTGATCTAAATGGTGATATATATATTATACATATAATAATATATTAATATATTAATATATATTATATACATGCTTCAATTTCAATCGATTTCCTTCCGCGAACAAAGTTACAAACGACCTTAAAGAACAAAAATACGTAGATAGTAATTAGAAATGATCAATCAAATAGCAATAGCAAATTGAAATAAGCACAATCGTTGTGAATCGAGCGAAATCTCAACCATTTGTGGATCGGAAAGCAGAAAGCGAGCCTGGCGAATACGATCAGCTTCGGGAAAGTTGTTGGCTCTTCGTGCCTGGGCCAATTGGATCCAAATGGAGGGTTAAAGCTGAGTGGCTCAAGGTGCCTGCAGTTGGAAGCAAGGCGAAAGAATCAAACTGTGATGAGATGTCATGAAAATTCATCTGAGACAAACTGTTTTGGTGCTCAAAAAACAATGTCACTTCCTGATCAGAAAACGTAGAAATCCAAGTCCAACTGCCACAGAAGCACCTCGTTGCGTTCATCAATCAGCTTCTCAATCTCCTCAGCTTCCGATTGCGACTCTTCCCTGAACATCACCAAGATCTTAGGACCCAAGATTTCCATACCATATGTTCTGCGGACACTTTGGCCCAATGGAGGAGTTGCGCCATGGATACCTTTCACAGGAAAGAAGCAAATCACAACCAAACACAGTAAGGTAAACTCCTAAAATCCCCAGTGGGTTTTCCCTTTTACAAAATTTGCCCGACAGCGGCACCATGGCCATGGCCCCCCACGTTCACTGGCGGTGCGTTGGGGCCAGGCTCACCGCGATCAATGACTCCATCCTGGCTCTTCATGGGCTCCCTGAGCGCAGGAACTTTCTCACATCCGTGGGGATGCTTGGGATATCTTGGGATTGTGGAGCTTGTGAACACTGTAATTCTGAGTGCAACCATCTGAAGTTGGATGAGAGGCATGCCATGGGATGCACTGCCAAATGGTGACAATTCCTTTAGCCCCTAACTGCCAGGTGCTGGTCTGATTCTGGATATAAGTTTTGCCTACACAATATGCCCTAGCAAGTGGAGCATGGAGCATCCACCAAGGTCCTTCTTGAAGGCATGGCACACGCAATGCCCTTTACATCCTTGTACCTACATCCTTTTACCACTGAACTAGTTGCAACAACTTGGATGGCTCACCAATATTAGACACCATCGCCAGTGGTACTGTCACATATTGCTTGCCGAAAAACATAGGGTACCCCAAAATTTGATGCTTAAGATCACCGTGTTTCCCATGGGAAAAGGCCGTAAATTGGTGGGATACCCATGGATACCCTATTTTCAGACACACCATGACACAGCCATATCTCTTTCCAGGCCCATTCACCAGGGCCTCTTAGCAGTTCGTGCCTTTCCTTTGCGCTTGTCTTTGCCATCCCCTGGCAGAACATCCAAGGGAGTTGGTATTGGTAAATAAAAATCAGCATCAACTTGGCATGAATGGAAGTATGATGTGTGTATGTATATAATTAATTGTAATTATGTAAGATATAATTATAAATATAATTATTACTTATATAATATTATATATCATTATAATACTCATATGTGTAGGCCATCATTTTGTGTAATGTTATCATTGTTTTCATCCTCCTAGTGTTCTTCATCCGCATCCCAGCCAAAACCAGAATGTTTTGACTCAACAACTTCGCAACTAGCTGCACATAGCTGCACCAGATTCAAAGTGACAACCCATCCCCAGAATTCAGGGCCTTCATCGTCATCCATGCCCATACCACCCGCGAAGGATGCCTTGGAACTGTACCTTGGTGGGATGGCAGGGCGTTTTGGGCCTTTTGTTCTCTGCACTCTACACCAAATACACAGAAAACATGGAAACGGAATGACATGGATTGCCTGTGCCATCATTGGCGTTCCATGGATTCTACATGATTCCACACCTTTCAGCTTCTGTTGGATCTCCTTACTCGCGTTGCCCAACAGTCAGCCACTGGCTTCATCTGAGCCAGCTACACAAGTTGATTCTCAGTCAGATTAATCTGCAAATCCGGGATGGGCTTCTGGTTCTCCCGACAGAACTGTCGATATTCCTCGTACCTCAAGGTGGGAAAGGTGAGTAGAAGGACTGCATCGACAATCTTCAAGTTGGAATATGTTGCAATCGCAATCGTAGGAAAAGAATTGAACAGAGTTTCACTTTTGAGATTGTCTGTTGTGTGGGGCCTGTCTTGACGTTCAAATAGAATCCACGCAGGTGCAGCGGTTTTCAATCTGACTCAAGACAGAGAATCTCACTGCACATGGTCACAAGCACCGCAAGCAAAAGGATGCACAAGGTATCACTACACCTTACAAATCCTTACAATCAACATCAATCAGCATTGTTGCCTCATAATGTTATCACAATATATATATATATAATATTACAATTGACGGTTTCAGAACAGATGTTTGTCTAACCTATTTGACAGTTTCAATCATCAAAACTAGGAAACGTAGGTGACCGTAGGTGTGTTCTGGTCTGGTGTGTTCGCCAGCGTCATCTCTACAAACTGTAGGGATCCAAATTCAGCACAACATCCTGCACCCCAGACCAACTGCATCGTCGCACACACGGTTCAAAAGCTCTTCAACACCACGCACCTTGGCAAACCCTGATACCCAGGATTTGTAAACCCTGACCATTAATATCTATTAATTGGGTTGCCCCCAAAATAGTAATACATTATGATACATTATGATACATTAGTATGAAAATTGGTACCCCCCCTAGGAATCAACCGGGCCTGGGTCAACGTTACTTACGACATCTGTGACTTGGAGGTGCTTCTCTTTATCCTGCGTAATCACAAGGGTTTTTTTGAAGGAAAAGGTAGCCTCCTCCAACTTCAGCATGTGCCGGAAAGTTACAGTAAACGCCTTTGGACATTGTAGAGGGCATGGGCTGAATATGGCCGATGGTAGCCATTGAACTGAATCCAGCGATTAGGAACTCGCCAATATTTTATCCAATTTCACCTGCCATATCCAGGTGCAACAATGTGAAACAGCTATCAAAGGCTGAGCCCTCCCAACTGCAGTCTTGTAGCCATCATGGCCTCAATGTCAGGAGCTCGCTGCAGGTAGCTAGATACAGCTGGATTTGAATTTGGCCTTCCAACCAAAGAGTCTTCAAATAGAAGCTTAATGGAGGTCAAGATAGGTCAAGTATCACACAACGCAAAGAGTCAGAGTGACGTGCCATGTGGATTTAAATGTACAGTTCATGAATTTCCTCTTGATTTTCCATCAGGACTCACTCAGGTTCCAATCCCCAGGACACCATTCGCCCTCAAAACAAGCAGCATAAGATGTGTAAGTGGCATAGTGGGACTGGCAGTACAAAAATGTACAAAAGCTGAAACTCCCTGGTTTTTTGAATGCCTCCGAATAAGCTTAGGCAAAACCACGGTGAACTGATGCACAGCGGCACCGGCTGTCCGCACTTCACCCATGGGCACCCTGGCTGGTGCAGGAAATGCAAAGCTGCAAGGGCTCGGAGCTCTCCTTCTGCCCAGCACCCTGGCATGAGAATGTGATGGCTACCATATGGTACCATGGAAACTACCATGGAAAGCACTGATGGAATCTGATGAAGCCTGCACCGGTTGATGAAGAATGATAAGATTTGAATCTCACTATCTCAAAGTCTTTTCTGTTTAGTCCAAGTTTGACAAGGTTGAAGTTGAGGTGATCCTGAAAAAGGTATTCAAAAAGTCGCTTCCCTGCCTCAAAGTAGCCAGAGCCAACGCCACGGAGTCGAAGTTTCGCTTCAGTTTGCTTCACAATGCCTTGCAGCGCAAAGCTGGCTGTGTCCTGAGATGTCCTGAGATGTCCTGAGTCTCCAAACGCTTCATGTTGGTTCCCTTGGCCCCGATGATACGGCGAGCCACCTGCGCCGACAAGACGTTTGCAATTTTCGTAAGCTGTGTTGCGATGAGGGTCACCTTTCACCTTTCCACCTGCTCTCTTTTCATCTGACCAAAGGATGCTATGGGGAAGGTGGATTCCACGATGGAAACAAGCAAGCAGTATGATCACTTGAGAGTTCAACACACTCAAAGGATTCAACAGATTCCACAGATTGCAACAGTGATTCAGCTGCCGAAAAGGTCTCAATCGCTGCCTGGAAGTCTTTGTCATTCTCAATGCCGATGATGAAGCGGCAGGTGTACCTGTCAATTCTAAGCATATTCTAAGCTGCTGCAGGTTTGGTCCTGGCCTCCCTTCTAACTTCCCAGTCCCTCCAGGGCACTTCTTCTGGCTCTTACCAGGAGACTTGTCTGCCTTAGCACGGAGTCAATTCTCATCCTTTCTTCATCACCGAGGTAGCACACAGTGTGCCCTGGTTACAAAGCCCAAAACCTCTGCATGCGGCAAGGCATCCGGTAAGGTCTGGACGTTCCCAGATGCTGTTGAATTGGCCACAGCCTTTGGCATGTGAATCACCGCCCTAAACGTTGACATTGCCCGTGACCCAATCCTCATCCCAAATACCAAGACTTTACCAAGACCAAGCGAGACCAAAGTAAGAAATCAGACCTGTGTCATGATAATTTCCTGAACTGTTCTTGGTTTCACTGAATAAAAAGCATAGCCGCGGCAGCTGGGGACCCCGCTGCCGCTGGTGCTCCCCAAGCTTGTCCAGGTGCAGGCCTTTCCATACTGACGCCAGAAATGAGTCTTTTAGCCATCCTGTGGATGGAAACATTGGTACTTTGGTGAGTAACAGCAATATACAATCATAGAATGTCACAGAATTCAGATGATTGCCACGCAACTGAGCATCGCGACGGGAAGCCCCAGGCCGGGAACGGCATGCCAGGGTACCTGAAGCGGCATTGCTGACATATCACACATAGTATATACGTTCAGAGGAAATCTTTATCACAGTCTAAGCCCTGCAAGTAGCACTACACTATTACATACTATTACTATCATTTGTGGACAAATCTGAACGATCAGTACCTCAGCTTGGCACGGTGGAGGCATGGCAGGGTTGTTTGCCCAGTTGATTCTCAAGGTGCCTTCCAAACCATTGAGCACCTGGAAATAGCACCATCTTCGAAGCATGTGGCGCATCAATGCCATGGGTATCCATCAGCACTCTGGGTGGGAAATACTGGGCCACAGAATCTTATGCCTAGGCTGCCTATGAAATTAAGAGAAATTAAGTACGCTGAGAAGGTGCGCAGTCTTTCTACGTAAGGATAGCAATACAAAAAGCAACTGTTGGAGCCACAGGCCTTGCCATTCAGATCGTTCATGGCTGCCTCGCAACATGAATGACTGGATGACTTAGGCAGCCAGACTGTATCCGCAACACAAAGTGATACAAAGTGGAGAGTGGAGATCTCTCGACTGTTTCAGTCGCTTTCAGCCCAAAATCCCTCCTGGGCATCTGGGAATTGCTCGAAGATGATCATGGCGCTGGCTCCGGCCTGCCAAATTGCAAGCACAAGTATTCCGAAATATCGTGAATGATATCACCATTAATCACCATTAACCACCATTAATCACCATTTGTGAATGTGTCCCAAAAAGAGTCAACCACACTACATGACATGATTGACATGTTCCCATGCGACTTTGCTGAGATTTTCGTAGAAACCTCGACATCTGCAACCAAGGACTTCTCAGCACCGCCTCATCCACACGAATTTGCTTGACAGATCCGTACCGACTGAAGACCTCAGTGGGTGCAGTCTTAGAGGTTCGAACGTAACATGTTCTTAAGGTGGTTTTATTCAATCATATATCGCTATATGATGTTATATGTGATTGTAAGAATATATATATATAGAATTATATAGATATGTACACTACATATCTCCCTCTGACATCTTGTCCAACTGCTCATATAAACTGTAGATGTGTGAAGTGATTTCGGCTGCACCAAACTGAGAGGCTCTTGCTGGAAAAAGAACTTCTTGGATCTTCTTGGTATTTACTGTACACCAGCACCATCCAGCACCTCTCTTCTTGATCCAGTGCAACTTTGCTGCTTTAACTAAGACCCTGGCTTTGTGTAAGTCGTCTTCGGTCAATTGGTATCTGAGCCCAATTGGTTCGGGGTTGCAATGAACACTTGCATGTATCCAATGTATTGACTGCATGTTCTATGCAAAGTACTGGGCAGACGTATCGTATTAGGTCAAACGTGTCTGCGTAAAGTCACCCAAACATCGGGACACCACGATCGTGTAGAGCCATTCATGCCAGTGAAAGTCACTCATTTTATGTTTGAACACCATGGGGATGCTGCTTCAAGAACAGTTTTTGCAACCATTCAACATTGAAGAAAGTCTGCAGACACCAACGCCACATCTCCCTCTGCAGCAGCTTGAGACGCACACAGGGTGCTAGCAACAATTTTGTGGTACAACATCCATGAACAATAGCTTACATGTCTTCTTTATATCGCATTTGTTAGCCAAACCGACTTCACACATGTCTGCGCGACTTAACCCAAACACCCAGTGCCTCTTTTGCATTCTTTTCCCATATCAGGTATGTCCATACACGGTGTGATGGCTTGCTGCCAAGCTGCTGAAATTTCATGCCTTCCACAGAAACAGTAATTGCTGGCTCGGACGGCATGGTTGGGGTGTACCTGGCATCATGGGGCCCCGTGGATCCCCGTGGCATGAGATTCGACAAGGGCCAAGGGCTTGTACGACTTGGAACAGGAATCCCCCCCTTGAACCAGACAACCTGAAAGAACCAAATAGGTCAACAACGCATGGTTCTCTGCAGGCCCTCCACATTGCACACATTGCATTTGTGCATCCCATCTCTTTTCCGGGGCACGGTGATGGAGGAATCCCAGGGAACATCGGCCTCAGTAACCAATATGAAGGGAATTCACGACATAAATTCCAAGTGACGTGACATGAATGTCCAAGTCTGACTGTGTTGCCGCTGGCTCCCCACATCGTTACGAATCACTACGCATCTAATATACCCTCTGGTGAACTAACATAGCAATGGAAAATCACCATTCTTAATGGGAAAACTCACTATAAATAGCCATTTTCCATTGCTATGTTAGTTCACCAGAGGGTATCTACCAAACCAATCCAAACCACCCATTGGCCAGCCCAACGTCGGATCCAAGGCACGGTGTGGGAAAACTGGAGCCACTGAAGCCCGCTTGATGCTGAAGTCCTTGCTGGATATACCTGCTGAGTGATGAGTCAGAAAGGGGGTGGGGGGGTGGAGCCTGTCGAGATGAGGACATGCTGGCAATGCAAGTGTTACGACTTATCTTCCTGGAGAATTGCACATCTTGCTCCCTAGAGCTTTCCACAGCAATCCACAATCTGAAAACTCAAAGTGGAGAATTTTGGAGGTGCCTACCATGCAAATGCCCTTTATCAGGGCGCTGAAATTGAAGAAAACAGAAAGCATCAATCTCACTGCAGCCAACAACATCTGGGATCCCATCGAGGGCCGACAAGGTGGGCACTGCACCATCTGCACGTAGGCTTGAGCCATTGCAGGATCAAACTGCGGAGGTGGTACACCCTTAGCCAAGCTCCCCAGATCTCCCCAGCCAACGAACATCACGAGCTGTGTCGGCCATGACCATGGGAAAACAATGGAAAACATGTCATATAGAACGCCATGTCCAACGATTCTGATAGCATCTTGCCACGCCTCACCACTTGCAAGGTCCTGCAATTGCAACTCAGTGCCCAGCTGACATGGCAGAGCTGTCCCCGGAAGGAGCAGAGCCGAGCATCGCCTGCATCGATGTTGAAGATGTGTCGAAGATATGTCGAAGATTCAAGATATCTTGGATATGCCGCTGCAATATCTTGGGCTGTTGGGCTGCTGGGCTGTTGGATCCCTCTCTCAGCTCGCCTGCATGGCCGCTGGGTCTGGCATCCCAGGATAGTTTGCTGCCTCAATTGGGATGCAGCATCAAATCTCTTGGCGAAGATATGATCGAATGCAAAAAACTACTATCTATTTCTTGAGCAATTTCCCGAAAAAGTTTTCCCTACTGAAGGCCTCAATCGTTTACCTTGGGTATCCTTGGGTCATGGATGCTCAGACTTTTGAGCTTGGAATCTATCGATTATTTCAGTCAAACGTGATAATATCCCAGGAGTTACTGTTCCAAAACGCAGTGAGATGAACAGTAAAGTGCCATGAGTAGGACACATCAAGCATTGCAAAAGGAGATTACTTTGCTTCTTCAGGAACCAAATGAGCAGCTACAGTACCCTGTTTGATCTGAGCGTGGTTAGCTAGAGACCCTGAGTGTGCAGCCATTTCTGTCCCTGTCTTTCCCTGATCGCTCAAGGAAATGATCGTGCTAAAAATGTATCCAAACATTATTGGGAAACAACCATCTGTGTGACATGACGTACTCTGACTATGAATATCCCTGGACATTTGACTCCAACAGCTTGCTGTAGCTTTGTGCATCAGAGGACAATGTGCACCAAAATTTGCTCACTCAAGCCCTGAAAACGAGCAACACCCGACCTCTTCGAGAGGATGCGCAAAAATTAAGAGACGTCAAATTACCTCAAGGCCACAAGGTGCCAGATTCCACATACAATGCATCACGATGCTACCCGGTACCCAGTAACGTAGGAACCAGGAGAAAATCACAGGACTTGGGTGAACCACAACGATGTCTCTGCAAACATCTTGATCCTCAATATCAAACAGCCTGTGCACCTGGTCGATAGAATCACCGACATCTCAAAAGAGTAGAGCAACGCAGTCAAACACATGCAAGATCTTGGTCCATTTGGTCCATGCAACAAAAATGGATGGCCAAAATGGATATCTTGGATTCCCCAACGAATTGGCCAAACGCACGGCCCAGGGGCCTAGGCCGTGCCCGAATTGCCTTCCGAGCCAAATTACCCAACGAAGACCGTGAAAGCTTCGGGCAGTCCAGTTCCAACCTGTGTAAATACTCCTTTCACAATTTGCTTTCGGTAGATTGATGAACGCATAGTCAGGCTGCAATTCCAAATTTAGTTTAGAGCTGAAGACCTTGTAGAGACAGTGTCAAAAATGAGAGATAATGAAAGAGTTCCCATGCAATTCACGCAGGGTTAATAAGCATTCCACACTCCCAAGCGAACTGCTCGCTAGTCTTTTTTAGCCGTGTCGCATCTGCCACGAATAAATTCAGTGAAACCGGTACACCATCACATGTTCAAACATTGCCAGATATCCAGTCAACTGCCAATCTTACCATATCTTGCCATATCTTGCCATTTGTTTCGTAAGATGAAGACATATGGAACCTCGTGGCTTGTGTGAAACTTGGCATCCTGGAAGGTAATCCCAAATGACCGCGACAGACATTGAACATGGCTGAAAGTTGGTTTTTTAGTTGGTTAATGTTGGTTAATAACAAGATCAGTTGGTCTCAGTTGGTTAAGAAACAGCTTGAAACATCCGTGGATGGCCTTCCCAGTTGTGAAACGACAGCCCCCCTTTTTTGTGACCTCAGGGCACAAAACAATCTACGCCACATGAAGTCACAACATACAGACAGTTCTCAGACAACAAGACTACAAGACATATTGCTGTTATATTAGTTATATTCAATGTATTTCAATGTATTTCAATGTAGTATCGTCTCATATCGTCTCTATCTCTCCTCTCTCTTTCCCTCTCTTTCTCCCCACATATATTACATTAATATTACATTAATATTACATTATATAAACACACGCACAGAGACATGAATTATGCAGGTGAATTGATGTAGCAGAAAGTTGCCACTTTCAATGCGTCTCAGGTCTGAGGAGACGATCACGACCATTTCATCATGGGAAATTCATTGGATAATCCATGGGGGTTTCCATACATGGATGGTTTATAGTGGAAAATCATGGAAAATCCCTCTAAAATGGATGATTTAAATTTTTTTCGCCCCCAATTTTAGAACACCTCCTTTTTGGGGAAGGTCAATTCAACTTCATCAGGTCGCAAGTGCAGTTCTTGGCAGCATTGGATGACAGAAAAACGAAAGGGTTAACCTAGGACAAAAACACCGTAGTTGATGGGCTGTGGGATTGCAGCTCAGTATCTCAGGCTACAACACATTTATTGAATTGAGAAGAATCGCAGCATGATTGGAACAGTGGGACTCGAAGAATTCCATGTTTTCATGTTTTGACAAACACCATTTTGAAGGTCACCTTGGTATGCTAGTCATTCGCATCCTATCAGGGCAACCGCGGCAAGCTTAGGCGCATTATGTTTGTGTCTTCAATCAGATCCATTTGGGACGATTTTGGATGATTCCATCACACTATTCCATCAACCGAAGTGACGCGGTTGCAATTCTGTGAGAGCAAGATGAAAAATACATGTCTGGTAAGTCTGGTATCACCGTATCACATCATATCACCCAAAAAAGCGTATCGACATTTTTTTTCCGCTCGCCATCTTCACCACGAGATCTCATTGTCTCCCGCGTCCAACATTCGCTGAACATGCTGAACTCATGGTCCCCGGGGCACAAATTCCTGGGCGAATAGAAGGGCCAATAGAAGACACCCCAGGTCTGAAAACTGCATGCTCGAGCTGCTGGATTGCTCAACAGCAATAGACACTATGCATGTCTCCTTGTACAAGCGATTTGGCACCTACAACAATCCTAGGGTCCTAGCCACATACATTTATGAATCAAACAGTTGTGACAACGCCATACTCTCTCTCTCTCTCACAAAACTTGGTTGGACTTCCAAACTCTGATTGTTCAATCATAGTTTTTGGATGTTTTTGGATATATTTTATTAAAAAAAACACACCTTTCCAGCAAGTCTTCGCTTTTTTGATGTAGCTATCCTCATCCCTGGCTGCCAAGTTGCTGGAGCCCCCAGGGTCCGCACAAAAAATCCAGCATCGCCACCTGGGAGCAGTGGGGAATGTCACCCATATTAGGTAACCAGGTACCCATCCCACCATCCTTGATGGTTACCTATGGTTACCTATGGTTACCTAATATTGGTGAGATGAAAACACCAGGGATCACCAGGCTACTTTTGACATGAGCCCCAAAAAACTCCCGTTTTTAGGGATTGGAATCAACATGAATCAACCTTGATCGCCCAAAACTCGGTCCACTATCTTGACATGGTCAGAATACTTCCACCAAAGATAAACCACACCATGTAATCAATGTATTTGAAAAAGTCAAAATATGTCAAAATCTAGGCCGGAAAAGCAACTTGCTGCAGGGAACTGTCAGACCAGGGAAGACTCGAGTTGATCGAGTTGGGCCCGGCATATTGGTCTGGCCCAAGCAGTTCAGAGGGTAGCAGGGAGTTGGGTTCATCGAAGTCTGGCGCCCGGGGCATGGCCATAGGTCCCATAGGTGCCATAGGTGCACCAGGCACGCCACCACCGCGCAGCTTCACCTGTGATGGGATGGGGATGGCTTTGCCACAGGTTGCCATGTTTCCCATGGACGTTGAATCATGTTTAAATTGTTTAATCTCCAAACCATTTGTGATCGCTATCAACATGTATCAACCGTGACTTGCGATGGCATTGCGTCTGGATATTGAATATTGCATCAGTTATTGCGGACTCAATATGACTCAATAATCTTGGTTTGCAAAGGGAATAGAACGGCTGAAATTCACAGCCACAACGAACAGTGGCCTTGAGCTCCATGTTCTCATCTTTCAGCTTCTTTTCTTCCTCTTTGAGCACTTCGATTTCTTAGTTTGCGTCCGGACAGAAAAGAGAGAGAGAGAGGAGATACCAACTGTTCTGAATCAGGATGGCCCGAAAAATTCGACACTATCTTTGGCTTTGCAAAAAAAATACCCAGAAAATCCCCAACGTTAAAACAGAAAACTTTTCTGAACTTGTGCAGGAGCGAATTTTCCAGTCCTTCTCTCTGGCAGTCAGATTTTCCTGGTCCTTTTTCATCCTCTGCCACTCGTTCCCTGGGTAGGGCGAATGTGACGAATGTGTGACTTGTGTCTCAAACTGTTGACCAAGTGTGCAGTTTCAGACATCTTCACAACATTTCAGGTCAGCATTCCAAACTTGGAGGAATTGATCACGCGACTATATTTGATGGTTACATCTTGATCATGCATGATTTATTGATGTTCGCTTGTATTCATCCAACCAAGCATCGGATTCGAGTGTTCTCGGCTTCCAGAGCGTCGCACCTGACGCCAGGGGCCAACTTGACAAACACGCACGACTCGTGCGCATGCACAGCAATGGTTGTAGCGGAAGCCCTTCCATAAACATCCATAAACCATAAACCATCAGAAATCCCGAGGCATTTCTCACCATCCGGATGACTCCGGGAAACAAGTCGGGCGTGCTTGGTTTTCAAGCAAAGTTGTTGGGAGTCTGACCCTGGCCCCCCCCCCTTCGCCTTTGCTTGATCTTGCGGAGGTTTTCTGTGTCCTGAAAACCCAAAAGATGTGACACATCAACTGCTTTGATCCATCGTTCCATGAGGTTGGCCCAGGGTACCGGTCCTTGCAGTTTTGGATGTCCCGTTCGCGGAGATTGGCCTGGCTCGGTGCAGCATCTTGCAGCATGTCAAAAGGCACTGCCCTCTGCTTCCGCCCCAATAAAAAAACGAACTCCCAAGCTGGACAGTTTCAAAACAGCCAGTTATGTAAAGATCAAAAAAGGTATAAAAAGGCATGACCACAGCATTCGCAGAATTGTTGGCTGCAGTTTTGGAAAAAAACGAGTCACCAAAAAAAAGAAGCGACGCAAACATTTCGATTTTGGGAACTCCTTTGATTTCGTCCCCATCTGCCGTCCTCCCAGTCTTCGAGCTTCTTCTTGGCTTGCTGCACTTCTCTCTGAAGACCCGAACGCTCCCACCGGAGCCCTCAGTGCGGAAGGGACACAGTTTAGATCCAGATGGAACATCCCCGGAAAATTGAACGAAATGGGGCCCTTGAATACAAAGATGCAAGAAACTATGATCAAGTAGAATAACATATAATAAACTTTGATAAAATCTAAACTACAATAAACTATCATGAACGATAATAAACTCAAGAAACAGAGAAAACTTGACAAAGCTGGCAGTCACTTTCTGAACATCAGCACAGTGAACGTGCCCACTTGGAGAGGTGCATTGGCAGTGCATCGGCGGTGCACTGGACAATGGAAAAAGCTGGCTGACTACCCACTCTGGGGAATATCCCTCTTTTGGGCACCGAACCGCTCAAACCCAAAAAGGTTGAAGGAGCAAAGTACACATCTAAATATCGGTATGCGAATTTGACAATTATTTGATCATAACATGGAAACGTAGACACAAACACACACACATGCATAATACATATGTATAATACATATGTGTATATATATATATAAGCTTAGTATATGTATATATATATGTATAAGTATATATGTAATAATACACATTATACATATACGACTGCTTTAAGATATTATGTACGCATGTGTCTGCTTTCGAAAAGACCCACAAAGACTGTCGTCCAAGCTTCATTGGTAGTCATCCAGGAAGTGCTGCCAATCTTGCAAGTTGTCTAAAACCCTGCCCCAACCTTTCCCTTTCATCTCAAGAGCTTCTCTCAACTCACTCCAGCTTGGGTGCTCCTGGCAACATGTAAGGCATTGCAGAGTTTACTTTGAATTCATGTTTCAAAGCAACTTGGGCCTAGCCCGGAGCAATCTGAGTTCCAAACCAGGAAACTGGCAAATGTGTCTAGGTGATATCCCCTTTAGAAACACGTCTTTTTCAACTTCTTGAAAAAGATCATGTGTCAAATATATTCAAATATATCATGACCATCCTGGACAACCCCACAATGCTGAGCCATTTTGCTTGATCCTGCCTGAAAATTCGGAAAGGCCATCTCTTGAAGGTTTCAGAAATTGGTGCTCACACAATGCCCGTTCCGGCAGCTTGACCGAAACGCGGAGCAAACGCAGGACCGAACGAATCTGAGAGCTCTTTGACTCTGTTGAGGAAAGACAAGACAATTCCTGTCAATGACCTCTAGATGTTCAAGCATTTAGACATATTTGGACATATTTAGACATATTTAGACATTTGACATCATGTGACACTCTCTTTGCAGGACCAAGTTTTTTTTGTTGCACATCTCTGCTTCGACAAAACGGGACCATTTTCTGCGGACGGCTTCGGATCTGAGCTGCTTTCTCTTTGAGCCAAAATTCACAGTTCATTGGACACTATGGACTGGGCAGTGAACTTCAGTGAGATCTGCCCTTCAAATCTCTTCAATGTACTTCACGGAAGATTGCGGACCAACTCAACTGTTCAACCATGTTCAACCCGACAATTCTTCCAACACATATAAGGCTCTTCAGTGTTTCTCTGATGCTGGCCCAATTCATAAAGTCTGGAACATCGTGAATTCTCTGCTGGACAGACTCAACGAAAGCTGGTTCTACACCTGTATATAACATTATTTAACCATAACAGGTGTAGATGGATATAATTTGGACCTCCCTGATTCGGGGTTTAGGCACATTGCTGGAACTGAAAGACAAACGCGCAAAACACACAGAGCAACCATTTCAGCAAATACAAGCCTTGAATCTGGTAACTGTTTCCAATCTATGGCATGCTATGGCAGTCATAACCTGACACCACAAGGACCAGCATTGGGTGCCCGCCACTCATGCGGATGGATTGACATTCTCGGTGACCTCGCCATGTCATATCCAATGGGTCCAATGGGGATGACATGGGATGACTATGATGACTTTCCTGGTCACCATGGGGATCCCATAGCAATCCATGGTGAAAACCATGGGATGCACATGGATGCCATGGGTCAGGGTCCCCTGACCCGCTTGTAGGTCTCATCCAGGGCGCTACGTGCTGCCTCGGTTGGATGGGCGCAGATCCCCTATTGTAATCTATACTCAATCAACAGGGGCATTCTTAATGGCTCATATCGAATCCATCTGTGACTCAATTGACCATCTAATCCATCTATGACTATGACCTTCCACAAACAGAATAATTACTTGGAAGTGCTTGGGAGACTTGAAGAAAGTCACCAACGTTGTTCTGCCACTTGAGGGCAGCTTCAAGATGTTTCACGCTGTGACAGACTCTTTGCTGACTGCGTAGAAATCTGATCCAATCTCAATGAATCTAAAATAATCCATGCAAATCATAGTAGTCTTACATAGACTTCCTTGATATAAATTGATATAATACACCCATCCACTACATCCACTGCATCCACTATCCACCTGAGGCCTCTTGGCGTCCGGTCCACGGAGAATCTTTGGTTCTCCAGTGCGATCCGCCGTTGGACCACCTGCTTGGGACGCTACCACTGCCACATCATGAAGAGTATGGACGACAAATCAATCGCTATCAATATAGAAAAACATATAGTTGTACAGTGTTATATATCATTATATCTCTATAGTTACATATATATATAGTTATATTTTTTGCACAAGCCCACTGATCCATTTCGGTGCGGCTAGCAGTCTAATTCCCATCAGCCTGCCACTATTGGGCAAAGTCCCGGCCAATGGTGTGGCTATATTCCTTTGAATCCATAGCCATGCATTTCTGCACAAAAGGATCGCTGAGCTGAACCGATGCATCGAAGGGACAGGCCTCTAGCGATCTGCAAAATTGTACAGCAAGAGCTCTACTCATTGCTGGTGGGTACTCTTTGAGCACCCCTGTACGCCAGCATCCTTCCTCATCTTTACCAATTGCCGCACGGCGTGGCAAGTCTGTGGACAGGTGATGCTTGCGGAGTTCGCGCATGAGCTCCGGCATGTTGAGGACGAGCAGTCTGGTTGGTTTGGGTGTGGGAGCTCCAAGCAAGCCCTGGCAAAAACCAAATGATTGCACACCCGGCATTTGCAAAAGCCATTGCATGACTCCCAATCGCCATATCGATGGCATCACCTCCTCATCCGGCATCTCGGGATGCTCGAGGACTCCAAACCCGCCGACGATTGCCAAGCGAAAAAGCATTTCCAGTGAGAAGCATAGTAAGTGGTTGCCCACACTCACTTGCTCCACTTCGCGCAAGCTCAAGGACCCAAGTCCCCATAGCTCCTCTGCAGAGCGAACTGGTCGCGGTCCCCGTCCTTGCGCGGTCTTGTTCGCAAAGCGCGCTCTGCTCCATGTTTCACATGGGGGCCCACAAAGAAATGCTGCTACCATGCCCGAGGACGCATGCTCAAACCAAAACTGCTGCGTCGCTTCCACCGTGACGTCCCCCATGATGCGGTCCATGATGATGTCGAGGGAGACAACCGTGAGGTGGACGCCCTCCGCAAACCTGTTATAGAGCTTTTCCATAAAGAATTGCAAGTCTCCCTTCCTGCGTCGCCCACTGAACGCGTGCAGCACGATCTGGTGTCGCCCGCAAGGACGATGGATGTTGATCTCGGACATCTGAGGCATGCAAAGCGAATCGACCTGGCAATCTCGTTCAAGATCTTCCAAAACCGGAGAGGCAGAAGCCTTTGCCTCTCTGGATAATGCAAGAAATGGCCATGTCTCAACCTGTGTCAGCGTACGGATAAGTTGCAAAACCTTCTCTTTGGACAAGAGCTCCCATCCCTGTTGCTCCTCCTGAACGGTATGCATAAGTTCCCATAGGGTCGCTTTGCAATGCGTCCAAGCAATCTCGTGCTGCAGAATGATTTGCTTCATCCTCTCAAGGAGATTCTCATCCACTAATTGCTGCTGTTCATCCAGGATCGCCAGTGCAAGCGCATCATGTAAGTCCCAGTCAATCTGTGAAAGATCTTGCCCTCCTCGACCAGGCTTGAGCGGGCCGCATGCTTGTAATGGCGGCAGCCTGCCATCATGTCTGAGCTGCCTCTCCGCGTCTTCCCTGGAGCCAATGCCTGGAAGGGCCGGTCCTCGAAGGCGATGATGAAGCAGATAAGCCCGGCAAGCACTGCTCCGAAGAAGGTGCGACTGGACTTGCGCCACTGTGTGATATTCCCGGAGGCATGCCGTGCATTGCGTGCCTGAAATGTAGTATCTAATGGGGTTGATCTTGCCATGAGTGCGACAAAGGTGTGCACCCTCACCTCCCTTGGATTTCAACCGTATCTGGCAGCTCATGCATCCAAAACAAGGTGAATCTGCAGGAGGCTGTACTTGTGGCGCTTCCTGTTGCCAGAAGCCATGCTCGCTCAGCAGCCGTCTGATCTTCATGTGAAACTGTGTGCACGCAAAGCGGAGAGCATGTTGTTGAACAGCATGTCTTTCCGTGGGTCGAAGAAGGCCTTTCCAATAACTTCTGTGCCACGTCATGATCTCCAACCATCGGTTCATGTGCTGCACAGGGTCACCAAGAGTGCATGTGTTGGAAAGGTTGCGCCATACCCATCGAAGGTCATCTTCAATAAGGCGGATCCATGTGTTGTCCTCATTGACAATGCCCCAGCACGCTGGTTCGCCAATGCTGCACAAGCACCCCAAATAGCGCAAACGCGAGAGGCGAAGAAGATCAGTCGGGGATGGCATACTCAATCGGAATAAGACCTCCTCGTCCGACATGGTGTCATCATGGCTGCGTCCCAAAAGACGTCTATAAAGCTTCATGATGGCAACATGAGCGCGGTGCTTGGTCATGATGTCCTTGAGCACCCAGGAGTCCGCACCATACAAAAGGCGACTCAGAATCAGGCTCCTGAAGATCTCGGTTCTTTTGCGCATGGATAAAGCTCCATTCTGATAAATAAGCTTTCGATGTTTGCTGAACGCCTGATGAGCAAGTGCTACCCGGCGACTCAACTCCATGCGAACTTCACCAGAGTGATGTAGAACACCTCCAAGATGCACATATTTGGTCACCAGATGAATGTGATACATGCCATACTCTCCCATCGCCGGGTAGCTGCCCGTAGCCAAGGGACCAAATAGCTCCTTGCGCCATTCTCTGGTGCCCCTCCCTTTCGGACTGATCATAAGCTCAGTTTTCCCCGGTCGGAGGTTGGGAGTCATAGCATGCTCACGGAAGACATCCAAAAGAAGGCTGGCAGCCACACCAATCTTCCGTCGAAGTCCTTCATTGGTGTCACTCCAAAGGCATAAGGCCATGTCATCCATCCAAACTGGCCCAAGGAAACGTTGGGCGGATGGCTCTTGTGTTTGGTTCACATCAAAGAGTGCTGGGCCCGCTTGCACAGGTACTTCAGAAAGAACATCAGCCTGAGCAAGCTTTTGTTCAAATTCACGTAGGACGCGAGCCAGAAGAAAACCAAACACCACATCAGCGTACGCATCACCAGGGCGTGTGCCCATTGTAGTGGCAACATAATCCTCTTGATTCGGCAGCTGAAAGTGTGTGTTTGAATGTAGGGCCTGAATGACCCTCTGAGCTGAGCGAGGCAATCCAGCAAGGACCAAAGAGTGTGGTTCCTGGAGGTGATTCCAGAGGTCGTGTAAAACATCTTGATCAAGGCCAAGTCTGGCTGCCAGCTGTGCAAGTTCTTGATCGCTGAAATCACCTGGCATCGCCAGCTGGCGAAGAACTCGATAGAAGGCTTCCTGTAAATCCACGAACAAAACTGCCGTTGGGTGGCCTTGGTCACGGTGCCATCGTAGAAACGCTCTGGTCAAATGGGCTCCCAAGGTCACGGGTACCTTTTGACGGCCTCCCAGTTGTTGGGCATGAAGGAAGGCTTCATAAAAACTTCTTTGATGGACTCTGAGCGTACGATGGATCACTTTACCCAGATTGGAAGAAAGAAGGATCGACCGGAATGCTTCACATGTATCTTTGGCCAACTTTCCCTTCCAAATTGGCATGACGAGGCCACCTTTATGAAGGAGTGGTTCATGGCCATGAGTAACCAACTTCAGCAATAACCCATAGAGCATCTTGGCAACCTCTTTGGGGTAATACTTGCAGAGTTCAGAGGGCACGCGATCAGGGCCATCAGCCTTTCCAGCCTTGACTCTGCGACACGCAGCCTCTAATTGACAAAGGCTCGGAATCTCCGAGATCTCCATACTGCATTGAGCATCACTGAGACTTGCAATTGATAGCACCCAATCTCTGTGAAGTTCTTGAGGTGAGACTCTCCTCCCTCCTTCCATCTCAGCGAAAAACTGGATCCACCTGTTCAGGGCCTCTGGGGCAGAATTGCAAGGTGCACCATCAGCATTTCGCACAGCAGGAAGTGGAGCAAGTCCCTGACGGAGTTTGTTGGAGCTCCCCATGAAGCCCTTCATCTTGTGCTGAATTTCTGAGGCCGCTGTCGATGCATCAATGGTACCCAAAACCTCCTGCACCTGTCTTGCCTTGTCGCTCGCAAGGTGTCTCTTCAATCCCCAAGAAATGGCACGAAAACTCACGAAGTGTTTGAAGAGGCAACATCGCAGGGTCGTGCCGTAGGCAAATGACTGATCACCTCCTAATGGGTCTGCTCCTTTCCATGCCTTGAAGACTCTCGCAGTCGCTTCACGCGCCAAAAGGGCCCTGGTTGTTTTCAGCTGTTTGCGATGAAAAAGTTTCTGTCTTCTGAGGTCCCAAGCCACCTTGGAGACGTACTCTTTCTTAGGCCGCTTGCGATCTTTTTGGCAGTGCTTCTGCAAGGTTGCATGAATGTGTGTGGTCAAAGCTTCATTCTGTGTCTCAACATCGATATTCCAAGCCGCCACCTGAAAGTTGCACAAGGTGGTGCTCAGGTTGTGCTTGTCAATCTGATTCCTGTCAAAGTTGCAATGCCCTCCCGGCTTGGGGACAGGGTTGCGACACTGGGTAGTCCACCATGACAACTCAATACCCGTAGCTGTGTGATCAGCAGTAAGATTTGCCAAGTCCAGGTGTTCCAGCAATTGCGAATGAACACATGCACTGAGTTGTCCCGCAGGGAGCATGACAAAATCAATGAGGTGAGAGCTTTTGCCGTCAGGATGATCCCATGTGTGACGTGGCCCTGCATGCACGGCACTGGTGACTGGGAGGCACAAATCAAAATTGGTCAGGAAGTGGCGCAGAAAAGGTGTGGAACTCGACGTAGAGAACCCATCCTGCAGAATATGTCTGCCATCAGCTGGTCCAGGCGCCGCATTTGCATCAGCACAAACATAGAGTTCAGCTTCCTGTACTTGATGATCAATCATAACTATATATATAATATATATACATGACTCATATTTCATGATATTTCATGATAGTTCTGTCAAATCCATTCAACACCATTTTTTTCGGCAACTCTCCCACCTGATCCAACCTTCCCCGCGCCTCCCTTCGCACATGTGGCAGGTTCCAGTTATGCACCAGCTGTCGGACAACCACATCCGGCTCCTCCGGGTGCTCTCAAATGAAGAGGAGACCAACATCAAAAACTTATGAAAAGTGATGAAAACTGGTTACTTTCTATAGTTTTTCTGCGTTGTGCCATGTTGTGCCTTGAAAAGAAATGCAGAGCAACTCTATTCTAAACAGGATTTACTTGGATTTACAAATTGTCAGTGGCGCAAGACTTGTTCAAAACTGCAAACGCCCTTCGGGTCGCCTGCGCAGAGGCCTCCAGCATGTCTACCACCTGATTGACATAGGCCGCCTGGAGCAACGAAATAGTGAACCAGTCTGTGAATGTCTGTGACTATGTCTTGGTCTCTTATGGTCTCTGTGACTTTGGAATGACAAAAACGACATCCATTTGACTTTGTGCATCTCACTATTCCGTACCCAAGGTTGCAGGCCTTAACCATCCTTAACCTGTACCTGAATCTGGATTGATCTGATTGCAACATCATCCCAAATCTGGCGCAACTTGATGCTACACATCATCTTCCACATCCTTATACTCTGAATTTTATGAATTCATATGATTTCTATGGATCTATTATGATCTATTGCGTTGCAAATTAAGTTCGCCAACCATTTCTGGTTGGTTCTTTTTGTATCACCCTGAAACATCGCCACTCAAGATCCTGCCTTGAGCCGAGCTTCGGTGAGTGCCTGCGTCTGAGCGGCCTAGGCAGGAGAATTTGAGGCGACCCTTCGACCACTGACCTTTGGGTAGCATGGGTAGCATAAACAGCATTGCATGTGTATATCATGTCACATAATCATGTCACATAATAATGTCTATCCAGGTTTTATTCTTCCTAATTTGCTCTGGAAAACTGCTGCCCAAACATATTCAAGATGACTACATTGATTATGACGGGCATCATTTTGATGTCGCGTGCTTTGATCCATCTTCCGTTGCAGCCCTAGTCCTCCAAATTTGCTGCCGGTGCCTCCTCGACTGTGCTGGTGAGGACTTCCTCCAACGTTGCGAGATGAATAAAAACCAATACACAGGACACTATAGATACTGCGATTTCGCATTTGGACGAATTTGCTAATTTTCTCACTCAAAGAACACTTATATGATGTGTTATATGATAATTTGCTCACTCAAAGAAGATTTATGCGTTTTGAGTGATGTGTTTTACTGTCGGACCCACATCATGCAGTTCCCGTGATTTGATTTGCGCAGCAAGCTGTCCAACGCTCAATAGCTCGGTCCAAGTTGCCCCAGCAGCCCAGCATTCCCGAGCATTCAGAACTCAACAGCTTCGATTTCAAATGTTTCAGATTGTTTTCAGTGTTTGCAGATTGTTGTAGATCTTTGTAGATACTCTGATCATCTCTGATAATCTTTCCAATTAATGGCAACACCGGATTAATACCCCCCCTCACAAGGTCAGATGGACCTTGTAAGGTCTTTCCTAGTTTCCCCCCTAAATAAACGCCCCCTTGGAAGGGGTTGATTAATAAGGGGAACCCTCTGGTTATTATGAATGGGGGACATGGGCTCATGGGGGGTACCCTTTGGGAGCTATCCAAACTGATGATTTTTATACAGAATTCAATTAGAAATCAATCATTTGGGGAATAGTTTTTTTTCAAATTTTCATGTTCATGAGGTTTCAACTTAAGTATAGATAAGTATAGAATAAGGAACCCATTTGAAAATAAAGAGAGTTTGAAAATAAAACAAAATGGGATTTCAGCACTGGAGGTTGATTAATCAGGTCCAGGCAAAAGAGTTCATTAATCCAGGGGGACCACCTGTCTTTAAGTTACAAAAAAAAATGGGGGCAGTGGGGGTTGATTAATCCTGACTTGACATTATCATAGTACTGTACCAGAGAATAGTTGTTGTACATATTCTGCGAGTTCTTGCAATGGAAAAGGCCAAGAAAACCTGTGGCCACAGCCAGGGTGTCCTCCAAATAGGAGTCCACAGTTCCCTGGTGGACGCCCATGATTTGGCGGAACATCTCATCCTGGCAATGCAAAAAGCAGAGATCTTCCTCCCATTTACAACTGGCAGAAGACTTCAAGTAACCTCAACTTACTGCATGTATATGCTTGTATCATGTTACAATGTTGTATCATGTTGTATCATCCCAAAACAAATTTCAGAAAGATATATGAACTTTTCTGTATTATCAACTTTTCTCATGTGGCAGTGTGTCAAAACCAATAGTGCCCCTTTTTTGTTCACATCAAAATAGCTGGGATTTATGGATGTTCATCCCCCTAAAAATGGTATTAATAGGTATTGATCCATACCCATGTGGTATCAACCCATCCCAAAACATCCAAAAAAACCCAAAAAACCTCCCGAGCTCGGAGTCGCTCTTCGGCTTGACGACGCCCGCTCTCCATGGCCTGGATACAGGATGGAATCCCAAACATCACTCGTCATCACTACAAATATATATTATATATATTATATTATATATAATATATTATATATATATATATTAAATTATATATTATATATTATCTATTATATATTATATATTACATATTAAATATTATATATTATATATAATATATAATATATAATATATTATATATTATATATTATCATGTTGTATAAGTTATATATTATATTATATTATATTAAATACATGTATATACATGTATATATTTGCTATATAATCCTACCGTGAAGGTCTCCAGGCCAAAACTTGATAGCTATAAATTAAACATATATATTATATATATTATATTATATTATATAAGATTATATTAAATTATATTATATTATATTATATTAATATTTATCTATATATATTATATTGTATTATATTATATTATATTAAATTATATTATATTATATTATATTATATATTATATATATATATATTATCATGTAATATATTATATTATATCATTTTATATTATACTATACTATATTAAATTATATTATATTATATTATATTATAGTATAGTATATTATATTATATATATATTATCATGTTATATATTATATTATATTTTATTATATTGTAGTATATTATATTATATATATTATCATGTTATATATTATATTATATTATATTCTCATGATATATATTTTATTATATTATATTATATTATATTATATTATAGTATAGTATAGTATATTATATATATATATATATTATCATGATTATATTATATAATATTTTATTATATTGTAGTATATTATATTATATATATTATCATGTTATATATTATATTATATTATTATATTATATTATATCATATCATATTATATTAAATTAAATTATATTATATTATATTATATTGTATTATATTGTATTATATTATATTATATTATATACATGTATATACATGTATATATTTGCTATATAATCCTACCGTGAAGGTCTCCAGGCCAAAATTTGATAGCTATAAATTAAACAATGGGCCCCAGAGCATCACTATAAAATTCAAAGTGGGTAGCACCCTCATGACATTGAGCCTCTATAAAGTTGAAGTTGGGTACAGTTCAGAAAATCAACCAAATCAGGGGTTAATCCAAAAAACAATTCTCTTAAGTTCAGGCCTTGATATGCCTTGGAAACAGCTTTCACATGTTTTGATTGAAATTTTGAATCTTATAGAGAAATCCTGAACACTTCATAATCTTCATAGAGAAGCCCTTGGTTCCAGTCAATCCCATGAAGACATGCCCGAAAGATTCCAAATGTGCCCTCAAAAGGCACTCAAACTCTGTGATTTTGTCTGAGATTCTGCTTACTTTGCCTTTCATTTTGTTAAGAAACACAACCAAACAAAATCAACCTCATCTGAAATCATCTGGGTATGAATCGAACAATTGGTACTGTACCCTTTTGTTCATCCCAACAGTATAGGTGGCACATCATGATAAACATGATAAATGGATGTTCATCAGCCCCAAATATGGTAATACTCCGTAGCTTTTGCCGTGTGCACTTCCCAAGCTGCTACATCTCGCCTGTCGATCCTGACGGTCTCGTTCCGCCAACTTCACCATGGCAGCGATACGACGTTCTTCCTGGAAGCGCAAGAGCTCCTGGCAGGTCGTCACTGTGGATGTCAAATTGGTTGAAGATGGGGAAACTTCAAGAAATTCCAGTCACCTTAGCCTATTAGCACACTCAATACATCGAAAAACAACCCGCCGGGTTGGAAATGGGCCGAGTAAAAACAGCATTTTCATGTGACTGGCAAGAAGTCAATCATGCGTTTCGCAGTGTTTTTTCATGTTTTTATGTTGTCCATGAAGGTCAATTCTATTGTGATTTTGAATTTTCATTGGGATTTACTGTATATAGTTGACATGTCGGAGTGCGAAAAAGGTTCCTTTTGGGAAGTCAGCGTGCCCAAAACCTCAGCGGCAGCCATTTTTTCCGGTGATCTCTACATCTTCGCTAAGTACGCACCTGTTTTCTCCAACAGCGCTTTTCCAACTACATTTGCCTCCCATCGCCACTGCCATGTGCGAACGTACGTCCAAATGAGGTCATTCAATTTTTGTTCGTTTTCTGGGCAAGATGTCAACTGATCGGGAACACTGGCAAGTACGTGAACGTTATTACCCCACCCCACCCCACCCCTGCGTGACGTGACACATCTTTAACGTAGCATGACGTATGTGCGCACGTGCAAGTGAACGTGCCGTGGCGTAACATCATGGGAGTGCGCAAGTACGTGAACGTTATTGCCCCACCCCACCCCACTCCACCCCAAGGAACATATATAAAAATGCCTAAAACGCTCGGACGGTTTTCAACCCGTAGGCAAAAACAACAAGAAACATCGAAACAAAGCTCCAAACACATCCAAAGAACGTATTCATCAACATAATTGACATACATTCAACATACAAATCAAACATTTTCATCATCATAACATACAAGAAACCATACAATAACCATATGTTTCACCATATTTCACTATCTTTTCCTATGAAAAAAACATCCCCACCTTCGACACCTGGTCCAAGGTTTGGGAGATGATACTGCCCTGCACGGACCTCATGGAGGCTTTGATATCGATCATCTGTAGATGTACCGAACAAAAATCTTTAAATATCTTAATGAGCCTTAATGAGACACAATAATAGATATCCTAGGTAGTTATCTTGTAGTAGATATTATTCTTGTTTGATATCGATATCTTATAGATTGTTCTAGAAGGTTATAGAATGTTATAGATATGTTCAAATGGTGTTGGGTCCTGCGACAAAGTTTAACCAATTGGATGTGGAACATGCCAACTTTTGGAGCTGGGTCTATTCAAAGGCATGGCAGAGGTAGAATGATGGGACGAATGGAAGCATGGGACGATGGAGGGACCATCTCAATCAGAATACTCAGTGATACTCTAGGTGAGTCAAATTGATTCAACACCATCTGAGAGAAGCAGTGCCATCTGAGCGCAGGACTCCAGAACCCCTTCGAAGGCTTTGTCTCTAAGCTGGTCAATATACCTGTCGAGAGCCACCCAAATCTGCAATTTGACTCACATCCCCCTCCCTGGGGGTATCTCATTGCAAACATTCTGCAACCGGGAAGCCCTTTGTTCAGATGTTCAGATGCAGCTCAGCAATCGTAATAGTCTCCATGGTGCAAAAGGAGTCAAATGGCTTGTGGTAGGCCGGTAGGCATGGCACATCTGCAATCGTCAGACGTGAGCTGGTGACCTCCCGGTGACCTCCCGGTGACCTCCCGGTGACCTCCCGGTGACCTCCTGGTGTCCCCGCAGCTTGCCTCTTCTCTTCCACCCGCGTGGCGGTTTCGGCGAACCGCTCAGCTGCGCGTAGCTCGTTGATGAGGTCAAGACCTTTACAGTTCGGGTGCTCCGCGATTTGCCACGGACAGCGGCAGGTTTGACTTCCAAGTCTTTTGAATGTCAATTGATATCAACAAATATCAACAGGCCGTACATCTTGCTTGACCATCATTCACTCAGACTTGCATCGTACTTTCTTCATCGAGATGTCCCCAACTGTCCTTTCCAGTGCTGCAGCTGCGATGCCGTCAGTACAGACTGGGTAACGGACGCTTTTCTTTCCCTTCAAACATGAGATTCTGAAACCTGCCAACCAAACAGCAACAAGCTGACATTGAAACCAGCGAAACCAGACATGTTCCCTCCAAGCCACGGCGAACAATGAGGGCCAAACGCTCGGCCACGAATAATGCGCTGGAGAAGCAGTACAGCCTTGGTCGATGCACAGCTAATCAGTTGGACGGAGAGGAGGCTGAAAGATAGAAGCTGAGTTGATGAGCACAGTGATGTTTGGGTTTCTCGCATTTTTCCATACCTTTTGCCATCTTGATGTTAGCTTTAGCCTACTGCCAATTTCCTGGTACTTTCAGATTGAACACATCGATCCCTGAAATCTACTTATTCTAATTGGTTGGCACACCGACTGCTCGGTCGTGCTTGGGCCCAGGCAGATTCCTGTTCCTCCTCTTCCGGCAAAACCTGTGCGGAGCATGATGTACAAAATGCTGGTGCATTTCTTGGGCATTTCTTGGGCATGGCGGCATGGAATCATTTCCGGGCTGATTGGGCCATGATAACATTATTTGATTGTTTTCGATTGATATTGATTGATATTGATTGATATAGATCTAACAATTTGAGTCAATTTGAACATGATGGAAGTGACCATCTGAGAAACACGGAATTCAATAACTCTGCCACTGCAATGATCTCGGAAGGTGGTCATCTTAAATGGGTAGCAACTGGGGGATATCCCATTGGCCCATTATTTCCCGCTCATTCATACCTGTCACGGGGTACAACCCAGTTCCAACGTGGTTGCTCAGTTCAATGATCAACCCAGTCCACTTGTCATCAGTTATTTGCTGTCTATAGGCCCCAAACATTTTTTTCATTTTTTTCCTTGCAGCCTTGAACTATGAGATATTTCTTAAAAAAACACATGAGATCCTCTAAAACATCTAAAACCAAGCGAGAAAGATGACATTTGTCTCGTAGTGACTTGTACATCTTGTACTGTCATCTCTCTAAGGACCGACGTCCTGAGGTCCACACATCGTTCTTCTCCCTCGGGGAGTCTGGACGATCCAAGACATTGCGCAGGTGGAACCTCCAGCTCAATCACAGAGGATGACCGACAATGCCAGAAAGTAGCGGTAAACTTTTAAATAATTTAAATACCTGTAAGATCCTGTAATTAAGTATTATAAATATCTATAAATACCTTTTGGATCTTTTTGGAATACCTGAAAAATCTGTGAATACCAGGAACATTTCAGTTTTCTACCACATTTTCATGATGTAAATGATGTAACAATATGTAACATGCTGGCAACGAATTCCCCAAATCAGTGGAGTTAAATTTCCCACATCGATGCGCATCGAATCAGCTGAGCATAGCTGACTTCTTCAGGCCACCAGCGCTGAGCCCATTCTCTCCCTGAGCAACACGTAGTTGTTCCATGTTGTTCCATGGTTAATATTAATGTTATATATATATATGTTATACTGGGGGGTTAGAAAAAATGGGACATAACTTGGAACTACTCTAGTGTAACTGGATTATACTGGATTAACTGTTTAATAATCTACCAAAGATATCCAGCATGGCTTAACCATCTTTGATGACTATAACAAGCAGCACATTCTTCTGTAAAACATTGTAAAGCTGCTTATGATGCTTGTGTACTGCTGATCTGGGCCAGCGAGTCGTGCTGTTGTGCGCCTTGCTCTCTGCCTCGTTCTGCTGCAACTCCTGCCAGGATCTGCCAGGAAGCTATGCCAGCTATGCGGCTCAACAGCAATGCCAACTTTGCTCGACAGGGCAAAGCTTCAACAATAGACCCACGCAATTGATGCAACATCATGCAACATCCAGATAGCCAACATTGGCATCCCTGACATTCTGGGAAGGACTCCATCTGACTCCTTCCTGAGATTTTGCCTAGAGAATCCGTTCTCGGCAGCTTCTGCCAGGACGGTTCGACTCTGTCTCCTTCTTGATGCTTTCCATGGCTGTCTTCAGTGCTGTAGTCATTTCCAACTCCTGAGTCACAGGGGAGAGAGATCTTCGAGACCTGGCACTTGCCCGAATCAACGGTACAAATAGCAGGATAATTCACATGACACTGCACCATACTGCACCCACATCTTCCAGAAGTTGAGGTGGAGATTAGCGTTTGGGATCCTATTTGAAGCCCGTCCTTTCGAAGCTGATGACTCGATTTCTTCTTTCTGTCCATGTCCTGTCAACACCCGACTTCACTGAGAACTGCTACGAAAGAATCGCTGTTACAACTGGATCCAGGATGTGCCGAAATGATCAAATATGTACAGATTTTGACAACAATCCCGAAACCTAGATGACATGAACTAGCAGAAAAACTTTCGCAGCACTTGCCAAAGTATCGACTCAATCAGAAATGACCTCTGGTGGGTCTAGTTTGATATGTTTAATGGAGCAGAAAAGGGTGATAGCCATAGCTCCTTCGGATGCTTCTCAGTCGCTCGTAGAACTGCTGGATGAAGCGACCTGGCTGGCTATCCATGTTGCATGGCCAAGAAAGCTGAAAACATGCCACTTCCCAATACTTCCCAATTCTTCCACACATCAATATCATCAACCATTCATCAACCTGTTCTTCTTTTATGTTGTCTGTCCTCCTTTAGCCAACGCCATGCAACGCCATGACCCTTGCGGTGTGACACACCGATCTCGGTCTTCCCACGCTTCCAGCTGCACCAGTCCTGGGAACGTCGCCAAATCCTCAGGGCACGCAGGTATTGCTGACCTGGATTGACCTGGAAAGTCCAAATGTCCAAATGGTGGATCTGAAGCAATTTTTGTTCCGGAACATTCTGGATTCCAGGGATGTACTTTCAACATACACATCACTTGTCTTCGTTTCAAAACTTAAAATAGAAGTAAAATGCAACATAGTATGAGATCATTTGAGGGTTCTTCAGCAAAAATGTTGCCGTTCTGTCTGCCCTGAGGCTTCAGAAAATGGTTTGCGAGTCTACCTGAGAGCATTGCAACAATTCTAGTGACGGATGGCGTATGGCAGAATTGCTCAACAGCATAGATGAATAACAACAACCATAGAGTTTTGCCTCGTCAAGGGTGGAAGGTCTTGGAATGTCTAGCTTTCTCCAATCACCGTCTCAATTGGATGCTGGGGATGAGGACTGAAGGCTGAACCTGGCAGCAAATCGTCTGGCCATCTATAACAGTCGTAACCATAATTCAGGAGCACTTGACATACTTGCATGATAGTTGAGATGATGAAATGATTTCGATATGAACGCTATTCTTTCAATGCTATATATATATATATGTATATGTATATGTATATGTATATATTCTGGGGTTGTTGTACCTTTCGAACTTTTGCGTTCGCAGGCCTTAGCAAACAACAAAAACACCACTCAGTCCGATCCCTCTGTTTAGGTTGTTCAAGACCTGAACAAATCTGCTGGCCTCGATCTTGGCAGTGTTGTAATCTGGAACATGACCATTGCCTCATGGCAAGAAACTGGTCCTGGTCTATTTGCAAATGGCAATTACTTTGACACAAGCCTGACACATAGTCATTGGTTGGAATGACAAAGTGCATCTTGCTTGCTTGATGTATATAGATACTTGATGATACTTGGCACTCTGACGCAGAAATATGATGAAATATGTTAGAATGTTCTTTGCTGATATTGCTCTGAAGATGTGAATCACCAGGAAATGCTTATCAAACAGCATCGTCAACATTACCCACTCTATCCCACTCTGGTCACTACGATTTGATCATCAAGAAGTAGGTCTTTGTGCCCCGGACGTGCTAAAGGAGCGTAGACCTGTGAGCCACAAGAGATTCTGAACGCTTGCCACAGATTTTCCAGAACTTTCATTTATTCCAATTGTCTCGAATCTTGAAACAAATGTGTACATATATATATATATATGAAATATATTACTATGTAACTTTCATCATTCATACGTCTAGATTATGAGTGATGTAACCTTTACATATGCACATATCATAAAATCTCAGAAATTATTATATAGACGTATATCTGACATTATCTGACTATCTTAGACTATGTTTGGTCAGTATGTGAGTACCAAAACACATGGCGAATGCGGCGAATGACTGGCCGACTGGCCTGCGAGGTGAAGTCTGCATACTCAGCGATCACGTCACGCCTCGCCGAGTCGCTGGAGGGGCGGATTCTCACGTCATGCTGAATCTCAAGAAAATTCAAGAAACACATGCGTCTAATGTAAAAATTATATAAAATTATGATATCATTGTGATATAATAATCTAAATTATGATATCAATTGATATCATCCTGTCATAGCACATCAAACATTATTCCATATCTATCCGAATTTCCCCTCTTCTGATTTCTGGGAACCCAGGTTGATGATTCCATCAGCAATGACCATCCCAGGCCGTTTGTGCAAAAGAAACTTAACACTGTATGCCTAAAACATATGGGAAACCTTGCATTATAGCATGGAAGGACATATATTTATATAGAAGATTATAGAAGGATATAGAAGGATGATAGCAGTAGACCCTCGGAAGTAGCATGTCATTTCCTTCATCGGCCGAAGCAGAATGACTGAGGTTGAGACTTGCGCACGTTCTCTGAATCTGCCTCACGTGCAAACCAGGGAGACACGTATCAAAAAAAAAATATAAATGCATCAAAAAAAAAAAATCCAGCACGCATCAAAAAAAAAATATATGCATCAAAAAAAAAATATCCTGGTGCCACTGTGTGAGACCTCACGGGTTTCGTGCTGCAAACCTAGATCAAAAAAAAAATATCCGTATCAAAAAAAAATATCGTCGTAGTAGTAGTAGTAGAAGTAGTAGTAGTAGTAGTGGTAGTAGTAGTAGTAGTAGTAGCAGTAGCAGTAGCAGTAGCAGTAGCAGTAGTAGTAGTAGTAGTAGCAGTAGCAGTAGCAGTAGTAGTAGTAGTCGTAGTCGTAGTCGTAGTCGTAGTCGTAGTCGTCGTCGTAGTCGTAGTCATCGTCGTAGTCGTAGTAGTAGTAGTAGTAGTAGTAGTAGTAGTAATGGTAGTAATGGTAGTAGTAGTAGTAGTAGTAGTAGTAGTAGTAGTAGTGGTAGTAGTAGTAGTAGTAGCAGTAGTAGGAGCAGGAGCAGCAGCAGCAGCAGTAGCAGTAGCAGTAGCACATAGGCACAAGTCTCGCTGGATATCAACAAAGATGAAATTAACCCAAATAAACGATGATGCTTATGCAAAAAGAAAGGAATAGTAGGTAGCAAGGGGAACCGGTTTAAAAATAAAAGCGGGTGGGGGGGTGCAGGGGGGAGGGCGCAGCGCCTCCCCCCGCAATGCGTACCAAGAGAGAAGCACATAGGCACAAGTCTCAATGGATATATTGCAAGTAAGAACGAGAAGATCAAGAAAGAAGCACATAGGCACAAGTCTCGATGGATATCAACAAAGATGAAATTAACCCAAATAAACGATGATGCTTATGCAAAAAAAAAGGAATAGTAGGTAGCAAGGGGAACCGTTTTAAAAATAAAAGCGGGTGGGGGGGTGCAGGGGGGAGGGCGCAGCGCCTCCCCCCGCAATGCGTACCAAGAGAGAAGCACTTAGGCACAAGTCTCAATGGATATATTGCAAGTAAGAACGACAAGATCAAGAAAGAAGCACATAGGCACAGGTCTCGATGGATATCAGCAAAGATGAAATTAACCCAAATAAAAGATGATGCTTATGCAAAAAGAAAGGAATAGTAGGTAGCAAGGGGAACCGGTTTAAAAATAAAAGCGGGTGGGGGGGTGCAGCGGGGAGGGCGCAGCGCCTCCCCCCGCAATGCGTACCAAGAGAGAAGCACATAGGCACAAGTCTCAATGGATATATTGCAAGTAAGAACGAGACGATCAAAAAAGAAGCACATAGGCACAAGTCTCGATGGATATCAGCAAAGATGAAATTAACCCAAATAAACGATGATGCTTATGCAAAAAGAAAGGAATAGTAGGTAGCAAGGGGAACCGGTTTAAAAATAAAAGCGGGTGGGGGGGTGCAGGGGAGAGGGCGCAGCGCCTCCCCCCGCAATGCGTACCAAGAGAGAAGCACATAGGCACAAGTCTCAATGGATATATTGCAAGTAAGAACGAGAAGATCCAGAAAGAAACACACAGGCACAAGTCTCGATGGATATCAACAAAGATGAAATTAACCCAAATAAACGATGATGCTTATGCAAAAAGAAAGGAATAGTAGGTAGCAAGGGGAACCGGTTTAAAAATAAAAGCGGGTGGGAGGGTGCAGGGGGGAGGGCGCAGCGCCTCCCCCCGCAATGCGTACCAACAGAGAAGCACATAGGCACAAGTCTCAAAACAAAATGTGAGCGCATGGTTCATGTATGTTTTGGTATGTTTTGGTCACAAATCTATGTGGCTCTGACTTGCATCTCAACTCAGTATTTCTGCAACGGGTTCCGAACGAGGCCAAAAACGATGCCAAAACGAGGCCCGAACAAGGCCAGAAAATAGTTTTGGAACCCCCTCAGCTCTAGCAGCTCAGCAGCACTTTGCACGCTGCCCGTGGTGGCTGCAAGCTGCAAGTGTTGACTGCACACATGGTCCTTCCTTCCTTCCTTCTTTCCTTCCTTCCTTCCTTCCCTTCGTTCCCCCCTTGCATCCTTCCCTCCTTCCCTCCTTCCCTCCTTTCCTCCTTCCCTCCTTTCCTCCTTCCCTCCTTTCCTCCTTCCCTCCTTTCCTCCTTCCCTCCTTTCCTCCTTCCCTCCTTTCTTCCTTCCTTCCTTTCGTCCTTCCCTCCTTTCCTCGTTCCCTCCTTCCCTCCTTATTTCCTCTTCCTTCCTTCCTTCCTTCCTTCCTGCCTGCCTGCCTGCCTGTCTGCCCTGCCTGCCTGCCTTCCTTCCTCCTTTTCCCTCCTTTCCCTCCTTCCCTCCTTCCCTCCTTCCCTCCTTTCCTCCTTCCCTCCTTTCCTCCTTCCCTCCTTCCTTCCTTCCTTCCCTCCTTCCCTCCTTCCTTCCTTCCCTCCTTTCCTCCTTCCCTCCTTTCCTCCTTCCCTCCTTTCTTCATGGTCATTTATTTTTTTTTGATGCATTTATATTTTTTTTTGATGCATTTATATTTTTTTTTGATGCTTCTCCCTTCAAACCAGGTCTCGACCAGCGCAAATGCGAACCAAGAAAATGGTCTTGTGACATTTTGCGTTGATTCAATCGCTTTGTTCGCGACACCCTTGATTTTCAAATATTTTCAAGAAGTCTCAGTCTCGGACTTTGGTGCGCTCTTTTTGCATTTTCCGGAGCACCTGATTTTGGGTGATGCAACTCTCGTGAATACAATAAAGATTCAAAAGTTAGGCTGTTGTCTTCATTGTTCCAGCATATCCGTTACAACTCATGAAGCCTGCGTTCTCTGATTCATATCATTCATTGTTGCCAAGAGCAAAACACCTGTGAATAGTATGTGATTTCTGGGAACGGCAGCAGAACACAGGAGTGCCGGGCACCTTTGTGCGAAGGCGTTGGCACGCTGCCAACTTGCGATCGCGCTCCTGGACCGGGCACATGGCATGGAGATGCCTCTTGATGATAGTCTGATGATAGTGAACATTGGTGAACATTGGTGAACATTGGTGAACATTGGTGAACATTGGTGAATGAGATGTGAATGAGCCCTGTTGAGCCTTCCTAGGATGGTGACATTCTGTGAATCACTCAGTTTCCAGGAAGATCTAGCTGTCGCAAGCAAATAAACATGATGTTGTTCAAACGAGAAAACAAACTGCAAGTGCTGATACTGACATTTGAACAGTGTCCATCAGACGGAGGAATCAACTTAATGGTTTCGATACTAAAATCTCAACACGCAAGCCACTGCAGCAATTGCATTCCCTGCGTCCTCCTCCTTCCGCTGTCTCACACGGTCAATCTGGCAACGATGTGGAAACTCCAGGAGCAAACATGATTTTCTGTCAACACAAACGCAGCAGAACCCCCTTGCATCAACTCGCAACACCAATGGAAGTCCATGCCTTCCCCGTCTGAGCAGCTTCTCGCTGCATGTCTCTCTCCTCGAAGGCCTCCAGCTCTCCAAAAGTCAACCAAATGCACAACACATCAGCATTGCCAACATTGCAGCATCTTTTCTCGGAGCCGTCAGGGGGTCGGTGGCACGGTGCTGGTTGCTTCGGATGGCCTTCGCTTAAGGTGATCCTGTCATATGCCCCGCCTGTCGAAGAAGCAGCAATCGCTTCTCCTGCCATGTCTATATGTTGCGAATCCCCAGAACTTGCAAGGTGAGAACATCGAAATTAGGCAGATATGTGGAAATACGACATACTGATTCTGATACACCGCACCCTACCTGACTCTTGATGGCGGGTCGTTGAGATCTCCAACGAAATCCACACTACAACTTGCAAGCCACCCTTAGACACCAGGCTTGTGATTGCCCTGCCTGGAGTTCTCTGATGGTCCGATCACCTGGGTGCAAAAGCGTTCCAGTTGGCCAATTTCGGCAGGGACGGCAGGGAGGCAAAGTGCTCTAGCTGCAACCCAGGCGCGATCTGCCCACTCTCGAAACTCTTGGGCCTCCATGAGCTGGATGCGCACCTCCATTCCGAACCTAGATATGAACATAGGGCAGGGCGTTCTAAGGAGAAATGCAAGAAACATAGGACCGAAACCTGTTCTCAGCATCTGCAAAGTAGGAGGAGCATCCTTGTGCTTGAATCTTTATTCAACTTTCAGGTCTGCAATAGTCTTCAAAACCATTCATTACCAGGGTATACCAGGGTTACATTCTCTTCAGGAATGCTGCCGGCCGCTTTTGTCCCTCCCAATGGCCGCCGAGTGGCTCGTCGCATGGTGGCGGCAGCATCTGCTTAAAGATCCGTTTTTGCCTCGTGAACAGTTGCTGCTCTTGACCAGTCTGTGCTCTGAAGGACGACCAAATCGGTAGAAGTACTGACATAGATATACAAGTGTATCAACTGTGTATCATCTGTGTATTAATTGTTAGATCCTTTGAAATTCCTTGAGTGTGGATATGTGTGGAGACTTTGTATATTATCTTATAGTTATACTTATAGTTTCCACTTGTCTCATCGTGGCTGCTTCATCGACGCCTAGTTCGCTCGATGATCTGCAGCTCTGCTTCGGAAGCGGGAAGTCCAGCACCTCAACGACAAATCCACTGCGCTCAGTGGAAATTACAAGGATTCGATGGGAGTGAACTTCAAACCAGCAAAACACTACGTGAATATGTGCTACTAGTACATCCAATTGGATATAGTATAATAATGTATAATACATTATAATTAGACAATTTTTTCTACCTCTAGATGAACATATATTACATATATTCAATGATATACATATGATATACATATGATATACATATACTGATGGCTAGTGACAAATAGATACACTATACAAATGTATACGTGATGACCCAGGCTCCCCTGCCATACGTGAGATGGGTGAGCTGTAGGACCTCTGGCACCTGTGGGCAGCAGCTGGGGCCATCTAAGGTAGGATGTGGTGAGATGTTCCTGGCTTTATCACAGAAACAAATGATAATCTTAAACCAGATAAGATATATAAGATCAACTTTATGTAATCAGTTATAGTATGTTATAGTATGTTATAATCATATATAATCATAATCTGTGATAATCTGAAGTGTACCCTAATATGGATATAGAATATAGAGCTTCACATCCTGGATCAAATCCAGCAGCAAATCCAGCTCCAGCCGTCCAGCCTGGCTGGAGATCTGATAGTCCGGCGAATATGGATCTGTTTGAGCTTCTGACCTCGGACCACGGAAACTGTCCTTCTGTGGCTATCTTTCTGCGCAATCTGAGGTTGTTGAAGATTCAACAAAATCAACAAACATATATAACAAGCATTAAAAAAGCAAACAAGCAAGTTCATCATGTTCATTGATTCATGGCACCAACGATTCATGGTCGTTCATTCTGTCTGCAAAACCTGTTGGCCTGCAACAAAGAGAAACAGAGTTCTGCATGCTGTGACACGAAAAAAAACTTCCCCTGCTCCTCACCACTGGGTCTCCCCTGCTCCCGGTACACTGATTGTGTCGCCACGGTTTTCGTGGGTGGCTCTGCTTGAGCGCCTTGTTGGGCTGGAAATCGACATCAGCACGTCAAGTCACTTTAGTCATGCAGCATGATGTTTGTCAAACCGTCAAACCCTGTCAAACCTAAGTTCTACTTCTGCTGTCTCAAGCATTGAGGAAATGTGCTACAAGGGTCATCTGCAGCATACTATACAGATAAAAGCATCTGAAGCCGCTAATCATATCTAATAGTAGCATGCGAGTCTCAAACATAGCAAGCCTTTACGCACAATGGGAATACTACACTCCATTAACAAAGTCATTGGGGGCTTCAATGCCTTCCCCTTGCATCCCTTGCTAAAGCCGGGTGCCTTCCGTTGGGAAAGACGCACCATGAGATTTGAAGGCATACTGTACAATATGAGGCAACCTCAGGGAACAGAGCAAACACACTTCATCAAAATTCACTTCTACTCCAATTCAACTCTTTCGATTTCTCACGCTACCAAACTCAAAATCCTGCGCTTATGGTCATCTTACCCATAGGCACAGGAAGCCACCGAAAGCCGACTGAGCTGATAGACATCAAAGCTGAAACGGACCGCAGTGCCACGTGAGCAGCAGAATCGTTTTTTAGCCCCTCACGTGCTAAGCATCTGCTTGTTGGGCCATGCTTGAAACTTGAATCGATACGTCCCATGCCTTGGACTCCAGCGAAAATGTGCGAAACATGTTTGAAACAGCACTTAGACTTAAACCATGCTGGGTGCCATTGGCTAAAGCTATGAAAACTGCCTTTGAAACAACCGCATGTCAACTCTCATCGCACTCTTTCGACATAGTGCATGATGGAACAAAAAGGCAAGGGACATTGCACAAGTCACGAAGTCACGTAGCTTCTTTTTGGGCAAGGAGGCAAGGATATCAAGATCATATCACTACAACATCCTGTTTCAGGTAGCTGGGTTCCAAACACAACGTCCTGTAGAGGATCAGGTGGCCGTTCTGCAGGTGAAAACCAGTCCTGGCGGTGATGGCTTTTGCCTGTAAGTTGTCATTGGAGAAACTGACACTGGGAGTCGCTGCTGAGATTCAAATGATTCAATAACACCTGTTGCATTTGGTCACGAGAATCTCGAGACAATATTATCACACAGACCCTTCAATCCTGTACGAGTATGTTTTAGCCATTCCACACGAACATGACATGAGCATAAGATCACAAATCCACAACGGTTCAGTCAATTTGTGCCAAACTGGCTTTGGTATTGAAGGATGCTTGATACGCAAAACCAAACAGGAACCACAGCGCCTAACCTCAATCAATACATGTTTTACCATTTTTTTCCCAGCCTTGTCCACATGTTTGGGCAAGGCCTCTTTGCTAGTCACCTGCAATTTGACGAGACATGATGCGCAAATTCGGCGTGTTTCACGGCTCAACCAAATCGTGAGGATCGTTGAATGAATCGTCCATATTCGTCCATCCCTAGACCGAAGGGACCTTTTTGGGGACCTGGCTGGCCTGTTGTAGCTGGAAACTTCAAGATAGCATCAAAGGGGGTGCCATGATAATCTGGGAATATATTTGAACAATTTCGAGTATACAAATGATACCGGACCACCCTTTTAAAAACACCTTTTGGCACGCTGCAGTTCTAAACAATTGTTTAAAAACCGGGAGATCTCTGGGTGCTTTGCCCAGTAACCGCTCCGGCGTCAAAATGCTGAGATGATCTCTGAGAGCTTTCGAAGTTTCTCAATGGGCGTCTAATTGGTCGATTTGACAAGAAAATTGGTGAAAACCAAGGCAAGGCCCATAGGATCTCACAGGTTTACAGTGTAAGGTGTCTATGATTGTTTATGTCTGCATATGTGTTGCCGTGCACTTGGCGCTCTTCTAAAGTGTTTAAGTAGCCATCTTGCAAAAGGTCTTGAAACTCTAAGTTTTGATATACTACAAGCGCAACAAGAAGATGCAATGAACAACAACCATTCAGCTCAAAGTGATTCCAGGAGTTACAGACCTAAAAAAAATGCTGACACTATACTTTCTCTTCCGAGAGACTGTCTCTGTGCGTCATATCCTCATGTGTCACATGATATGGCAGCCATGGCAGCCACCCAGCTCCCAGCTGTGTCTTTGTACATGGGGAACCGGGAAACCGGTGGTCACGGTGTGCTGATGGTTTGAAAATATGACTGCAAGAAGGGCCCCAAGAAGAAGACCACAACCCTCGGCGAGTCAACGGCGAGTCATGGGCATGCGGCAATCGTAACAAAAACAACTTCCGTCCATCCTGATTGAACTGGTTGAAACAACTGTAACATAGCAATATACCACAAATATGACGTCATGTAGATGATACATATATATATATATATATTGGATTATAATGGATTATAACGGTATAACTATAACACACTATAACATCATATCATCATACATATACTATTGAAATCACATCCTCGCTGACATCAATAAGGATCAATAACTCATCTGAGGACTCTGAGAATCCCAACACAGCACCAGCCACCGCCAGAATCAGTGCACCAGTGGTTTCATTGGTCTCCTTAGGTGGCGTCCAAGGCTGTAAAACGCTGGGACAGGATGGGGACATGATGGGACATGCAATCAACATCACTCAACTGACGTGGACTCAGTGTACAGCAAGTACTACAATGATCATATATTGATCATATCAGCTGCGGACGAAACTCATTGTTTGTCAACATGCCATGCAAACTCGGGTCGTTTTGGGGGTGGTGAAGGTTTTGGCACAGCGGCAAGGCTAAGGCGCAGCAAGCTGATCTTTAGGAAGATTGGCTTTGTGATGGTATTACTGCGTCCGAATTGGAGACCATTGGAGACCAATTACCCCGGGTCCCAAAGAATCCAAAGATTCAATTCTACTCATGCTACTAGTATCTAGTAGTATATGCTACTAGTATCTACTAGTAGTATATAGCCAATTTATGCCCATGCTCTGCCAGGTTTGCAATTCCTGGTACTTCTCGTTGGTACAAATTGCCCTGCCAAAGCGTCATAGGGTGTGCCGTCCAAAGGATCCGAGAAAAAACCGCCCGAGCCTCAGTGGCGATTTGCCCAATGCCAAGGTAAAATCCTCTAGGTGCCAGTGCTAATACCGGTACTACTAGTAGTGCTATTCAAGGTCAATACACTTCAAAAGAGGTCACTCAATACATCTCAATACCAAATCCTAGTTTGGGAGATCGAAGAAAGCTGAAATGCAGCACTTCAGAGATTCTCTTTCGCTAGCGCCTAGCATATCCTATAGATTCCTATAGCATCATGTTGCAGTCATGTGGCTGGCCTCCCGTGATCCCATGTGATCCATATTGGAAGGTACCAAAGTCGTGTGTTCAGGGCGACCCAAACACCTTGGCTTGGCATTGGGTTATCACTGGATATCACTGGTATCACTAGTTCTCTGATTTCTCTGGGGATTTATTGGCCATTCAAATGAGTCTTGGGGGGTTCTGGTGATGAACTTATTCGCATCTTACCAAATCCTTGAGCTGCTTCCAGTGGAGATGCGAATTATCCAATCTGTTCAAACACCTCTTAGCGTACACACTTCCATATGTGAATACTCTCAGTACTTCCCCACGTATTTTCATTTATACGCCCCAGGGCTGCAAATGAATCCAAATCCGCATTGAAAAAAAACGTGAAAACCACATCTCCAAACTTTTCCAGACTATTTTCCCAGGCCTCCGGCTGACTTGACCTAACTGTCCACCCAGGAAGCCCAAGGAAGAGCCGAAGGCTTGACACAGCAGCACCAGGACCATCAGGCCCAGGCATCGTCTGGCGGCTTCGAGGCATATGCAAACATAATTGCAAACATTGATTGCTCAAATTCCATCAAATTCCAAGCCGAATTTCCTATTATCACTAGGCCTTGAAGTGCCTCGGAGTTGGTGATTTCCAATGCGTGACATGTGGATGCCGTAGTCTTGTAGTTGCTCCAGAATGTTACTGATGCCCGTGGCTTCTCAGAATGTAAGTGACGCAGTTCAACCACACACACAACATCATAGGACAAAAAGACCTTCTCTGCTGCATGCTGCTGACATTTTTACGTACATTGACACGTGTCAGTCAGGAAATCCAAACGCTTCTTGGAACCTTTGAAACGCTACTGATTGATACAGACTCCAGATGATTCCAGCATGCGACTCGCAAGATGGCCTTTGGCACTTTTGCTGGCCGTCAGTCATGCCGGTCATGCTGGTCATGGTAAGGCTTTTGCTGCGAAGGACAAGCAAACCAATGGCTGCAGTATGAAATGTGCGGAAAGGTTGCTGTGCACAATTTCTTGTCATCTGACTTGTCTCCAGTGCTCAATTTTTTCTATATGTTTCGTCTTCACCAGTCAGATTGGAGCAGCTCCTACCCTTGAAAACAGGCTATCAACAGGATTATTCAAAAGCCTGTCAGACTTGAATTTCGGTGGTTTTGCACGGAGCACTTTTTGAAGGTCCACGGGCAATTTGAAATGACATAAAGACTTGACAACTGCTGCTGAGTGCCTCCTCATGATGCACCGGTCTCCCAATTTGTTTATCAACTCTGATTGTCAAAACATCCATTCATTGACTTTTGGAATGAAGAATAGTCTCAACCTCCACACAACAAACACCACATATCTATGGCGAACCCAAATGAACCCGGCCTGAATGGTACACCTTGGGTAGTGCGGCAGCTCTGAGAACAAGTACTTGTCATCTGGCACCTTGTCATGGCTTCGTCTGGCTTCAAAGCTTCGGTTTTTTCCACATGTCAACAGTTTGAAGAGTGCTATTGGATTCAAATGATCCATCGGTCTCCATCAGCTATCCAGCTATATCAGCTATATCCACTATTAAGATATAATAAGATACTATACGTACGTATAAAATCGTTTTTTAATCCTATCCACTTTGATCACATATTGTCTGCCTGGAACCCGTTGACACATATTCAGAAGCAACCCTTTCTGTCAGCGTCTCATGACATACTGAGCTGGGAACTCGTTCAATCCGCTGAGCATTGAACATTGCCTGATTGATCTGGCTGGGAGAGGCTGGGAGAGGCTGGGGCCTGCGATGGTAGCAGGGTCGTAATTACAGTACAAGCATCTTGATGCTAAGAGGGGCTCTAAAGCCTAAATATACCAAAATCATCCAAAATCCATCAAAATCCTCTTGATCTCCGATTTTGGAGTGGCTTTGAACAACTCAACTGTTTCTGTTGTGTTCATGCCACTGCATTTGCTGCTACATCTCAGCAATGCGCTGACCTAAAATGATTCCAACATGTTCTGATTAGCAGCACTACCCCGAGCGTGTCCGGTTTCATCCAGAAGATCCACAGCCGCCCCACACGCCTTACTGGTGTGCCTGTAGTGATCATTTGGGTGAGACGTTGTGTAGTTCGGATCCTCGGGGAATGCAGGCTGCGGCGTGCCGTGAAAAAAACCATGGCTGACATGTTCGCCTGGAAGCTGGGATAAGCTGGGTATAAACATAGAATGGCACAGCTTCACCAAGAAATGGATAGAAATGGCACAAATCACAGGACATCACAGGACCCATGTCATGGGAAGAGACCAACCGCTTGAACTTTTTTGGATCTAGGATGATCTGGGATGATCTGGGAGTCTGTCAGCCTATGCTGTGGCCCTTCTGCAAATTTCCCAAGCGGCAGACAATAGCAGTCAAAATCTGTCAAATGTGCTTTGAGAATCCTTGAGATGTTTGGACCATTTTGGACAAACATGCTAGCGACGTTTGATACTTCAACAAAAAACATACCCTCTGGTAATTTAACATAGCTATTGAACATGGCCATTTATAGTGAGTTTTCCCATTGAAAATGGTGATTTTCCATAGCTATGTTAGTTTACCAGAGGGTATTAAAGACAAAACATCGGCGATTCTTTGTTGGTTCCAATAAGTACCACAGATGGTACCACTGTAAAGTCGCGATGTTTTGCTGCTGAGAGTGCCCAACGTAAATATGATCATAGGCCCTGTTCCTCGGTGCGTGTCCGATTGAGAATTCCAGTCGAAACATGAATAAATAGGGGGATGCACCAGAATGCAACATCCGGTTCAACATGTCCAACATCCATATCATCCATCAGGAGGGAAAACATCAACCATTTGTGCAGCTTGTTAAATCCCATTCCCTAGTCTCTTCGAACTATGCTTGGCTAATCTCATCTTGCAATGGTGGACTCCAGTTTCCAGTGTGTGGTATGTGGTGTGTATGTGGTATGTCAGTATGTCCTTCCCAAAGCAAACATCTCTGTACATTCTCCATACGCTATGGGAACCCATGGGAACCCATACAGGATCCATGTCTGGGATCCCAAGATATCCAGTCGAGCTGCGGCTGTAAAATGGTACGAGTCGCCATGGTTCTGGCCCTGAAGTGGTGCCGGCTTAAGGTGTTAGCGTCCTATACCTGCACAACTGCGATAGGTCTACAAGCAACCCACAGCAGCAAACAGAACATGGATAAACAGGGTTGTCCAAATGACCCTCTTGAAAATCAAATGATGAAACCAAATTTTGAGTCCCACAAACAAAATCAAACAAACAAATGGTGGCAATCAGCTGGATTTCTTTTTCGCACACAGATCGGACTCCCCCTATTAACTATTGAGTTTTTGTTGGTTCGATCACCAAAGGGTGCTTTACAAAGATGAAGGCTTGGCTGGAGTGACAAGTTCACTGGATTTCCTCGAGATGAAACTCTATTTGCTGTAGTATTTTTGTTGAGTAAATTATGTTTTATTTGCATCCGATTGATATCAAAGAGAATAGTTTAGCCTGGTTTTCATTTGTTTTGGGCCTTATTGCAATCAAATAAATTTTGCGCTCCGGAGAGTGCAATTTATTTTAAAATTATTTTAAACAATAGTCAAAACCATTGAATACCAGGCCACGCTATCAATTCAAATATATTATACCTCATGGAATCCTCATGGAATCCTCATGGAATCCATGAAACTTCCTGTATCTTTCGATTTGTTAAACAACAGTTAAACTAAATCACGCGCTCCACAGCGCGCAATTCATTCAAATAAAGTTCAAAGCCATTTAGTGCCAGCCTAAACCATTGTGGACATGAAGCCTACTGTATTCAACAAACATATTAAAATAAATTATACGCGCTCCGGAGCGCATAATTCACCATATCAAGTTCAAAGTCATTTAGTGCCAGCCTAAACTATTGTTTTGTTGCGCAATTCTTCTTGAAGGCGGAACGGCGCGAACCCCATTGTTGAGTGATTCTTCTAGAACAGGGATTGGCCCGAACCCCACTGTTGAGTGATTCTTCTTGAACGGGGATTGACCCGAACCCCACTGTTGAGTGATTCTTCTTGAACGGCGATTGGCCGAACCCTACTATTGAAAGATTCTTCTTGAACGGGGATGGCCGAACCCCATTGTTTACTGGTTCTTCTTGAATGGGGATTGGTCTGAACCCCACTGTTGAGTGATTCTTCTTGAACGGGGATTGGCCGAACCCCATTGTTTAGTGGCTCTTCTTGAACGGGGATTGGCCCGAACCCCACTGTTGAGTGATTCTTCTTGAACGGGGATTGGCTCGAACCCCACTGTTGAGTGATTCTTCTTGAACGGGGATTGGCCGAACCCCACTGTTCAGTGCCGAACCCCGTTGTTGAGTGATTCCTTTTGAACGGGGATTGGCCCGAACCCCACTGTTGAGTGACTCTTCGTGAACGGGGATGGCCGAACCCCATTGTTTGAGTGTTCTTCTTGAAATTCTGTTGAGTGATTCTTCTTGAACGGGGATTGGCCGAACCCCATTGTTTAGTGGTTCTTCTTGAACGGGGATTGGCCCGAACCCCACTGTTGAGTGATTCTTCTTGAACGGGGATTGGCCCGAACCCCACTGTTGAGTGATTCTTCTTGAACGGTGATTGGCCGAACCCCACTGTTGAGTGATTCTTCTTGAACGGTGATTGGCCCGAACCCCACTGTTGAGTGATTCTTCTTGAACGGCGATTGGCCTGAACCCCACTGTTGAGTGATTCTTCTTGAACGGGGATTGGCCGAACCCCATTGTTGAGTGATCTTCTTGAACGGGGATTGGCCCGAACCCCACTGTTGAGTGATTCTTCTTGAACGGGGATTGGCCCGAACCCCACTGTTGAGTGATTCTTCTTGAACGGGGATTGGCCCGAACCCCACTGTTGAGTGATTCTTCTTGAACGGGGATTGGCCGGAACCCCACTGTTGAGTGATTCTTCTTGAACGGGGATTGGCCCGAACCCCACTGTTGAGTGATTCTTCTTGAACGGGCATCCTAGGCAATGAGTGAAATCTACTCAATTAGGTAGTAGGGAAAAACCTAACCCCCTTGTTGAGTGATTCGCGTTGAACGGGTCAACAAGGGAGTGAGGAAAAACCTAACTCCCTTGTTGAGTCATTCTTGTTGAATAGGTGACATCAATTGGAACACAAAGGGCCCAACAAGGGAGTGAGATAAAACGTAACTACCCTCTTGAGTGATTCAACTTGAATCACTCAACAAGGGAGTTAGGTTTTTCCTAACTCCCTTATTGAGTGGATTTGTGTTTTGCCAAGATTCCACCGCCAATCGAAGCTGATGGCTGATCCAATCCAGCTGCGGAATCATGTGGGGACAATTCCTCCCCTAAATGCAAAACATCACCATCAGCGCCAAACAGGCAATAGAAGGGAGTGGAGATGGAAGAAAATGGCGAGTCCATGTAACCACACTTAATCGTGACATTATAGTGTCTCCATTTCCCACCAACAAAAAATGATAAACAATTTGAAAAAACATACTTAGACAAGTAGATTACTGCTTCCATAAAAGTGAGCATGTACATGCCCACAGTAATGGTAGCATCAAGCTGCGGAATGAATCTGAACATATCTGAGCCCAAGGGCCCCAACAAAGATGTTGGTATATGGAGTCCGTAGCCTGATGTTAAATGGTTTTGAATGCCATTTAATTAAAGTAAATTACACCTTCAGTATTTGAATGTGTTGAACAAAGTGCGTTTCATTTAGTTACATGGGATCAACATGCGAGACAATAGTTTAGGCTTGTAATAAATGGCATTGAACTTTATTTGAACAAATTACGCCCTCCGGAGCGCGTCATGATTACGCGCTCCGGAGCGCGTAATTGACTTTAGTATTTAAATGTATTGAATAAAGTACATGTTTCTTACATTGGGTCCAATAATATAGGCCCTATAGGCTGGTACTAAATGGTTTTGACCTTTATTTGAACAAATTACGCGCTCCGGAGCGTGTAATTGACTTCAGTATTTACATGTATTGAATAAAGTACATTTTTCTTACATTGGGTTAATATACGAAACAATACTATAGGCTGGTACTAAATGGCTTTGCACAAATTACGCGCTCCGGAGCGCGTAATTATTACGCGCTCCGGAGCGTGTAATTGACTTCAGTAGTTACATGTTTGAATAAAGTACATTTTTCTTACATTGGGTTAATATACGAAACAATACTATAGGCTGGTACTAAATGGCTTTGAACAAATTACGCGCTCCGGAGCGCGTAATAATTACGCGCTCCGGAGCGTGTAATTGACTTCAGTAGTTACATGTGTTGAAAAAAGTGCGTTTCATTTAATTACATGGGATCAGCATACGAGACAATAGCTTAGGCTGGTACTAAATGGCTTTGAACTTTATTTGAATGGATTACGCGCTCCGGAGCGCGTAATTGACTTCAGTATTTACATGTGTTGAAGAAAGTACGTTTCATTTAATTACATGGGATCACCAATACGAGACAATAGTCTAGGCTGGTACTAAATGGCTTTGAACTTTGTTTGAGTGGATTACGCGCTCCGGAGCGCGTAATTGACTTCAGTATTATTTACATTTGTTGAAGAAAGTGCGTTTCATTTAATTACATGGGATCACCATACGAGACAATATAGTCTAGGCTGCTACTAAATGGCTTTGATCTTGATTTGAATGGATTACGCGCTCCGGAGCGCGTCATTATTACGCGCTCCGGAGCGCGTAATTGACTTCAGCAGTTACATGTGTTGAAAAAAGTGCATTTCATTTAAATACATGGGATCAGCATACGAGACAATAGCTTAGGCTGGTACTAAATGGCTTTGAACTTTGTTTGAATGGATTACGCGCTCCGGAGCGCGTCATTGTTACGCGCTCCGGAGCGCGTCATTATTACGCGCTCTGGAGCGCGTAATTGACTTCAATATTTAATTAAATGTGTTGAAAAAAGTGCGTTTCATTGGGTCACTATACAAGACAATAGTTTAGGCTGCTACAGAAAAATTGAGCTAAATTCCAACAGTTAAAAGTGATTTTCTGAATGATATCAAATGGAGCTTTTGGACGACCCTGATAAAACTGGTAGAATAGAATGGTCTGAAAAACAAAGAATTACCATGAATTACCTATGTGGATGGAGTCGTCTGATTGATTTGTGAATAAAAATAATAAAAGTCCTTTTAGTGATCACATGTGAAAGTATCTTAACGTATTTTAAAGTCAATTAGTCAATTTCATTTCATGTTCTTTTTTTTTCAAGTTTCCTCACGGCTTTGAGGCGCTAACCCTCAAACCCCCGCGGCCAGGTGCCCCGATTTGGGGCTCGGGGGCGGCAAACGAACCGCAAGCTGCTGCGGACGGATCTCAGGGAAATCTGTATCTGAAACTTCTCTGAAACGGAATCTGTATAAGATCTACCTGAAACTTATCTGATTTCCGTTTTTTCCCAATGTGCAGACTAGATCTGGAAGACACTGCCACTGGATTGCTAAAGCGATCATAATTCTTCACATATCTTGACATATCTTGACATTCACTGTTGATCGGACGACCAGGAGTCTAGTTCTGGTCAACGTGTAGCCCAATGACGTGAATTGCAATCAACCTGTGAAGGGGAGAGACCAACAAAGAATGAGACCAGCAGTCTCCTGAAGAATCCAATAGCCGTTCCAAAGTTCTCTGGCTACCTCTCGCTTTTTCCTTCCGTGCAGCCCAATCACTTCTTTGAGGATGGAGAGGCAACGCCGCACACAAGCTCAGATGCCTCAGCCATGAATGTGTCTTTGGCTGAGAACACCTCCGCTGCGGCTCAGTCAACCAAACAAGTGGTGCAAAGAGATTAAAGGCATTCGACGATAATATAATAATATACGATAATATGTAATATGCAAAGGATACAAAGCCATGCTCTTCAAAGAACCACTGGATGCCATCCAGATCCATCCAGAGTCAGTCTAGACTAAGTGACTACAGTCACTAAAGATCACTAAAGATCACTAAAGTCTAGCTGCTCTGGCTGTGCTGCTCGGACGGAATCTGGACGAATGTCTGCGCGGAGTTCAGGAGCTCGGACGGTTGCGATGGCTCCAGTTGGATGGCACTGTTCTCGAGTCACTGACACCTGCCATTAGGGTTTGGCCGGGAGTGTGTTCTTTTAACATGTTTTTGACATGTTTCCACGGTTTCATGATGTTCAAACATGTTCAAACGGTTTGATTTGATGCTTAATTAATGTTCATAGATGTTCATACTACTCGTTTGGAGCGACTCTGCCTGCTGGTGCAGCATGGTGCAGCTGGATAAATCGTGAAGCAATCACTTTGATCAGCACTCAGCGAGAATGCAACAGCGCTAATGCTTGTTTCCTCTGCTGTCTCCAGTGGGTAGGTGTTCATGCCGCTGCCATAGAGTGGGAGGAAAGCAGAACACAAGTGAGGCAAGTGGCTTGCCCAAAGCTCCTGTTTCTCGAGGTGGCAGCGCCAGCAGATCACCAGGTCTCTTGACTTCTTCAATGCAATCATCTCATTCCACTCATCAAAATCTCGGTTCCAGTAGTGGGAAATGCGAAGCATGCATGGCTCTCCTGCAAAAAGTCATGGCTATAATATCAATGCATATGAAAAAATTGGCGGCGAACAGCCGAAAAACATCCCGGTAGATCTCTTGGACTGTCAAGATCGGGTGAGGGCCCTGGAAGATATGAGCACCAAGTGCTTCTTGCATTGAGCTCAAACCAACTACTCTAGGAATCTGATGCGAACTGGGGCCTTTCTGCGCACCAGAATGTGATTTTGGTCCTGGTCTTGCCAGTAGCCGCGCGAGGCTTCGGAAAAGAAGATGTCCATGATGTCTTTCGAATGTTTCTTGAGAATCCGGCATACATCCATGCCGTTCAACTTGGTATGGTCAAAAGTGACGTGCAAGAGGGATCAAGAGGGTGCAAGTGCCATCTCCGTGCACCAGAAAGTTGAGTAGGTCTGCATGAGTCGTGAACAGGAGGATCTCCTGAATCTCCCGAGCTGAAAACACAAGGTCCTCGAGACACCATCGGCAGTCATCGACAATATCTACAGCCCTGTGGAAAGGCCCGTGCCCAAATAAATACCTTGAGCCGCAAAGGGCTAAGGGCTTCAACATCTTCAACACTGTACCATTTGGATCCGTTTTGCAAAGTTTGGTTAAAATCTGCAAGATCAGGATCTAAAAGCTGACATCGAGCTGCAACAGAAGAAAGCGACACCCAAAGAAAGCACCAAGCTGAGCAAAACTGCAAGATAATTGACTCAACCATAAATTCATGGTGAATCGCGAGACAACTTGGGACATGTTGAGGCAAGTGGACATATTCTGCTCACGTTTTCAAATTGCGGAGGCGGAAGTCCTAGTAGTCATTGTCTCACTACAGTCGCTGACAACGCTTGCGAGCCTGAAATTTCAGGCATCGGCAAGGAACGCCACAGCAACATACAGCAACACCGCAGGCAGGTCTTTAGCAAAGTAAGTGCGATAATTTCTTGCTGTTGACCTATGTTGACCTCGTTTTCGATCTATTTGATTCGATCCTTTCTCATCTTGCACGGAACTAGCAGTACAACCATCAATCACCTATCAGAAACTGTTGTGCATTTGAGTTGCATTGTGCTTCGGATTCTTCTGTGTAGAGTGAACCGAGATTGAGCTTGTTGATGCATGCTGCATACCTACCTACCGAAAGCCAATGGCCGCATATGGCCGCCATGTTTGTCGGGGCATTTTCACCCACAGCGGAATTTCATGCAAACCTCACAGTCGCTTGAGAGACTGAAGTTGCTCGGACAAGGCAACAAGCATCAACAAGCACACAAAGCGGGAAGGCAAACATTTCGGCTTGCCTTTGTTGAAAGCACCGTGCAAACCGAAGTGGGGATTCCAAGTGACGTTTTAACAAATTCATGGCAGTCTCAGTATACTTCTCAAAAGAACATGAGAAATCGGTAGTTTCAATCCTCGTCAAAACACGGGAAATGCACTAGAGTCACTAAATGCAAGGAAAACCAGCTTCAGCCGCAGCACATTCCAGCGTCAGCATCATGTGGAGAAAATGACGGGAATGACGCGCTCGATCTCAGGCAACAAGGTATAGGATCTATAGGCAAATTGCAAGCAACATGGGAAACCTACGTGGTAGAAAACATATGAAACAGTGGATTTATTGAAAACTCCTGGTGGCTGATGAGATGCAGAACAGCCAGAGCTGCCATATCGCTAGTCAATACTGCCACACTCCTTGGTTTCTTGATTCAATGTGCAGCACAGGTCTGCGCTTCTAAGACTCGTGCCAGGTCAGTTGCATGAGGATCCTTCTGGTCCTGTCACGCACAAGTTACACTTGGAACCTGCCACTTGGAGAAGTTCATCTCTGAATTCATGCAAAACAGCTATGCCATGCTATGCAGGCTCTCTGGCACCATTCAACTTGCAAACTCATTCTGGGTGGGACTATGTAGGACTACAGTGTATGGAAACTGAATTCATGCAAAACAGCTATGCCATGCTATGCAGGCTCTCGTGCACCATTCAACTTGCAAACTCATTCTGGGTGGGACTATGTAGGACTACAGTGTATGGAAACTGGTGGTAATTCAATGTAATTGGTGCATATTTATTTCAATTCTTCGCTCGAGGCCATGAATGACTCTACACTTGTCTGCACATTACCTCATGTAAATACATGAGTAGCATTCTAGGGGTACCAACATCAAATGGCATCTAGCCTCCAAGCAATGGATCCAGTCTGCGAAATCGTTCCCTTGCAGAGCAGCTGCACTCCGGAAGACATTTTTCGACTGATGCTGATGCAAAGGCAGTCATTGCCGTAGTCATGCGATCACTTCTGCCGTATTGCCTTACTAATGGCTGGGGATCACAAAGCAACCCCGATGCCCAACCTCAAAAAACTCCGCATGGCATCCCATAATTAGTTCGGATTGGAAACGAAACTTATGGACACTGCCTGCCAATCAGCCTGACCCAAGAGCTAGAAGATGCTGGAAGCCATGGATGGCAGTAGAAAACACTAGAACCAAGATCTTTCAAAATATCCAAAATGCTACCTGCTCTCACCAGCAATGCTACACAAGATTTTGATGATCCATTTAATACGTATAGTATATATATATATAGTATATATATATTATATATATTATATATATATGGTTGTTTATATTTTTTTCGCTCTGCGTGAAGCGAGAACTGCGCTAATGTGGATGTGGGCAGCTGAAAAACTCCAAGGATCAGAGCAGCTGCACCACAAACGTCTCCCAACCAGGGCTGCGCCAAGAGATCCCAGCCGTCATCGGCCACCCAGAAATGATGGGCACTGTGAAGCCGTCGTCTTCCAACGCGACATGCACCTCCTGAAGCTTTATAAAGCCACCAGAAAAGACCTCAACGCTGATCGATGCTCACGTGATGCACATATGGTCATCATTGTGTCTTTCAGCATATCTAAACTGTCCTGATACTTGACCCAGATCCCAGCAGCCATAGGTCGCCATAGGTCATGATGGTCATGGGAGTCATGGGAGTCATGGACCATATTTTGTTGATATTTGGGGATGGGTCGAAACCCTATCCCCCTTTTTTGTTCACATCAAAATAGCTGGGATTTATGGATGTTCATCCCCCTAAAAATGGTATGTATAGCTATTGATCCATAGCCATTTAGCGTATCATGACCCCTGAACCCCGATGATTCCGAGTCGCTGGGAGCATCGTCACAGCTGCCAAGTCATAGACCACTGACGATCGCAGCTGTGCATCAGCTGGGCCCTTGGGCCCATGTCGAGGCTCTGACCAGGGACATCTCAGCAACCAGGCCGAATACCTGAGATGGGAAAATGGCTGGTAGAATACTGGCAGAATGGGTAAACAATGGTAAATAATGGTAAATATACATATGTAAAATTATGTAAATAGTAAATATACTTTGACCAAGGAAGATCAAGGAACTTTGTGGCGGCAAATGAGATACTTAGTTTCACTGGCAAACTGCATATATGTCATAATGTTCTCCCCAAACACACATGACAGGCTGTGACAAACTTCACAACCATACCCTTACATCCCTTACTATCACGCAGCTTAAAGACATCTCGAGAAGAGCTTTCACAACTGGCACCCGCTCCTGGCCTCAGTCTGCGTGTGGAGATGCACAGGTCTCCCCGGATCCTAAGGATATCCTAGGGCACGAGTTGAGGTACGTGCAAAATCATGACATTCAATGACATCTGCCTGTTTGATGCACAAACTCATCCAAGTAGTGCGTGTTGATATGTTCATGACTTTATGTTGCATGGCGCCAGGTTTGCCTTCATCTCCATTCACAAGTCCGTGATGTGGTCAAGAGTCAAAAGGAACTGTCGGATTTTCTCAGCAGCAACAGGTTCTCATAATCTAAAAACTGTACCGCAAAGTAGTATCAGAGTTAATTAGTGTAGATCCGGTGTGCCGATCAAATTGCGGTGATACCAAGGTCTTCTACGTGTTTCTTTTCCATTAACAAATCTGTCCCGTGTCTTGTTGATCTCAAATCCGCTTGCATTCCAGCCGAAGTGAGCTTCCATGCCTCAAACCCCAACATATATATATACATTAGATGTGAGATGTAAAGCATAGATATTAGATATGGTCAACCTATCCAGGTTCACATCCGCATAGCCTTTTTCCTTTCCAGTCTCCTCGTGCGGTCTCAACCTGCTCCTCGCAGGATAGTGCTTTGGAACGCTGTGCAGGTATCCCCCTGCACAGCAGCACTGGTTGGATCCGTGCACCCTGTTCTGCACTCCTGTGAACTCAGGAGGCTACACAGGTTGAATCTCTCCCAATGCACTTCTATCCCAAAGCACTCAGAGAAACTCCACAACCCGTAGAAGCGCGGGAAGTGGTAGAGACCAAATCTCGAAGGGGAAAACTGCAAAATGCGTGGTGAACCCATGGCGTTTATGCCATGTTGCCTGAAGGCCGTCCCTGCTGATCTCATCTGACCAGTTGGCCTTGCTAGGGATCCACTCCCAGAAAAACCCAGCTTTGAGAGCAAAAAGAGTGACATGAATCAAACGTGACATGTACTCTAAATCTGCGTTGTCGGAACGACCTCGAATCAAAGCCATGAGCGCCGCTGTATTGTCAATGAACCAGAGTCCTCTTCGGCCACAAAACGATGATGGACGAGAAAACAAGGCATAGAGAACTTGCAGCAACGCCAGTTGGGCAATCTTCTTGTCTCCCGGCTCCCAAAGGTGGTACACCAATGGAGGGATGATTAAAACAAAGGCTTCACGCTGTTGACTGGTCATCATGCCACACTACCAAAAATCCTCCTGTACCTTGGCCTGGGCTTTCTAATGCAGCATCTGAGGCTGCCAGAGAACGTGGCCCTGCATGTGGCCAGATCTCAATTTGCCTGGAGAATTTGATAGCAATGATGATACGCAACAAGTCAAAGCATCGACGCAACTCCGCAGTTAACTCTAAGATGCGTTATTGTTGTCTGCGCTTGATAGAGACCAGGCCTCCACAACCAATGCGCCCCCATACACCAAGCTCAGAGAAATACGCCATAAATCTTGGCAGCTACTCCTGATTGAAGTTTGCTGAAATCCTCCGCATGCTTCATGAGATGGAGCGGTTTGTGCTCGATGCGTTCACGTGCCCAAAACTGAATGATGCCCTGTGCATGAACTGCATAGCTCGCTGGCCCGATCCTTTGCAAGACTTCCTGTCAGTCACATGCGCATCATCAAATACAAACTCGTCAAACAGAATGCAAATCGACGCGACAAAGCTTCCACCAAACGACTGTATCGATTGAAGGACGTGACGGCCAAAGGGGAGACCAAAAAGCAATCCCTGTGTAAATCATGAAAGCTGGCCGCTGTATCGTCAATGAACCAAAGTCCTCGTCGGCCACGAAACGCTGAAGGACGTGAAAACGATGCATAGAGGACCTGAAGCAGCGCCAGTTGGGCAATCTTCTCGTCTCCCGGTTCCCAAAGGTGGCACACCATTGGAGGGATGATCGGGACAAAAGCTTCACGCTGTTGTATGTGGTCATCATGCCACACTACCAGAAATCCTCCCGTACCCTGACCTGGGCCTTACGATGCATCATCTGAGGCTGCTAGAAAACATAGCCCCACGTGCGGCCAGATCTCGATCTGCCTGAGGAATTTGGTAGCGATGAAGATTTGCAACAGATTGAAGCAGGGACGCAACTCCTCAGTCAACTCTGAGGTGTGTTCTTGTTGTCTGCGCTTGATAGGGGCAAGGCCACCGCAACCGAGACGTCCCCATACACCAAGCTCAAAGAAGGTGGCAATGCCATAGATCTTGGCGGCTGCTCCTGGTTGAAGTTTGCTGGAATCCTCAGCATTCTTCATAAGGTGGAGCAGCTTGCGCTCAATGCGCTCGCGCGCCCAAAACTGAATGGTGCCCTGAGCAGGAACTTGAATGAAATCGGGATCGAATCCCAAAAATGTACCAGAGCTCTGCATCTTCTGGCATTTCTCCTCTGAAAAAGAAGATTCCCAAAAGGGTGTTGAGCGTTTGCATGGCTCGTTGACCTGAACCTTTGCAAGATTTCCGGTCAGTCAGATGTGCATCATCAAAATGCAAACACGTCAAACTGAATGCAAATCGACGTGACAAAACTTCCACAAAGCGACTGTATCGATTGAAGGACGTGACTGCCAAAGAAGACCCAAAAAGCAAACCTGTATAAATTATGAAAGCTGACCGCTGCCATTCGTGATGAAAGAAGGCCGCAACACAGAATAGAGCTTCGTCTCTACTCATGAGATAAAGTCTGTAAGCATCAGGCCAGTCTTGGCTACCTGACTCCCATTCCTCTGTATCCCAGATGGAAAGTGCTCCATAGGCATATGCATACTGCAGATGCTGAGCTGGTCGCAGGGCTGAGCAAAGAGTAAGCTTGTTGGCGTCACTGGAGCGCTCAAATTGTAGGCCAACATAGGCATCATCAATCACCCTCTGTTTCCCCGTGTCAATCGGGTGGCCTCCTGCTCTGGAAAAATACCATATGGGGGTGCATAGCCCACTGCTGGAAGCCCCATGCAAAGGCCGGCTGGCAGTGTCACATCGCCCCAATTGGCCAACAGTAAAAAGATGGCTGTGAAGCCCATATCTCGTTGCACTGTTGCTGTGCGACTAGCCTCTGTTTGGTTGCTCCGCACGTGCGCTGTCATCGTGCCCCAGCGTCGTTTCATCTCAGCCGAGAGACCCATCGCACGTTTCCTCAGCTCGCTCAGGTCAACTCCTGGCAGGCTTGAGAGTGAAGCAGCAAAACGAAGATCATCATCCAAAATGAGAAGCCCCTCAGTGGGCCGTGATTGTAAGCTGCGTTTCAAGAAGCTTTCAAAGTGTTGACCTGACTGAAGTTGGAAGGGCAGCAGTGGGGCCAATGCAGCTGTGTGATCAATAGCGCCCACTTGCTGACCTTCAGCTGTCCTCATCTGCTGCCGCACATAGAGGGGCTGCGAAAACTGAATTGCAACTACCTTCCATGTCGAGCCCTTGTTGATGTCTCCATCGAATGTACAAGCTGAGCGAGTGCTGATTCACCAGGTACCCAACAAAGGGGATGACATACCATCAACCAATCGCCTGAATAGAGCTTTTTGAATGCTAACGCCAAAGACTCCTGAAGAATGTAGAATGGCCCAAAGGAAATACCCGTCGCTTTGGCTACACTTGACAGCAGAACACTACGGGTAACTCCCGTGAGGCTCCTGCCATATCCCCAAAAACACGGGGGATCTCCCTGGCTCGGCTCTTGGTAGAACAATCCAGGGCAGCGGCTATAAAGCAAACCGATTGAAGTTGATCGTGCATGATTGCTACCTGAGGCCGTTGGACAAATCGTGACTGCTGTCGAGCACCCAATCCACTGAAATGATTTCCCAACCGCAGAAGATGAATGCTGCGGGCAATGGTGTAAACTACCTCATGAAAACCGGTGAGACTAATTAGGCCAGTCTGTCAAAAACTCATACCCTCGGCTCGTGTCCATGCAGCTTGCACTCACAGACCCCTGTGTAAGCTACCTCATGAAAACCGGTGAAACGAATTAAGACAGTCTGTCAAAAACTCAGACCCTCGGCTCATGTCCCTGCAGCTTGCATTCACAGATCCCTGTGTAAGCTACCTCATGAAAACCGGTGAGACTAATCAGGACAGTCTGTCAAAAACTCATACCCTCGGCTCCTGTCCATGCAGCTTGCACTCACAGATCCCTGTGTAAGCTACCTCATGAAAACCGGTGAGACTAATTAGGACAGTCTGTCAAAAACTCATACCCTCGGCTCATGTCCAGCAGCTTGCACTCACAGATCCCTGTGTAAGCTACCTCATGAAAACCGATGAGACTAATTAGGACGGTCTGTCAAAAACTCATACCCTCGGCTCATGTCCATGCAGCTTGCACTCACAGATCCCTGTGTAAGCTACCTCATAAAGCCGGTGAGACTAAACAGGACAGTCTGTCAAAAACTCATACCCTCGGCGCATGTCCATGCGGCCTGCACTCACAGATCCCTGTGTAAGCTACCTCATGAAAACCGGTGGGGCTATTAGGACAGTCTGTCCAAAGCTCATACCCTCGGCTCATGTCCATGCAGCTTGTACTCACAGTTTCCTGTGTAAGCTACCTCATGAAAACCGGCGAGACTAATTAGGACAGTCTGTCAAAAACTCATACCCTCGGCTGATGTCCATGCAGCTTGCACTCACAGACCCCTGTGTAAGCTACCTCATGAAACCGGTGAGACTAATTAGGACAGTCTGTTAAAAGCTCATACCCTCGGCTCATGTCCAGGCAGCTTGCACTCACAGTTCCCTGTGTAAGCTACCTCATGAAAACCGGCGAGACTAATTAGGACAGTCTGTCAAAAACTCATACCCTCGGCTCGTGTCCATGCAGCTTGCACTCACAGACCCCTGTGTAAGCTACCTCATGAAAACCGGCGAGACTAATTAGGACGGTCTGTCAAAAACTCAGACCCTCGGCTCATGTCCCTGCAGCTTGCATTCACAGATCCCTGTGTAAGCTACCTCATGAAAACCGGTGAGACTAATCAGGACAGTCTGTCAAAAACTCATACCCTCGGCTCCTGTCCATGCAGCTTGCACTCACAGTTCCCTGTGTAAGCTACCTCATGAAAACCGGCGAGACTAATCAGGACAGTCTGTCAAAAACTCGTACCCTCGGCTCATGTCCATGCAGCTTGCCCTCACAGATCCCCGTGTAAGCTACCTCATGAAACCGGTGAGACTAATTAGGACAGTCTGTCAAAAGCTCATACCCTCGGCTCATGTCCATGCATCTTGCACTCACAGTTCCCTGTGTGAGCTACCTCATGAAAACCGGCGAGACTAATTAGGACAGTCTGTCAAAAACTCATACCCCCGGCTCATGTCCATGCAGCATGCACTCACAGTACCCTGTGTAAGCTACCTCATGAAAACCGGCGAGACTAATTAGGACAGTCTGCCAAAAGCTCATACCCTCGGCTCATGTCCATGCAGCTTGCACTCACAGTTCCCTGTGTAAGCTACCTCATGAAAACCGGCGAGACTAATCAGGACAGTCTGTCAAAAGCTCGTACCCTCGGCTCATGTCCATGCAGCTAGCACTCACAGATCCCTGTGTAAGCTACCTCATGAAACCGGCGAGACTAATTAGGACAGTCTGTCAAAAACTCATACCCTCGGCTCATGTCCATGCATCTTGCACTCACAGATCCCTGTGTAAGCTACCTCATGAAAACCAGCGAGACTAATTAGGACAGTCTGTCAAAAGCTCATACCCTCGGCTCATGTCCATGCAGCTTGCACTCACAGTTCCCTGTGTAAGCTACCTCATGAAAACCGGCGAGACTAATCAGGACAGTCTGTCAAAAACTCATACCCTCGGCGCATGTCCATGCAGCTCGCATTCACAGATCCCTGTGTAAGCTACCTCATGAAAACCGGTGAGACTAATTAGGACAGTCTGTCAAAAACTCATACCCTCGGCTCATGTCCATGCAGCTTGCACTCACAGCTCCCTGTGTAAGCTACCTCATGAAACCGGTGGGGCTAATTAGGGCAGTCTGTCAAAAACTCATACCCTCGGCTCATGTCCATGCAGCTTGCACTCGCAGGTCCCTGTGCAAGCTACCTCATGAAAACCGGTGAGACTAATCAGGACAGTCTGTCACAAACTCATACCCTCGGCTCATGTCCATGCAGCCTGCACTCACAGATCCCTGTGTAAGCTACCTCATGAAAACCGGTCGGGCTAATTAGGACAGTCTGTCAAAAACTCATACCCTCGGCTCATGTCCATGCAGCTTGCACTCGCAGATCCCTGTGTCAGCTACCTCATGAAAACCGGTGAGACTAATTAGGACAGTCTGTCAAAAACTCATACCCTCGGCTCATGTCCATGCAGCTTGCACTCACAGCTCCCTGTGTAAGCTACCTCATGAAAACCGGTGAGGCTAAATAGGACAGTCTGTCAAAAACTCATACCCTCGGCTTATGTCCATGCAGCTTGCACTCACAGATCCCTGGGTAAGCTACCTCATGAAAACCGGTGAGACTAATTAGGACAGTCTGTCAAAAACTCATACCCTCGGCTTATGTCCATGCAGCTTGCACTCACAGATCCCTGTGTACGCTACCTCATGAAAACCGGTGGGGCTAATTAGGGCAGTCTGTCAAAAACTCATACCCTCGGCTCATGTCCATGCAGCTTGCACTCACAGATCCCTGTGTAAGCTACCTAATGAAAACTGGTGCAACTAACTAGGACAGTCTGTCAAAAACTCATACCCTCGGCTCATGTCCATGCAGCTTGCACTCACAGTTCCCTGTGTAAGCTACCTCATGAAAACCGGTGAGACTAAACAGGACAGTCTGTCAAAAACTCATACCCTCGGCTTATGTCCATGCAGCTTGCACTCACAGATCCCTGGGTAAGCTACCTCATGAAAACCGGTGAGACTAATTAGGACAGTCTGTCAAAAACTCATACCCTCGGCTTATGTCCATGCAGCTTGCACTCACAGATCCCTGTGTACGCTACCTCATGAAAACCGGTGGGGCTAATTAGGGCAGTCTGTCAAAAACTCATACCCTCGGCTCATGTCCATGCAGCTTGCACTCACAGATCCCTGTGTAAGCTACCTAATGAAAACTGGTGCAACTAACTAGGACAGTCTGTCAAAAACTCATACCCTCGAATTGCACGCTCGACAGATTGCTTATGCAAACAAAGAGATCTGGCCATTGTTGAGCTCCAAGTGAACCTTCGACCTTAATGAACGTCTTGTCATGACATTCACATGCTGAATGACCGCCACCACAAACACGTCCAGCCTTGTGCATCACTGCACAGGCATGCCTGCCAGAGCATGACTCCTTCTCCAATGGCAATGGGCAGATCTTCGTCTGAAAGGCTTCACAGATGAGTGCCCCATTCTGCATGGAAGCGCTCAGCACCTTCCCATTCAGAGATGCCGGCATTTCAGCCAGGCTACCCTTGGCCTGGGCCTCCTCCCTCTTTGCAGCTGCCTTGAGCTTGAAGGCCTCTAACAATTGAAAGCGGGCCTACAACTCGGCCTGAGTCAGAGGGGCCGCCAAGGTGACTCTGGACTCCTGTTTCAGCACTTTGTCAGCATGCTGGCGCGCATACCCCAGGGCCTCAGCATAGGGCTGCTCTGAGGAAAGCACAGAAGAAAAGCAAGCCGCTCCAACAGGGATCTCCTGCTTCGTACATCGCCTGAATACGTTCTTCCAGGACTGCAATCATCGGAGGCTCAACAGCAACTGCCTGTTCTGAATTCGCCTGCTTAGCTGAATTCTTCCGAGGGGGCGCTGGCACGTCACTCAAATCCCATTGCGAGCGACCGTGCTTAGCGAGCCTTTTCAATGAATGGCCGGCTCGATAAGGCCCATTTGTACCATTCTGCAGAAAACCATAAAGAGCCAAAGTGTCAGGAGGAAACAACCGGTCCTTCTGCTCCATGTAGGCCCTCAGTTATGCCCAGGACTTGAGAGCGTTCACAACTGTGGCGCCCGCGGCCTCCGTGACCTTCTTCTTGGCCAAGGTGTCCAAGGCATCTTGCCACTGTGAGTACCGCTCAGGGGTCAACTCCCCTTGAGGGCGCATCACTTTGGCCTGGAAGAAAGCCTTCCGCAAGGCTTCAGCTCTCAGCAACACTTGTTCAGACTGATCTGAACCAGGACGAATGCGAAGAGCTTGAACCATCTTGCTCTTCTTCAGCAACGATGCCTTAAGCGCAGGCCAGCTAGCCGGCCTATCCTTCGATCCAGAGCTCTCTGCGGCTGCTGCCACCTGCGGAATAAGATCCTCGTCCATGCTGCTGAAACGTGCTTGAAGCCACGCATCAGCCACATGGTGTCCTCCATGTGCCTCAGCGCTATCATAGGATGCAAAGGCATACGCAAAGTCCGTATCGTCTGGCAACCCCCATTGAGACCTCCACTGTGCCACCCTGGTCGAAGCCACCCGTTCCATTGCAGTCTCTGCACAGGGCGGAGCTTCGCTTGCAGCTTGCACTGCATAAGCTCCTGAGTGATATGCCATGACGACCCCCGACACAACCGCTGCCAAGATGTGGAGCGTCCGTGCTGGACCTGAAACTGCAGAGTGTACGTCAGCGTCACCATGCAACAAATAGACATCTCTAGGCCGGAGACTGCCAAGTTCTCCAGACATTCCACAACTCGACGAGGTCGACCATGCTCTCAGAATTGTGCTCGATGAAGACAACCAGGTCGAAGATGTTGTCCGGCGCAAAATCCCTCGCTGTCCAATGGGTCCGCGGCGATTCAATGAGCAGCAGATCCAGCTTCGCCTCGCCCAGGCGATCATAGTAAAATTGCCACTCCAGCCGCGGGTCACTCCCGGGCAGATCCAAGACAGCTGAACTGTTCCATGTACCAAGCCAAGGAAACCTGAATCCTCCCAAATACTCAGTGCATCTCCTACAGTTCTCTTCCATTCAGGGTGACCGTCTGAAAAAGGGAAGTCCCTCCACTCCCAAAGAGGAGGGGGGAAGTTGTCAATCTGGCACACTGACGACCACAGCCGGATGACCTGAGAAATAAGGCCCCGCTGAAGCAGGCCCTCCACATGCGTCTTGAACTCGTAGTAGGCGACCGCATGCAAGAACTCGGCATCGATATGGGCAGCCTCATTCCAGCCAGGCCGAACGACAACGGTGGCCCTTGACATCGGAAGGGTATCCCCCACCTTCGTAACCTCTATACCCTAGGGCAACGCCCTAGTAGAGGAACGAAAAACCACCGACCCTAGGGTCACTCCCTAGAAGTGGCGTGGGTACCCCGAACAAAAGAAAGAACGATGAAGCCAGTTTGGCTCAGACTTGATCCAAAATGGATTCATCAGCTTACATACTCACCCTAATGATCATGCACACCCAGTGCCTGCCAAACACGATGCATACATATATATATATATATATTATAGAGAAATCACCAGAGTCGCCAACAACAACTATTGGCGTGCAAACACCATCTACTTTCATCTTTGAAAATTCTGACAACCGGTATTCTACCAGTCCTGCAAGTCTATCTGGGGAAGTTTAAATTGTCATCCTGCTATGCCAAGTTGCAGTGCAACAACTGCTGATATTGCACACCATCAATCTGCGCGGCACCGGCCACATCCAATGGACACAAGGTGGTCACATGTGGATATACCACGCGACTACTTGGCATGTCCTTGGAAGCTCTTGTTCAATGGAAAGTTTGGTGGGGAGTGTTGCTGAGTTTTTGGACATTTTTGGCATTTTGGGGTGCAAACGAAATAGTCTTTCACCAGAACGCGGCTGCGACAGAACGTACAGAGATACCGGCAAATCAGTCAAATCAGCACAAAAATTGGTTTCAACATATCTCAAAGCACTCGTGCTTTCTCTTGCGCCATCTGTCAATTCCGATGTTACAATAATTTTCCGCAAGATACCGTAATACATTTCGCAATACATTTCTAATAGTCAGCAATACCATGTATGGGTGTGTTTGAAAATGGGGTATACCTCCAACTATATAAATAGGTAAAATTGTTTCATGTATTAGTTTATCCATGCTGGCAAGAGAAAACCCTGCACCTGTGGACAATCCTTTTTGTCGAAGTGGGGCGATCCATCCAGGTATAGACTCCTACAAATAAAATCATCAACATGTGCACACGCCAAGAACACATCAACATGCCGAATCAATATACAATGGTGGCTGTGCATCCGTTGAACCTTAAAAGGATTGGTGAATCAACATGGGTTTTTTTACGTAGTACATTGGGGGCATCATGAATTTAAGAGTGATTCATCTCACTCTCCTGATAAAACCCCCCGCCAATGGGGCCAAGGCTCCGCCCGAACGTTCCACTCAGCTCTTGGCGGTCCAGTTCCATTGGTGCCATGCCAAAGGCTGCCGCCCATGGCTAAGATCTGAGCCTTGTTGGTGATCCATGGTGCTTTCTGGATGGCTGCTGCAACAGCAGCAGATGGCGATAGCACCAGAATTTGCAGTGGCACTTTGTCCTCTACCTTGGACTTGGAAGAGGCAGTCTATATATGTCTATGGATGTCTATGGATGTCTGCTGTGGAAACAGGATGAACAAGGATGTTTGCTTCGATTCTCTCAGCCCGTCTTGTTTACAGAAAAGGACATGATGACATGATGAACTTGGGGAAGTTGTTTCTCGAAACAGGCCACAAAGCCTGGTAGCACCTCTCCTTTCAAGTTTTGACGATTTGTTACTATAGAGTTCGCTTATGTTTGAAGCAACAGTCCCCATTCCTGCCACCCCAACGAACATTCAGTCTCCCCAACTCAGAAGTAGGCATCTGTTTATCATCGTTTGTGAAATCTTGAAGCACATCGGATACACCATTAGCATGTCAGTGGAAATGCACATTGACGTTAATCAACATTTGGGCACGAGCCCCCTTTATCACAGCTTGCGAAGGAGTAGAAAACATGGATCCGTGACCACCTGGGTGCCAGCATTGCGGCACACAGGTGGTAGCGGAGCTGCCAAGAGGTCAGCAGCGTTCAGGTACGTTGAGGATCTTGAAGGCAGTGCCGTGGAGCTTCAGCGCAGGTCATGAGTGGAGGCAAAGAAGAAGGTCAAGACAAAAGAAATTCCTTAGAGACATTTGACGGAAGTGATGCTTCTCTTTATCGTCGGTGGCGACGCAAAGCAGAGCTGTACCTCATGGGATTGCCCACAACAGTCCCAGAATCTCGATGGGGTCCTAGACTGTTAGAGCATGTTGCTGGCGAAGCAGAAGAGGCACTAGAGCATCTTGATGTTCACACGATCACCTCTGACAAGGGGTATAAGGAAGTCTTCAAGGTGCTCGATGACAAGTACAAGGAGTTGGACAAGGATGAGATGCAGAGATGTTTGAAGGAGTACTTCTATGCTGCAACGATCAAGCCCAACGAGACCTACCGGAATTTTGTGACCAGGGTGGACACAGCATATCGAGGTCTTCAGAGACACAAGATAGAACTTCCGGATGAGGTACGTGGTTGGATTGTGCTTAGAAAGCTAGCTCTCGACAGCACCTCGGAGGCTCTAGTCATGACTTCGACCAAGGGTTCTCTGAAGTATGCTGAAGTTGTTCAAGCATTGAAGGCAGTGTTTCCCAATGGCAAGGGGAGCAGCAACATCAAGTCCAAAGACAAGGATGTTTTCCTGGCCAGCGAGGAAAGGATGACAGAAGTCGATGGACAAGCTGGAACACCGGAAGAAGCCTTTTCCGTTGAAGAACCAGCGGAAGTCATGGAAGTGATCTCAAATCAACTTCACGAGGTCTCTGACTATGAGTCTGAAGATGCCCTGGAGATCTTCGAGACATATGCCAATGTTCGCAAAAAGATGCAGGAAAAGAAGATGTCACGAGGATACAAGCCAGTTGGTCGAGGACCAGAACAATGGAAACTGGAGGGCTCAGTGAGAGGCCGGATTGAACTCTTGAAACAGAAGACACGCTGTCATCATTGCCGTCGCACAGGGCATTGGAAGAAGGAATGTCCCTTGAAAGCGCAGAGCTCCAACTCAGGCAAGAAGGTGGCTCCTAAGACAGGAACTTCCCAAGAGGTCAACATCATTGAAGAGATGGTGGACGGGGAGAAGATCTTTGAGAGCTACATCCTTGATGAGTCTGAGATTCAGAAGCCAGGCCCAGAGACGATGTCAAAGAATGACGTGTTGAATGGTCGCAAAGGCCGGAAGGATGAATGGAGCTATGATGAGAAGACTATGTGGCTGACTCGAAATCACCAGACGGTGAGAAAAGGCATGTTCACACCACATGGAGTCCGGGATATTCCGGTGGATGAGAAGAGCTTGACCGGAGATCGCGTCACAGTCATGAAGAATGTGAAGACAGGAGCAGTGGAGGAAATATGTGACAACTACCACACTGCAAAAGTGCCACACCAGAAAATGAACTACCAGTGGACTGGTATGACCAAGTTCAAGGTTGACGCGATGAAGGACCACGGCAAGTTGATCGCCGCGACCCAGGTGGATCACGAGGAAATGTTGGTCAAGTACGAGAAGGATGTTCTCGAAATAGTGAGTGAGGGGGCGCAGCCGAGTTTTTCCACAAGTGAGCCAGTAGCCGGGCTTGACACCCATGCAGTTCCCGACACTGCGTGTCGACGCACGCTCATTGGGGATTATGTGCTTTCGCAGCTTGAGTCTAGGTTGAGAGATAGGGGTCTCAAGGTTTCTAGATCTGATGAAAGCAATGAGTTTCGTTTCGGGAATGCTGGGCTGCTTAGATCATCACAAGTAGCAAGAATTCCAGTCATGATAGGGAATCGTCGACTGATTATCAGTGCTGCTGTGTTGCCTGAGCCAGGCCATTGCACACCACTGCTTTTGTCAAAGGAACTGTTGAAGTGTTTGGGTTGTGTTATTGATACTGAGAGGGATGTCATGTTGTTTAAAAGAATCAATCAGCAAGTTGCAATGGGAAAGACGGAGAAGGGCCACTATGCCATTCCCATCGTGCCAAGTGAACAAGTGACAAGACAGCCGTCAGTGGATCAAGGGCCAGAAAAGATAGAGGAGCCAGAGTTGGACAGCAGAGATTGCCATGTATCATCCCAGAGGAGTGCAAATGTCTGCGCTGGCGCAGCAGCTGATGCAGACGCTGGACTTCACAGAGGAGATCACGGTGACAGCGGAACTGCTGGACCGCCTGAGCGATTGCAGCGAAGACGAACCAGAAGTACCCGTATCGGGCCAAGAGATGATGAAAGCTGGCAAGTACCAGAACAAGAGCACCATGGCCGAGGCATACACCACCGACAAGAAGCATGTGAAGTGGGTGAGGAACAATGTGAAGGCAGAGACATCAGGACAAGAGATGCGCAGGTATCGCCTGTATGTGGAAATGCGGGATCAAATGAAGACCAAGCGCATTGTGGAGAATCAGGACTACAAGAAGAACTCACAGCATCCCATTGTGAAGAAGGGTCTGACCGCAAAGAGTGCAGCGAGTCCCCAGATGATTGCCAAGAAATCCGGGGGCTACAGCAGCACCGAAATGCCACCAGAAGAAGGTCGTCGACGCGGCAGAGAAGGTTCTGGATGGATCAACGAGATGTCAGGCCACGAGATGGAATGGGACGACGAGGTCAAAGAAATGCTGGCCAACGAAGTCGATCCCTATGTCCAGAAACAGTGGGAGGCAATTGTAGAGTGCCTGGAATGGACCGACACCATCATGCTGGAGAAAATGAACAAGGTGGCCGAGATCATGGGCATTCAGGAGACAGTGAAGATGTTTCGCCATGTTCTGGAGCCCAAGGAGTAGAGAAGTCACTGACGCCAGAGGAATGCCAAGTGTTGAAAGCTGGATTAGATGAGCTTGAGGAAAAGCCCGACAGGAAAAGTGCGATGTGATGATTATTAGCCAGCATCACTTGTCAGAGGCTGAAGTAGCCGAAGTGTTTTCAGCGCCACGAGTAAGTGCTGCAGCAGAGGCTGTGGGGTTGAAGTGTGGTCCAACATATGATTTGATCACTGGAACCGACCTGTCCGATGAAAAAGAAAGAGCGCGCGTCCGTCAGGAGTTGGCAGTTAGGAAACCCAAGTTTCTGTTGGTGTGTCCCCCATGTAGGATGTATTCCCCTTTACAAAGTTTGCGTAAGGACCGAGAATCTGAAACATGGCATCATGACATGAAGGAAGCTAATGAGTTTTTGGAATTCGCTATGATGTTGTGTAAGGATCAATGGGATAGGGGAGATGTTTTTGTATTTGAGCATCCAAAAGGGGCGAAATCATGGAAACACGAGAAGGTAGAACAAATTGAGCAGTTGTCAGGGGTTTTCAAAGTTGTCATGGACCAGTGCATGTTTGGGTTGAGAGACAGAGTGAGTAGGAAACTGCATAGGAAGAGCACATGTTTACTCACTAATAGTCCACATGTTGCTGCGGAGATGAACAAACTGTGTGACAAGAGTCATGAGCATGAACCCTTGTTTGGTAGCGTCAAGGTAAATGGAAAATGGGTTGCTAGGACACGTTTGGCTCAAGAGTATCCCCGGAAAATGGTGAATGCGTTGCTGACTGGGTTTCTCAGGGATAGAGAAGAAAGAAGAACTAGTCATGCAGTTCACTGTGTTTTGGCAATTGAACAGCTGGACACACGAGATGAGAAGAAAATTGCCATGTTGTTGAAACGGTGTCATGAGAACTTGGGACATCCATCTACTCCACGGTTTGTTGGCATGTTGAAGAGTGCACGAGCGACAGAGCAGTGCATCAAGATTGCGAAGGGATTGAAGTGTGCTACGTGTGATCAGTTTCAAGCACAGAAGTCCCATCATGTGTCAAAGCCTGCACCGCTCTTGCACTTCAACGACTTGATTGCTGTGGACACATTTGAGGTTGAGTTGTCATGGAGGAAGTTGAAGGTGTTGAACATAATTGATGTTGCAACTCACTTTCAGGTTTGTGTTCCCTTGTGGAAAGGCATCGAGGTTAAGAGAACCAGGGAAGCGTATAGGAGGTACTGGAAGAGATGGGCCGGAGCTCCTAAGAAAGTCCTGTCTGATGGTGGACCAGAATTTGGTCAGGAATGGACTGATGCTCTGAGCAGGGATGGCTCAGCACATGATGTCACTGCAAGTTATAGCCCATGGCAAAATGGTTTGTGTGAACGAGCAGGAGGTGTGTGGAAAGTTGCGTTTGCAAAGTTGGCTATGGAGATGGATCCCGGGAGTAAAAGTGAAGTTGAGGAAGTGTGTGATCAAGTCACTTGTGCACGGAATGCGCTTGTTAGAAAAGAGGGTTTTTCACCTAGTCAACATGTAATTGGTCATGATGTTGGAATTCCAGGGTCTCTGTTGCATGTTGAAGCAGCAGAAGCTGTTGAGTCTGCTCTGGAACAAGGAGAAACGATGCATCAGCGAGCTCATAGGATTCGCATGCTTGCACGAAAGGCCTTCTTAGAGGCAGACTGCGAAGAGAGAATCAGGAGGGCGATTGGACATAGGACCAGACCATTGAGAGGACCTTTTCATATTGGTCAAGAAGCCATGATTTGGAGAAAAGGTCAGAATGAGTCCAAATGTCACTGGCATGGTCCCGGCAGGATCATAGGAACTCAACACAACAAAGTGTGGGTGTCTCTAGGAACCAAAGTGTATAGGTGCTCACCTGAACAGGTGAAAAGAGTTCAGGATGAAGTTGCAAACCTCATGTCATGGTTGCCAGAGAATCTGCAACGTCACAGAAACATGATCCGTGAGCGAGGTCCGGGGAATCTTGTTGAGTTAGACCTGAGAGAAAATCCTCCTGTGCAAGAACAGGAAGAAGGAAACTGGGTACCAGAGGTCAATCAACAGGTTTCCTCACAGGTTGTTGATCGACAGCTTGATGATGACAATCTTGAAACCGATGATGAACCCATGGGAGTTGTCAGTGAAAACGCCGGTGAGGATACCGAGACTACAGTTCCAAATCAGAATGAAGCACCTAGAGTGCCAGCACAGGAACTGGTGGAGCCGGCAGTTGACATGGAGATGCATGACATGAATCAGCATGACATGGACACGCATGACATGAATCAGCATGACATGGACACACATGATGTAGGTCGACATGTTGGTCATGGTCGTGGCATGAGTGGAGTTGAGCCCGAAAGAGAGAGAGAGAGCCTGTCATGTCCGTGATTCAACAACCGAGGACAACTGAGAGTCCTGGAGAAACGACTAGGTTGACGGAAGCGTTGCGAAGGAACTTGAATACTCTTGACTTTGGTAGGCCTAGTAATGCTCCTAGGAGACCCGATGCCGAAGATGTTGACGATGCACTTGAAGTGCAAGTGTTGAGTGAAAAGCATGATCATGGACATGGGCAAGTTGGTGTAGGATTTGAAGAGGTGTTTGTGACAAACATGAAGAAGCAGAGTCGCAAGGAAATCAATCCAAAGACCTTGAGCCCAGAGAAGCTCAAGGAACTTGACTTGGCTAAAGCCAAGGAATGGTCAAAAATGATGAACTCTGGAGCGATCAAACTGCATGTAGGAAAAGCTGCTAAGGAGTTGGTTGAAGAGGTAGGAATTGAAAGGGTTCTTGGCACAAGGTATGTATACACTACAGACGATGGAACACTTGAAGGAACTCTGAAAGCAAGATGGTGTGTACAAGGTTACATGGATCCTGACGTGCTGGATCTGAACACTGCGTCACCAACGTTGTCCATGGAAGGGTTTGCAGTCACAGCCCAGCTAATAACTAGCATGAACTGGAAAATGAAAATAGCCGATGTGGAAGCAGCGTTTCTGAGAGGAGAAGCGATGTCCAGAGCTCAAGGCAAGGTGTTGGTTCGAGTTCCAAAAGATGGCATTCCTGGAGTGGAAAGCGATGCCATTATTGAACTTGTGAAACCGGTATATGGGTTAGTTGATGCCCCCAAAAGATGGTGGAATACGTTGAGCCGCACACTAGTGTCACTTGGCATGAGTCAGAGTAAGCTGGACAGTTGTGTTTTTGTCAGTCGTCACCCGGATACCAAGGAACTTTGTGGCGGTATTTCTGTTCATGTTGATGACATGTTAATAGGAGGTAACATGTGGTTTTATGAGAATATTTTTCATGAACTGAGTAAGATTTTTCCGTTCAAACATGTGAAAGAAGGCAAGGGTGAATTTTTGGGAAAGTTTTTGGAACAAAAGGATGATGGTACGTTGGTTGTGCACCAGAAAGAATATGCTGAAGCTGTCAAAAGCATTGCACTAAGCAAAGAGAGGAGACGTGAGAGAGAGAGCAAAGTGACCGAACGAGAACGGAGTCAGATGAGAGCTGTCCTAGGAGAAGTCAACTGGCTTGTCACAGGGAGTCGTCCAGATTTGGCCGGAATGTGTTCTTTGTTGCAGCAGAAAGTTGCAAATGCCACTGTCGAAGACATTATTGCAGTCAACAAAGCTGTTGCACATGTACACGATTTTGCAGGCATGGAAATTCGGTTCAAGCCCATTGAAATAAAGGATGTTGAAATCGCAGTCTGGTCAGACGCTTCTTTTGCCAACACCATTGACAGAAAAAGTCAAGGTGGTTATTTGATAGCTGCTGTGGATAGGAATCTAAGATCCAACAAGTGGTCAGTAGTTTCTCCATGGCGTTGGAGGAGTTTCCGACAGGAAAGACAGGTGTCATCAACCTTAGGAGCTGAGCTGTTGACTATGAGTAGGGCAATAGCAGAAGCGAAATGGATGAGATCCATGTGGACTGAGATTACATGTCAGAACTACACCCTGGAGTCAGATGGTTTGAGGTCATTGAGAACTCCAATCACGTTGATGATTGATTCGAAACCTGCCTATGATCACCTTCATGGACAGGCCATGAGCATCAAAGACAAACGACTGGCGATAGAGATGTTGTTAGTCAAGCAAGACGTGGAGAAGGAAAACATAGAAGCCAGATGGATTCCTACAGATCAAATGCTGGTAGATAGTCTTACGAAGGTTGGTGCTCCAATGTGTCTACTGAGAAGAGTGCTCAAGGAGGGCAGATTCGTTTTGGTCCAAAACGAAGAGATGCAGAGATGGGCTGGCAAGATAGCGAGGAAGTCTCAGCATGGCTGATTGTTTCGGTGTGTTGGTTGTTTTGCTAGAAAGATGTGACAAAAGCAGTGTATAGTCTGGTGTATCCACTTTGGGGTGTGTGAAATCTTGAAGCACATCGGATACACCATTAGCATGTCAGTGGAAATGCACATTGACGTTAATCAACATTTGGGCACGAGCCCCCTTTATCACAGCTTGCGAAGGAGTAGAAAACATGGATCCGTGACCACCTGGGTGCCAGCATTGCGGCACACATCGTTTCGATTGTTTATCCATATCTGTCCCGTCACTGAAGAACAAAGAGCAATGGCATGTTGAGACTTTGAAACAAATCAAATATCCCAGGGACAGATGCTTCAACTTGTTCAATGATGGCCTCAGCAGCATCGAAACCTTAGCCATGGTACAGTGTGACAACCCAACAACTATCGGCGCTACCGACAGTTCCTGACATCCATTCTGACGCTACCGACATACTCTCGCAACACTACATTGAATAGATATGAATAGATCATAATGAATCATAATAGATCTAGCTCTTTTTCAACATTCCACAAATCTACACGTCCAGCTCCGGCTGCCAATTCCAACTTCCTCTGTGGCTTCTTTTTCATGGGCCAGCGGCGCAGCTGCCCAGGGAATTGATCCAAATCGCTGGCATTGGCCCAGCTATCCATGATGGTGGCACCCGTCTGCTCTGGGCCGATGGCAATCACGGGAACCTGTGGAGAACCAATGGAGAACCAGCTGCACCAATGGTGCCAAGCGTCTTCCATTGAAGAAATCTAGTGAATGAAGTGTACCATCATGGTACCTTTAGTAGCTGCCATATCTTTTGCCTGGTATCTGAAAAAAATATCATTTGATATCATTTGTCTCAGTTGATGCAAGATTTACTCCGACTCCATTGCCTTTGATTAGACATGACATGCGATGATCGTGTACATGACACGCTATGATCATGTACATGACCCTCTTCATACATCTTCACACCCAACACTTGTCATATCAAAGACTTGAAGTTCAAAACAAAATGCGAACTGCGATGGTGGGTGTCAACAACCGACTGCCCAGGCTCAAGATATCCAATCAACATTCTTCAACCTAGGGCCAAAACGGAAACTTAGCTGCTCCCCTTTCTGTCTCGCCTCAGCAAGTTTGCCAGCCAAGCGCAAAAACTTTGCCAGGGCGTTGGCGCGGCTCTGGCTGCCGTATGAATCCGTCACGATCAGACGGAGGTCCACAGCTGGCGACTGGCAAATGAAGGTGTGGAAACTATCTAAACACAGTAGTAAAATGTAGTAAAGCTAGTTAAGCCATGTTAAGCCTGTGTAAACCGTGTAAGCTGGATAAGCTGGATGAAACCGTGTGTGGCATCTGCGGAGTCTGCTGCCATGGCCTGCAGGAGCGCGCTCAGGGCCCACGTGTCGTCAATGTCATCTCCCAGATCAGTGTCCAGCACCACTCGAACCGTAGGGATTTCGCTTGTTGCACCGAAGACTGTGGAGAACAGCACGGCAGCGGCTGCAAATGTTGGCATGGTTTGCAACTGGGACTGTAGTCTTCAGAGGGAAAGGCCTGAGAATGCAGTCATACAACAGAACAATTTATTAATTTAGACCCCAAGCCCAAAGGTTAGGCTGGTTCAAAGTCAGGGAATGCGATCCCCTAGGAAGAAGTCAGAAGTTGATGCCTCATCGCATTTTGGATTGTCATTGCCAAGGGCGCCATTAATGACTGGTGGAACTTCGTTTGATGGCTAGCCTGCTGAATGGAGAGACCGGCTGTTTTTGAAAAAGCTGCTGTAGCTGCGGTACGTCCTTGGAGTACATTGAGAACAAGCACGACTACTCTCTGAATCTGTATGCTGATTGTGCTGAGGTTGCTAGCTGGACTGCATTTCCTTATTCTCGTTTTCAATTCGTTGATATCTGTTTATGCCCTTTTGAGCCAAAGCTGCGGCTTCACTTTCTTGGATTCACTTTCTTGGATTGGACGTGTCCATTACACCCATTACTCATGAAAACATCTGAAAACCAAATTATTGTTTGCTGAGGTGCAGAGCCAGTCCTGTGCTATTCGGAGAGCCTCTAATCCATCACCTGGGTGGGCATAGCAAATGCAAGGGACTGCCACTCCCAATACCCTGCCCTGGAACCGATCTTGACAACAGTCTTCAGAACGAGAGAATGACCTGGTTCTGCTTGTATACATATAGACGTGCTCACAGTCCCTCTTCAAAGCAAACAGCAGAACTGCAATTATATCAATTATATCATCATATCTATATTTCTTTTCATCAAAAGAACAAGTCTTAACAGGTTGCCGGTTCATGTCCGCTTAAGAAGTCTTCTGCCCAGGAAGACTGAAGGGAAGTTGCAAAGTCGCAACAATACAGTCTGCCGTCTGCCTTTTTAAACCTTTTCGCCCTGATCTGATCCTTGCGGCACACGCAGGACCTTTGTACGAATATTCCAAACGCTGAACGCGAGGAGTACCTGCAAAGCCAGCATTGGCACTGTTCAGTTTCTGCCTGGCAAATTTGTGGCAAATTTGGGCCTCCCAAACCTGACTTTTCTGATTCTGCAGGTTTATGGCAGAAATCATCATTGTTCGTACATTCTTCCCGAAAAGGCCAAGGGGTGGTGCATCCTCAAACAATCTACACAAGCTCTGCATAAGCCCCACCTCGTGGTTTGGACAGCTCGAAGAAGGGGCAGTCGTCCCCACAATGTGGTGCCCAAGACGATCTGCGCCGTGAACATGGTTGAATCTCGAAGTCTACTTGATCAGACCACTTCGGACCATGAGGATCCTTAAGGTTCAAGATCTACTTTGAGATCTTTGAGATCTGTCTGTACCAACTCTTACCCTGGACCTTAAGGTTCAAGATCTGCGTGAGTGAGGAATCTGACACCAAACCGTACTATGTCACATACCCGGCCTGTGCACCTCTGTCAATCCCATGTCGTCACGTACCAGCATTTGCTGGAAGTAGCGGGAGGCGAAGCGGCCCCAACGATCCTGGGTAAGGGAACGAGCTGCTGCAACGAAGCTGCTAACCAGCGTCCCGCTTTTGTCAAACACTCCTCTCACTTCAGCTACACACTCTTTCTCAGGGGTGGCTTTGTCATAGACCTTTTTGATCCTTTTTCCCTTCATCCCTGGTATTTGTTCCATTCAAGTTCACTTTTCTCTCGATTCCCTTCATCGTCTTTAGGTTCCTTTCATATCTATCGTTTCTTTAGGTTATTTGTGCATATTTGTGCGTTCCATTCCTTTTTATGTCCTTGGGTTTCCCTCTTGGGTGCCCTTGTGCTTTTTCTGTTTCTCCTTCCCTTTCGTTCTTCATGTTCACTGTTGGAACGAGGTGGCGTGGCCCAAACCTGATTCGAGTACCCCAAGGAGGGCACCACGTCTCGGAACAATGATCAAACTATATCAAACTCTCCTTGGTGATTCAATTCTTTTCTGTTTTCCGACTTTCTTTTCATTGCTTCCATTGCTTCCATTGCTTCCATGTTCCCTTCATCTTTGCTTCTCTTTCTTTTCATGTTTTCTTCTGTGCCTTCTCTTTTCATCATCAGTGAAACTGCCGCACTTGCTCGAAAGGTACATGGAGGCCCCCATGAAAAATATCCAAAGAATCAATACTCTCAGCGAATCTGGCATGTGTTTTGAATTGGCAGTGTGTTTAGTTTTAATATATGTTTTACTGGAAGGATGAAAAAGGATTGCACTTTTCTGACGTGCAAATGATCGTAAAGGAATGACTTTGATCCCCCTGGGTTCATGGGCCCAGTAGGCGCTGTAGGTGCCAACTTTGAACCTGGCGACTTTGGTCCTTTGGCCGAGGATGCCGAGGAGCCAGGAATGTCTGCACTGACACAGAAGGAGCCACGAAGACACGTGTCCTGTGACTCACTGTGACCAGGCACAACGGCTGCCCATCTCCCTGTTGAATGCAAATTTCTGTGCATGATATGCATGATGCAAGCCTTGAACTTCAAGGTCTTAAGGGTCCAAACATGGTCCAAACGTTTAGAGTCTGATTCTATCTGATTCTACTCTGAAAATTGACATATGGTGAGATGAAATTACTGAAAACATCTGAAAACATCCCAAAGCTCTATGGGTGTGAAATGAGCCGCAACCGCCGCAACCTTGCCTGGGCTTGCTGATCGCATGTATCAGCGGCATCATGTAGGATGGACCTAAAGCAAATGCTACAGATTGCTACAGTGTTTTGGAGAAATGTTTGATACTTTTTAGATCTTTTTAGGGGAATCCAATGGAATCCACACTAGACCATGGCGGTCACGTAAGTCAAAGCCTCTCGAAGTCAAGATATGTCGGTAGAGGTCTTAGGCCCCTTAGGCCCGTCCCTGGATCAGCGTACTTCCATTGCCGCAATCGCTGCCAGAATCTTCCAGAGATTCCCCGGATAGCTGTAGATTTATCGGTCAAGGCGCTGTAGATGGATGTACCGCAGCCGATGAGATCAAACTTCAATTCTTGCGCAGGTGGCCGCTCCGCCAGGCATGTCTTCAGCTGCCTCGGCAAAACTTGGAGCTTAAATCTACAATCACTTGATTGAATTCATTAATCCAAAAAGCATCACATATATTTCCAGATTGAATCTACTATTACTACTTTGATGGTCTTTGATCTGTTGAGATCCACACTGTACAAGGTCAACTCTGAAACTCCACAGCCGCTTCAAGGCCCACGCGCCAAGTTTTCCTGCAAAGGCTGCGTCCAGTTCATCTGGCAAACTTTCACCCTTTCTCGTACTTGTGAAGGCAAGTTGACCTGCACAATGTGATGGGCTGATGGCTGATGGGGTGTGTTCAGTTGGGAATTTGAGGTGTGTTTTTGGCTGTTTCCAAACTTGAAGGTAGCCCCCTTTGGGCTCAAACCATTGGGTTCACTATGTTGTTTCACTTCGGGGAATCAATCCTAGATTCGAAATAACCCAAACAAATTTGATGACGTTAACATCTGAAGTGAGAACTAAGGGTCATCTTTGTCATCTGGTAAAATTGGTAAAGGAATCATTTAATGCACCTGTTGTATCCTGTTGTACCTGTTGGGTTTGTCTTGCCTGTGAACCTGTCATGCCGATGTTGGCCTCAAGGTTGTCCAACAGCTCGTCAGTCACAAACGCATCCACCAGGGTCACGTAAGCGCCATTGAATGCAGCAGCGATGCTGCTGGCGCCAACCCCTCGAACATGTGAAACACATTGAAACACATGGTGGATGGAAGAAATCCTGCGTCCCCAAAAAACATCCAATAACATGAGAGTTCATGAGAGTTCACCCCTGCAGAGGTTCTCAACGAGTTCACCCCTAGCGAAATCGAAGTCTTTGACCCTGGCCTCCACCGAACTCAATGTAGTGGCGCCGGAGCCACATACTGCGAGGAAGATCAGCTAAACACTCATACCACCTGAGGCAAACAAGCCTCGACTTTCTCTTTGA